AGGGGCAACGAGGTGATGTACAGGCTCCACTGATAAAAGAGATCAAGAGCTTGTCTGCAGTACCCAACTAGACGGTTTCGGATCGTAAATCACTGTGGGGGTATCAAGTAGCTAGAACAATTGGTAAAAAGCTGTGTGTGAAATATGGTCAATTGGGTAGAAAAAGAGAAAACATGGCCAGCCTATGAGGTGGGAGAACAGCAGAGATTATGTAGGCACATGTCGCCCCAACTTCGGTCTCCAGATGCAGACAGAAATGTTTTGCCTGTGGATTGTGTGAAACGCCACTATACTCCTAAGTGCAAGTGGAAGCGGCGTCATGGACAACATGACGGCAGTGACCCCTCACGTGGACCCAAAGATCCCTGGAGATCCTGGTGTGCCGACACAGAGCGAGCGGCCCCAACCGTCGATTGTGGAAGGAGTCGCCTTGGTCGCCCAATCCGCCAATGCCGTGACAAGGGGAACTCCGAGGCCCCGGTCTCTGCCGCGTTGGCATCGCATTCCGTTGGTAGGTCTTGGGACAACGATAGACGGACGATATACCCTTTATCCAATCATACCGACCCCTACCGGTCCGTGGTGAATCTTGGAGGTCAGATTCTCGAAGCGATCCGGAGCGGAGCCAAGGCGGTGGAGTTTCCAGGCTCGGTCCCGGGGCGGTGGTGCAGGGGCCACAGCGCCGACTGGCCAACCGCGCTCAGGTGATTACCCAGCAGGGGTCGGGTGAGATGGAAAAGGCCAATCCAATCAGGGAATCTCATTTTAACTCATTTTGGCACCTGGTGGCGGCTTGTAGACACTGGCAGAGCCAGGCAGCCAAGCTCAGGTTTAACGTTCTTCTTGCCAAGCCCGGGTTGTTTGTTAGCATTTACTGTTACGTATGAGCAGCCCCTTGGCTCACGACAGCAACCTGCAACCTGCAAGTTGCAATACCTAAATAACACACCATGCCAGTGGGATCCAAACCCGCTGCCGAAGGGTTGCGGGAACGGCACAAGGCGGGTTCCGTCGGTAACTCCCGCGAAAAAGAGGACTCAACCCCTAAATTCAACGAATCGAACGAATCAAAACAAGTGCACGCTCAAGTGGCAGCAGCACAAGTCGGCGATGTTCTCAGTTTGCTGCTACTTTTTCGTTTCATCAACGCTCTCTGCGTGCGCACTTTCTTCCAACCTGATGAATATTTCCAAGCACTCGAACCGGCATGGAGCATTGCGTTTGGGACCGACAGCGGTGCCTGGATGACCTGGGTACATTACACCTTCTCTCTTACACCCCTCTTACACTTCTCTCACACCTTCAAGTTGCATGTTTATGTGCTGGTCATGTGTTGTTGTGTATTCTGACAGTCCACGTAAATGCAGGAATGGCAATACCAGCTCAGGTCATCGCTACACCCGGCCATTTTTGGCCTGGCGTACAAGGCTGTGGAGGCTGTCATGAGCTTTCTGCACCTGTTCCCGCCATTCATAGCCTTCATACTTGTGGCCCTACCCGGGGCACTGCAGGCCGTGTTTGCTGCCTTGGGTGACTTTTACACGTGGAAGCTAGCCATGGACATCTACGGCAGAGGGAGCAATGCCCCGTGGGCTGCGGTTAGTTTTTGTCTGCCCTGTGTTGACGTCCACCACTAACTCCTCTAGCTATGGATGTCAGTCTTCAGCCCTTGGCAGTGGTACTGCTCCACGAGGACCTTCTCCAACTCCCTGGAGACAACCTTGACTATCGCCGCTCTGTGCTACTGGCCCTGGGAAGTCCTCGGGGACTCAAAAGTGGATAAGAAAGCGCAAGCACCTCTACAGGAGAGCGGGAGAGTGATGAGGTGGGTTCTTGCTGAAACTAAACCATGGACTCGGCTGACAATGTGGAAGCCTGCGTATCTCGCTTGTATTCGCAGCCATCGCCGTGTTGCTCCGGCCGACCAACCTCCTGATATGGCTTGCCGTCCTGGGCATTTCTCTGGCGCGGCTGGTCTTCGCCGGACAGTCACCCATGCAGACATCGACCCTGCTGGTGCTCTTCCGTGAGATTGTCATCTGCGGCACGGCGGTGTTGGTCGTCTCTCTCGTTTCTGATCGCCTGTACTTTGGCTTTTGGACTTTTCCGCCGTACAACTGGCTCTACTTCAACATCTCGCAGTCCCTGGCCGTTTTTTACGGCCAAATGCCCTGGCACTACTATCTCTCCCAGGGAGTCCCGCTGCTCACCACCACATTCCTCCCGTTCACCCTTGTCGGGATCCACAAGGCAACCTCTTCATCCAAGAGCGCAACGGTCCTTCAATCCGGCATCCTCGGCACTCTGAATACCGCTACCCTAACCATGATCATGGTCCTGTCCCTCATCTCTCACAAAGAAGTCCGCTTCATTTATCCTCTCTTACCGATCCTACACATACTCGCGGCGCCCTACATCACCTCCTTTTTCACCAAACCTACCTCCGACACCTCATCACCCACCCCCCAACCAACCCCCTTCACCCTCCGCCACAAACTCACCCTCACCAACCTCCTCTCCTTCAATCTCCTCCTCGCCGGCTACCTCTCCCTCTTCCACCAACCCGCCCCCCTCTCCGTCCTCTCCTTCCTCCGCACCGACTTTGAGCGCCTCCACCCCGACGCCCTCGACCTAACAACAACAACCCCCCCAACCCAAAACCAAAACCAAAACCAAAACGAAACAAAAGAACTCTTCGCCCTCTTCCTCACCCCCTGCCACACCACTCCCTGGCGCTCCCACCTCGTCTACCCGGCCCTGCGCGCCCGCGCCCTCACCTGTGAGCCACCCCTGCACACCGCCCCCGGCACGACCGAGCGCGACACCTATCTGGACGAGGCCGATCGGTTTTATTACCGTGAGGGTGGTGAGGGGGGTAGTGGTGGTGATGGGGATGGGGATGGGGGGTATGGGGTGGGGTTTTTGGGGCGGGAGGTGTGGCCTCTTCTTGGCGGTGATGATGGCGCTGGCGGTGGTGGTGGTGAGGAGGAGAAGGGGGGTGAGGCGGGGTGGGAAGGTGCCGCGGTATATTGTGGGGTTTGAGGGGATCGAGCCGGTGTTGAGGCGGTTTTTTGAGGGGGCGGACGCGCCTGGTGCTGGGATGGGTGTCAAGCTGACGAGGGTGTGGTCGGCATGGAACGGGGCGTTTAATGAGGACTGGCGGCGGAGCGGGAGGTTGGTGGTGTGGGATACGGGGGTTTATGCGGGTTCTCATGGGGAGGAGAAGGGGGTGTGAGGGATTGTATTGACTACCTACATGTAAGACGTTTCCGTTGGGGTTTCTTTTGTTAGTGTCTGGCATGAGGGGAGGGTGTAATTTGGGATGTAATTGAGAGAGAAAAAAAAAGAAGGGCGAGTCTGTTATTCCTTTGTAAGACTTATTAGATAGATGTATTGTTATAATCTTCTTCTCTTCTGCTCCTCCCTCCCCCCACTGAACTACATGATACTACTCATTGATGCGGTATCGCTGGGCGTCTTCCAGCCATTCAACCTTTCAGCCTCCAGGTACCCTCAACCGCCGGTTCCGTCAAGACCCTGACGGGTTTATGACCGGTACACACCCCGACATCACGTAAGCAAACAGCACCAAGCTAAAAATAAACATCCCAAAGCAGCACACAACACACACGGAGCAGCTCACGGAGAGAAAACCATAGACCGTTGACCACGCTGGGAGTATGCATTTGGGTATTTGTTTGGCTGCCTGTCCAGGAAAAAAGCCAACGCGCATTTTCCGACCAGTCCCTCCTATCATGATATACCGAGGGCTCAAAACACCCACCCATTGCTCATAAACATCATCGTAGCGAGATCATCCCACTCATCCAGCCATTCTGTCCCTCTAAACTCAAGACCGAGCAGCCTCCAGCTCCAGCTCCAGCTGCCGGATCCGCTCGCTCTGGTCTTGCGAGCCGGAGTTGACTCTCTTCTTGAGCGTCTCAACCTCCGAGGCGAGGCGGGTGATGATCTGGGTCTGGGTAGTGATCTTCTCGCTCTGCTCTGTGATAACCTTGCCCTGCTGCTCAATGAGCTGCTTGATCTCGCCCAGCGATGCCTCGACAGCCGGGGTCGGGGGAGCGGCTGCCGTGGAAGAGGCCGCAGGGGCAACACGGGAGACAGAAGCAGGCGATGCCTGCGTTGACTTAACAGGCGATGCAGGCTTCACTTGGACAGGCGGCACGGTAGTGGCAACGGGCTGCGGCTTGGCGGCAGACCGAACGGGGATAGTGGCGCGAGGCGCGGGACGCCCGATCTCCTCGAAGCTCGACGTCTCGGCGCCGTCGTCCGCCTCCTCCTCCTCCTCATTGTCCTGGAACTTGTTCGCCATGGCCGACATGGAAACCTTCTGGTCGGCCATGGTAGCAGGGGCGCGAGTCGGAGCCGGAGCCGGCTCGGGCTCCTTCTTCGGGGCTACGGCAGGTGCCGGGGCGGGAGCAGGCGTGGCTGCGGGCGGCTTGTAGTCGGCCGCAACTTCGACCGGCGCGTTACCGTCATAGATGCTCTCAAGGTCGATCTTGGGCGGGACGGCAGTCTTGCCATCGAACCACTCTTTGGCGGACATGGCAGCTTTGAGGCCGGTGGCGGGAGGGAAAATATCGGACTGGAAAGTCTCGGCACGGCGGGGTACGGTAAATGAGATGGGCTCAACGTATGAATCGTTGACGGTCTTGTAGGCGCGCATAACCTCGTTCTCGTGGACGTTGATGCCGCGGCGAGGCAGGAAAGCAATTCCGCGCTGCGGGTCGGCCGACTTGTATTCGGACAGGAACTCGAATTTGTCGTTCTCATATTCGAAGTAGCGAATGTTGCCGTCGCTAAGAAGGTGAGCATGTCTTGATTATGTAGGGGCTGCAGCAATTAACTTACCCTTTGCCGGCGAGATAAAGGCAGTTGGATCCGTCGTCTACAAAAGGTTTAGTTAGGTGTCGTTCCGCAACTCAAAGGGCAGTGCAGGCTTACCCCAGAAAGGCATGCAAACACCAGAGATAGAATCGAGCGAGGTGAAGCCGCCAATAGGGTCTTTGCGGCCGGGCTCCCACAGGCCAATTTGTCGCTCGCTCATTCTGGAAAAGCCAGTGGTGGCAATGCGGTTGTGCTCGCCGAGCCACACTGCGCGGCTGTTTTTGGCGCCCTCATGACCCGCATATTCGTGGACCGTCTTCTCCTGACGCACATCCCACACTCGCAACTTCTTGTCTCTCGAGGTGGTCACTAACATGGCACCATTGGCACTCCAAGACAGACTTTGCACCATATCCGGGTGCTTCAGGTTAATGGCGGCTTGCCCAGTGGTAACATCCCACAGCTTGATGCTCATGTCGCCAGACGAGGACGCAAGGATATTCTCGGCGGCGGGGTTGAAGAGTACATGGCCGACCTTCCTAGAAGGCAGTGAGTAGGATAACCCAGACATGCTTGAGACCGGTACGAATCGCACCTCGAGTGGCCGGTCAGCTTGCTAACAGGCGACACATCAGTGATCTCCTCGGCATCGGTGAGCAGAGTGAAACCCTGCGGCACCTCCCAGATGAAGACCTTGCCATCATCGGACGCTGAAGCAATAATGCGGTCGTTGTGGGGGTTCCTGGGAGACAGTCAACCAGGGTCTCCTTTGAAGAACAGCAACCGGGATCGGATCCCTGCGACGCACCAGTCTGTGTCCAGCACAGCAGCAGTGTGGCCTCGGAAGAGGGGTATTTGGTCGGGGGCCTTTCCTCGTTCGTTCAGGGGAATGACAGCAAAAGCGCCGCCTCCGCTAGATTCCCAATTGACGGAAAGGTACTCGGGGTTGACCTAGAGTGCAGCCCGACGGTCAGTTGCTAGTTCGAGATGCGAGAATGCGGGGCAGATCGGTGGAGGGTGTCGGGTGGCCAGTAAGTACCTTCACGAGGTTGGTATCCCAGGCATTGCGACTAATGTGGAGGTTGTCATAGCAGATGTCTTTCTTGGTGGGCTTCCCAAAGATGTGTCCTGGTCAAAGGGTCGGTCAGTAGCTGTCGCATGCAAGGCCGCCATCTTGGAGTAACAGCAGCAGCGCAGCAGAGCACGCGAGCAGAACCTGGGGATGCCTACGGTATTTCGACGCGCGGACAAATCGGCCGGCCATTGGATCGAGTAGTTAAAGAAGACCGATCAGGAGAAGAGTTGGGTGTGTCTACAGGTTTGCGAAAGAGATAGTTGACAATGTCGACTTGGGTTGTCTTGCATGTCAAAGAAGTTTAGGGGAGCTCAGGAGGGTCACTCCATTCCAGGATGGGTCTGCTTGGCGAGGCTGTGCCCACTCCTCCTGAGCGCTTGGTCCGTTCACTCCCTGTTCCTGGTTCGGTGATTGGCGCTTACTGGGATGCCCCTCCATTCACCGCATACAGTTGTTCCCACATTCACCCGTCTCGAGTCCTCAAACAAACCTGAGATGACATGAACCGATGGAGGTTATATAGTAGAAAAAATGGAAGTCTTTGTTTTGAAACAAAGAAGGCCTCGTTTTCCGAAAAGGCAGCGCGACTAATTTGACGCTTCCCAAGCAACTACCTAGGAACGTGAGATCTCGAACATGGGACAACTTCTAGGTTGCCAAGACCCTGTCGAGGACCCCATGATAGACCCTGAATCCGATCAATTTTGTCATCGAAGGCCGACTGGTGTAGTGGTTATCACGTCTCGTTCACAAAGTTGAATTAATTGGAAATTCTCACCGAGAAGGTGCCAGGTTCGATCCCTGGGTCGGTCAATCCTTTTGCCTTTGGGATACCCATGTCTAGTTACTTTTGTAACCACAGAAGTGCGCTTTTGGCAGTCTCTTTGTTCTAACAATTCCTTATTCTCTCTGGATAGACTGAGCATTGACCTACTCGGAAACTTGTTGGGATCGATTGGTGCATCCGAAGCTTGAGATGCACACATACTTTTTTGCCATGCTTTTGCTCTGGACGGACTGGATGTGACTTCCCCCACACATAACCCCAACCCTGTCTATCCACAACTCTTTTCTTCCCTCAGCTGGATACATCAGTTCAATCAAACACAGTCAAATCTATCACAGTTAAATGAATTAACTTGCTTAATGAACTGGGGTATACGCCTTGCAGTGGCCAGAGGGGTAACTAGGGTTATCTATTTTCCGTTTTTCCACCTTGGCACTTCTCATGTATTTAGGAGAGACAGCTCCCGCCCTCTCGGGGGTTAAGGGGGCAGACAATTCTCACTCTTTTCTTTCAACACTTGCAGAAGTGACATTTCTTTCGCGGCAGCTGTGACCGCGGCCCTCTGACCAGAGGGCCACGCGCGTAGGCGTATCGATACCGCGATCGTAGGATCCGCGGCATCACTTTGTTGTTTCTTGAGCCATCTCCTCTCTCATGCTGCATTGACATCACAACGAGCGTGGCACGTGACCAGCGTTGGTGGTGTGTGTGGTTTTGAGGTGTATCACCGCTTTAGTACCGCGAGTGCAATCTACCACTCGACTGGCGCATCGCAACTACCGACAATGGCTGGACTACCAATGCAGTTGGCCTTGAGTGGATCAAGCACTTCGACTACCATACGGCGCCCCGGACAAAGGGTATATACCGGTTATTGATCCTCGACGGCCACGAAAGCCACCACTCCACCGAGTTCGAGCTCTACTGCCGGGACAACAAGATCATCACACTCTGCATGCCTGCACACTCCTCCCACAAGTGCCAGCCACTTGATGTTGGCTGCTTCGGGCCACTGAAGCAGGCATACGGTCGCCTGATCGAGGAGCTGATGCGCGCACACATCAACCATATCACCAAGCTCGAGTTCCTTTGTGCCTTTCGCGAAGCCTTCTTTGCTTCCATGACAGAGAGGAATATCCAGGGTGGCTTTGCAGGAGCTGGCATCGTACCGTACGATCCAGAGAGGGTGCTTTCCAAGCTGGATATAAGACTTCGTACACCAACACCCCCGACCTCACGGCCCGGTACTGCACAACCTTGGGTCTCCAAAACCCCACACAACGCCCAGGAAGCCAGCTCGCAGTCAAACCTTATTAAGTCTCGCATTGCCAGCCATCAAAACAGCTCCCCAGCTTCAATGTTGGCTGCTGTTGACCAGCTTACCAAAGGTACAACGGCTGTAATGCACCAGGTGGCTCTCCTTCAGTCAGAGGTCTCTTCGCTCCGCAAGGCCAGCGAGGCACTGAGCAAGCGACGGAGGGCCAAAAAACACGTGTACAGCTTGGAGGGTCACTTACTGTACGGGATGCACAGGATCTACTGGACCAGAGGGCTGTGGGTAAGGGGGCACCGCAGGAAACACAGCCGGATAGTAGTGGTGCAGGGGGGGCTCGTGCGAAGGTTCGGCGCTGTAGTAAGTGTGGCAAGCCTGGCCATAATGCGCGTACTTGCCAGGAGGCTACAGAGGTCTCTGATGCAGCTGTTTCCGATGTGATTGTAGTTAGTTACTAGGGTTGTTGTGTTGTGATTGTAGATAGTTGTTGCAAGGTGGTAGAAAGTGCGTCGCTCGCTTATATGCGTCGCTCGCTTATATGCGTCGCTCGCTTATAATATACGTTACAGGATTCCCGCAACTGTGGGAAAACACAAGTGGGAGGCGCACAGACCACCACTGAGGCTGCGGCCAGGGTTAGGGTCAGAACCACCCTGCCGTCACAGGTGCAGTCACCAGCGAAACCGGCTTCCGCTTTGCTTTCACACATCTTTCTGACGCACGAACCGTTTATGCATCTAACCAACCACACCGTGTGCCCTCTGTGACGGAGAATGTGCCCGGTGCCCTGGGTTAGGGTTGGATGCGCATTCCCTGTCATACACTGCAGTGGTCTGTGCGCACACCACACTTATTCCACGGCCCATGCCTGTATTTTAATCTTTTCTCTCTCTTTTCCTTAGCTTTCGATTAACGGAATAGAGTGGTATTTGCGGCGCCATCGAGCCTTGTGTTTCATATCGCTCCTCTCTCACACCCTCGCACGCATTGGTGTACTGTACATGCCAGGCAGTGTCACGGGGCGAGGTCAGGGGAGTCGCGGGACAGGGTCAGGTTCTGGCTAATGACTGAGTTGTGCGATGAGGAGAGAGGAAGCTCTCGCAAGGGGACGCTAACGGAGAGGAGATCCTGCTGCTAGTGTGGGTCCAGGTCACGTGGGCACGTGCTGCCCACGTGACCCAAGCAGGTCAGGCTTGGTGCCGTGACAGGCAGGATATACATGGTAATGCAACAACGTAGTATTACGATGGATGACCTTCAGCCAATGTGACGAACCTCCTTCAGGACCCTGTCCTGTTAGGGTTCAGCTTCGGTTGAAGGTAATCTCTCAAGGGTGCTTAGGTTCGGTGCAGCCAAAAGGTGCACAACAAAGACTTGTCTCAACAGTATGCTTCACGAGCTTGTAGCGAACTGTAGTTGTGGTTGCTAACTAAAGAACTCCCAGAGCTCTCCAGAACGAGGGACTATATACTAGCTAGTATCACCATCCCGTTGGTGATAATCCCCAGTTGTCACTGACAGCTGGTGATAATCGTTCAGTATCACTGACACCCAGTGATAATTGTTCCCATTGGTTCTTAAACGATTGGCTGTCGGCGTCCTGCGCCTTTGGCTGCGACCGCCCCGGCCCGTGTCTTGGGTCATTCCGTGACAGCCAACCTGGACTGTCAGCCAGAAATGGCTGTTATTACGATGACCGTGGTCGAATAATAAGCCGAACCCGGCTCTTCCATCAACGGTTAGGTTAATAGATAAGGGAGGGCACGTCTGGCTTCCTTGACCAAGTGCTGGATAACGATGGTTCTAGTTGCTGCTGCTCGACTGCCGGCCCGCCGTCGTCTGCCGTCGCCGCATTTCGGACGATGCGGGTACGGTCTCCGTGTCGCTGTTTGTCACATATGCTATTGGCCAATTTAGCCGCCAGAGCATGCTATTTTTGACGCACCACTGGCGGTCATGTGACCCTGTTGACTCATTCAGTCGTGGTGAGGGCTTCCACTCCAGCGCAGCACCTCCCGGTGCGTTGCAGCCATTCCCCAATGCATTCTCTGCGAGAACGATCTGTACAGCAATCCGCAGCATGGCGCCCAATCTTTCGCTCTCTCAACATCATCAGATCCGAGATATGATCCTGAGTAATTCGCTGACCGGCGTTCAGATTGCCAGCGTAGCAGGCTGCAGCCCGCGCTCCATCCGCAGCATCCGAACAAACCTTCGATGCTTTGGAACAACTAAAGCGCCGGCGAACGGGTTGGACGCCCGAAGAGCATCACGCCTCCCATGCTACGTGCATTATGCGACCGATTGATCAAGAAGCCGCACATGTACCAGGACGAGATGGTTGTGTTCCTCTGGGATGAGTTCAACATCTTGGTAACAATGCACAGTATCGACAGAGCTCCGAAAGGAGTGGGTTGGTCCAAAAAAGCCGCACGCCGCGTTGCGCAAGAACGAAACGCGGATCTGCGAGACATCTACTTCCACAATCTCTCCGAGTTTCGCTCTTACCATCTGGTCTACATTGACGAGTCAGGTTGTGACAGGAGGGTTGGATTCAGGCGCACCGGATGGTCTCCCTTGGGGGTATCACCGGTACAAATTGCTCGATTCCACCGTGGCCGGAGGCACCAGATTCTCCCGGCATATGCGCAAGGCGGTATTGTTCTAAGTCAGGTGTTCCAAGGCTCCACGGACAGTATTGTGTTCGAGCAGTTTATCGAGCAGCTACTTCCCCATTGCGGGAAATGGCCCGAACCGAAATCGGTTCTCATAATGGACAATGTTTCATTCCATCGCTCGGATAGATTGATCAGCTTTGTGCTGCAGCCGGAGTGAAACTTCTCTATCTACCTCCTTACTCACCAGACTTAAACCCAATCGAGGAGTTCTTTGCGGAGCTGAAGGCATTCATCAAGCGGAACTGGCAGCTTTATGGAGATCTTCCACATCAAGACTTTGGAGCATTCCTGGAGTGGTGTGTTGACACCGTGGGAGCAAGGGAGTCAAGCGCAGCAGGACATTTTCGCAACGCCGGGCTTTGCATTGAAGAACCGTAGCACTCATACCGTACAGTTACATAGATTGCCTTATCTTTATACCAAGCACTCGCATCTAGACTAGAAGTTTTGTTGCTGAGCCCACGCGCCAATGTCACTAACAACCCGCCGAGCAATGCCTCTCTTCACGCTATTGTCTATATAAAACGCCGCATCTTGGTCCTTGAAGACCTGCTCAAGGTCCAGACCATAGGCCAGTGTCAAATCACAAGCTTTCCAGTACTCCATCTTAAGAGCTTCATCACTAACTTGCCAACATTGCCAATCGCAATACCGCTTGACGGCAATATCACGCAACCCTGGTATTTCAAGCCGAGCAGAATGATCACATGAAACTAGTCCTGTGGATTCAGGTGTTGCTGGTACCGAACTCAGCGTTGAGGCCTGAGGGGTGGCGGGCATAACGTTGGTAATGTTGATGGGCGGAAAGTTAGCCTGGGAGGCCCCTTGCTTCCTTTGCCGCTCCGCATACTGCGCTTCCTTAGCATACAGCTGTTCGCGTATTTCATGTGGCATATCGTCGTGGGTTTGTAAACTGCAACCTTGTTCTACGCATTTGATGAGGTTTCTCAGGTGGTGAGTCTTTAGCTTGTAGTGCCTGTTTCCAATGGAGTCACGCCAGCAGTATGGTCCTAGGTGGCAAGGCGGCCCAGGGAATCGCATCAGATTATACACTTCACGCCAGATGGATGGATGACCTGAGACTTCTTCAGCATCAAGCTGCATGGCCCGCTCGGAGAGCATCCGGTCGGAGGTGGACGAAAACACTCGCTTGGTAGCCTGCCGCGCTGTTGCGTTCCGCGATCGGCTCGTCTCGACGTACTTGAATGACATCTGGATTCTGAGCTTCTTCCCGGCACGAAATAGTCTACTCCATGCCTGGAGCTGCCTCTCCAGGATGGCCCACTCAATGTCCAGTTCGTCAAACCGCTTAACGAGGTCCCGCTCCGAGCGATCCGTGACGGATACCACAACATTAGTTTCTTCGGCCTTGTATGCCTTATTCGGTAGGAGCTTTTTGTCGAGAAGCTTCTCGAGCTTGGGCTGCAGAATTGCAGCCCAGAAAGCGCGAGGCACAAGAACCAGGTCTGCTCGGTGTCTTTCGCGGCCATTCTATTATTAATTGTCAACTTCCATTCGATGGAATAGTGGATACAAGTAGGTGGATGTTCGTCGTATGCCAAGTCTCCATGCCAGTCAGCCAGCTGTACAAATGACAGTCCCCGATCGCGCCGCGCCGTGCTTTGACTGGCCAAGGCGACATCGTCGGCATCGGCGTCCGTTGACGGAGAGGTCTTAGACGATAGACGGTCGGTCGGAATGCCGGTCGTGTAATCGGCGAGCAAGTCGGGAGGCTCGGACGGCGGCCAAACGACAAAGTCGTCAAATGCGAAAGAGTTCGGATGTGTCATGGCTGCTAGCTCAGGCAGTGTTCGCTCGGCAATTGGTAAGACGCAAGGACCTAGGTTCTACGATATACTGTGAATTAATGTTCGCATTCGCATGACGGTTGGGAGTTGGGTTTACCTTATATCATCAACGGGCGATGCTTCCTGCTACCAGTACCAGGATGCATTTGGTAGAAGGACGCCAGATCGATCGCGGAGTGCGACGAAGCCGGCAAGTGGGAGGGCGGGGGACTTGGTGTGGCCGAGTGGATCAGTATCCGTGGCGAGTTACGTGACGAGCTAGTCGCTGCTAATAAATTTAGCTCGTGCCAGAATCCGGGCTTGGAGGAATCGAGGGCCCACGCGATCATCGGATCAAGCAATCTGACAGGCCAAGCACTGTTCTTCGACGGAACGCAGCGACTTATTCCTACAAGGGAAAGCGGAAGCTGCCATCTTGTGAACGATCACACTGTCGCCGTTGATGAGGTGATGGTTTATCGTCGATGAGTGGGTTAAAGCGGCCTCGACAAACCCCGCGCTAGGCCAAACCTGCGCAATTGGGTCGAGGCAGTTGTGTCGGGCAGCGGTTGGGCAGCGCGACGCCCTTCTCCCCAAACCTTGCGATCTTCAAACAGATTGCTGTAGCCACGATTCTCCATCGCTCCCTCGAACCAATTCCTCAATTCGTACATAGTACACGTCAATCGTTCCGTTGTTTCCCGGCACGATGGAGGGGCTCGGGGCCGCCGCAAGCGCCATCGCCGTCGTCGAGTTGACCGCCAAGGTCGGCTCCCTCTGTCTCGAGTACTCGTCCGCCGTTAAGAGCGCCAGGTCCGACATCAAGCGCCTGCGAAAACATACCGATACCTTAAAGACAACCGCTGAAGGCGTACAAGAGCTCCTCCAGGGTCCATATGGAGCTCGGCTCGAGACGTCGCAAAAGCTGCGCGAAGCCCTTAGCAATACCTGCTCGCAGCTTGGTGATGTCGCTACGAAGCTGGAAGAGAAGTTGCACAAGGGTCATAGGGCAAAAATGATGAGACGTGTAGGGCTGCGAGCCTTCGGGTGGCCGTTCGAGAGCAAGGACGTGGACAAGATCATTGCGAACCTTCAGCGGGACCAAGACTCCTTTTCCGCCGCCCTTCAAATAGATCAAACGTATGCGCAAGCCTCATACCTTGGTTAATACATAGCTAACAGTAATTTCCAGCGCCGAAATCCTCGATATCCACTTTAAGATCGACCTAACAGCGCTCCCGGTCGCAAGCGGCGCGGCCTCCGACTCGCACGCCGAGGAGCACAACGCACGTTGCCACCCCGACACCCGGACCAAGCTCCTTCGCCAGATCCGGGAGTGGGCAAACGCTCCTCAAGCCGAGAACATATTCTGGCTGAACGGCATGGCAGGAACGGGAAAATCCACCATCTCCCGGACCGTGGCCACCTCGTTCGCGAAAGACGGCCTACTTGGCGCGAGCTTTTTCTTCAAACGGGGAGAGGGCGACCGTGGCAACGCTGGCTTGGTTTTCCCTACCATTGCTCGTCAGCTTGTGCAAAAAATCCCTGCCCTGGTGCCTTCCGTCAGAGAGGCTATCGATGCCGACCCGGACATTCCCAAGAGAGCACTGAGGGACCAGTTCGAAAAGCTCATCCTCCATCCGCTTGGCCGCATTCAGCGCACCACGGCAATCGTGGTCATTATTGACGCTCTCGACGAATGTGATGGAGACAAGGACGTCAAGACTATCATCTCGCTGTTCGCACAAGCAAGCGCCGTACGCTCCGTGCGTTTGAGGATTTTCATCACCAGTAGGCCTGAGCTGCCTATTCGCCTCGGTTTTAAGGATGTCCAGGGAAAATACCAAGGCCTAGCTCTACACCAGATACCAGAGCAAGTTGTGGAACAGGACATATCCACATTTTTGGCGTCTGAACTCACGCGAATCAAGGGTGACTACAACGGACAAGTGCCACTAGGCTGGCCGGGCGAAGGTGACATTCGAACTCTCGCTCAGATGGCTGTCCCACTATTCATTTTTGCCGCAACCGTCTGTCGCTTTGTGGACGATCAGGGAAGGTCGAACCCTGCCAAACGATTAAAGAATGTCTTAGAATACCAAACGGCGACTCGCAATTCCACGCTCGACAAACTCGACGCCACATATCTCCCCGTTCTCGACCAGCTCACCTCTGGACGCACCGATCAGGACAAGGCCGAAGTGCTAGCCGAGTTCCGAAGTATCGTTGGCCCCATTATACTCCTTGCTCAGCCGCTCTCAGTACGGTCACTAGGACAACTTTTAGATGTCGAATGCGAAAACGTCCACGCATTGCTCAACTCTCTCCACTCTGTCCTTGATGTCCCCTCAGTGGACGATGCCCCAGTCAGGCTCTTTCACCTATCCTTCCGCGACTTCCTGGTTGACCCGGCCAAGCGTACCAAGAATGAGTTTTGGATCGACGAGGCAGAATATCACAAGACGCTTACGGAAAGATGCATCCAACTGATGGACCAATGCCTGGGACAAGATATCTGCTGTTTAAAGGTGCCGGGAATGCTGCGGTCAGAGCTCGACCAGCAGACTATCAACGCCCACCTGCCGCCTGAAGTTCAATACGCCTGTCAGTACTGGGTCCACCACCTAAAGGAAAGCAAACATAATATAGAGGACGACGGCCCAGTCCACACCTTCCTGACAAACCATCTCCTTCACTGGCTTGAGGTTTTGTCTCTCCTGGGAAGGCTCTCTGATGGGGTATTGTTGATAAGAACGCTTCTGCACGCTGCCCAGGTCAGTTAATAATACCGTTATAATGCTATATAGTAACTAATTATTGCTAGCTGCAGCCGGATACAGCTCCTAACTTTATTGGCTTCTTGGACGATGCAGAAAAGTTTATTCGCAGTCATGGAGCGATTATGGAACGGGCTCCATTACAGATATACGGTTCTGCACTTGTCTTCAGTCCAACCTTAAGTGGGGTCAGAAAGCAGCAGTGGAAGAAGAGGCTATCGTTTATCAAATCGGTCGCAGGTATTAATGACCACTGGGGCACGCTTCAACAGACGCTCGAGGGGCATAGCGATTCGGTCATGGCGGTGGCGTTCTCACCGGATGGCAAAACGCTTGCGTCAGGTTCGCACGACAAGACCATCCGGCTCTGGGATGCGGTCACGGGCACGCTCCAACAGACGCTCGAGGGGCATAGCAATTGGGTCACGGCGGTGGCGTTCTCACCGGATGGCAAAACGCTTGCGTCAGGTTCGCGCGACAAGACCATCCGGCTCTGGGATGCGGTCACGGGCACGCTCCAACAGACGCTCGAGGGGCATAGTGATTCGGTCTTGGAGGTAGCGTTCTCACCGGATGGCAAAACGCTTGCGTCAGGTTCGCACGACGAGACCATCCGGCTCTGGGATGCGGTCACGGGCACGCTCCAACAGACGCTCGAGGGGCATAGCAATTCGGTCACGGCGGTGGCGTTCTCACCGGATGGCAAAACGCTTGCGTCAGGTTCGCACGACAAGACCATCCGGCTCTGGGATGCGGTCACGGGCACGCTCCAACAGACGCTCGAGGGGCATAGCAATTCGGTCAGGGCGGTGGCGTTCTCACCGGATGGCAAAACGCTTGCGTCAGGTTCGCACGACAAGACCATCCGGCTCTGGGATGCGGTCACGGGCACGCTCCAACAGACGCTCGAGGGGCATAGTGATTCGGTCTTGGAGGTAGCGTTCTCGTTAGTTGGGAACTCAGGCTTAGACGCCTCTAAAAACCAGGGACTAGGAGGCAATATTCTCTTTATCGATGGCGAATGGATCACCACGGGTGGAAAGAATCTTCTCTGGCTTCCTCCCGATTACCGGGCAACGTGCACATCAGTGTACGACCATACATTGGCCCTAGGGCATGCCTCTGGGCAAGTGACATTCTTCCAGATTGTTTCCGTTTAGTAATGAGCATTATATATTTTTGATATCTTTGTTCAAATGAAGGGTCTGGGAGAAACGTTTCCTTTATGCTACTTAGCTTTCGCCACTTACGCAAATGTTGACAAGTACGTCTTTGCCACTCCCTGGCACCTCAGACGATTTGAGGTGGCATGCAAGGGCCGTATACCTACCGAGCCCCCGCAGTGGACACCCTATGCCGCACTTACATCCGGCAGTCTTCGGCTCTCTCGGGCTTCCAACCCCGTTGGCTGGCGCTTTACTTGTCCCAAAGCATCGAAGGCTGGTTCGAATCGTGCGGATGGAGCGCATGCCGCAGCCAACTACGCTGGCAATCTGAAACTGGTCAACGAATTGTTCAGGATCATGTCTCGGATCCGATGACGTTGAGAGAGCGGAAAATTGGCGCCATGCTGCGGAATACTTTACTGCAATCGCAAAGAGTTCAGTGCTGCTTGTATGGCTGTGAAAAACCTGCGAAGTGCCGTAGAGGCCCTCACCTCGACAGAATGCGTCAACAGGGTCACATGACCCATGTGTGGAGTTTCAAATTAGCATGATCGCGCGGCTAAATGGGCCAATGCTCTGGAGAATGGAAAACAACGGTCCCTGCGGCGATGCTAGGATCTTGTGTGCCCCACCCTTAGAGGGACTGCGGCCGACAGCAGACAGCTAGATGGGCGGAACTATCGCCATCCAAGATACTTGGTCAAGGAATCAGCGGCGCCCTCTCTTATCTATTAACACGTTGGCGGAAACTGCAATGGAGTCGGATTCGCATTAAAACTTGTCGGCAGTCATAGTAATGACCGTCATTTCTTGCCACAGCCACTTTTTGCTGATAGTGTAGATTGATTACCAGGTTGGCTAATAGTTCCCGGTTGGCTTACAATCATCGTAACACAGCGAAGGCACACGGTGTGGATGGTTAGATGCATAAATGGTCCGTGCGACAGAAAGATCTGAAATAGAAAAGCGGAAGCCGATCGTGTGTGTGTGTGTGTGTGTGTGTGCGTGTGTGTGTGTGTGTGTGTACTTCGTAGAATATTCGCATTGGAGTTAGGGTTGGGGGCTGGGAGTGTGCCAGCCGAGCCAGCCCAGCAGAAGAAAACATAATTAGGTAGGTAACTAACAAACTAGTTAACTAGTTAACTATGCCAGTGATACGAAAGTATCTGAAATAGGGGAGAACAACGAAAAGAGGTGGGAAAGGCTCTTGATTCTGGAAAGGAAGCATCGCGATGGCTGCCATGGAAGTAATTCCACTAACTAACTAACGTAATCTATCACCTTTCCGGCCACTTTCCAGCCCCGCACCCCACCACGTCGACTTTGGAAACACCCCACAACGCAAAAGAGAGTCTATTCGAAATACAATCTACATAATTCGAGTCCTTATTTACATGGGCATTTTCTGGCGTTGTGCTCGATTGAGCCACAAACACTGCACTTCGGCTGCGCACGCTTTCGTGCCTTTGGCGCGGTCGTGTCCGATGGCCCCACCTCTCCTTCTTCGACCTCTCGACGAGCTTCCTGGCTTCCTTGACCCTTCTGACGAGCATTCTGGGAGGCCTCGATGTGTGTCATCCCTTCTCCAATCGTCATAGTCCCTCCTGTTTGAATGAAAGCTCGGCGTGCCCGCTTTCTCTTTTGTCGACCATTTTCAGCTCGAAGTCACGAGTTCTCTTCATGTAAAAGAGTAGCATTGTGCATCGCCATCTGGCAGCCCTTGATGATTTTCTGAAGCGCCTGATCCGTGGGACTTATCTCTCTCTGGTGTTTCCTCTGGAGAGAGTCAAGCTCGACTATGTTTACTGGCGTTTTGAGACGCAGACTTGGCGGTTGGATAGGGGTAGGAGGGGGGTTCGGTGTCCGTATCCTGGTTTGTAGCCGACAAAGAACCTGAGTTGGATCGAGAGGCAAGAGCCCTGTAGCCCTAAAGCCACTTACGATGTTCCTTGTGCTGAACGTCTTTTTCCGAGCTTCAAGAAACAGTTCGAGGAACCTTGGTTTGTCGATGTGATAAACCCCGAGTGCTATCATCGCTTTGACAAGGTCGCCGTACGTCCGCTTCAGCACAGCGAAACAGCTGACGTCAAGAGGTTGGAGGTGGTGCGACGAGTGCGGAGGCATGCACTCTGTAAGGATCCGATGCTCAGTACAGAATTTGTCGAATGCAGGCGTCGAATGACTTCCATGACCATCGAGAATAAGAAGCCGATATCGACCAACAGTCCGTTTTCGAGTTTGTGGCTCGAAGACTTCTCGAAGCCACTCGAAGGTAAGCTCATCGGTTGTCCAGCCGTTATCGCTGACTCCATTACGCCATATCTTTGGCAGCACTGAGCCGTCGTACCACGACAAAATGTGGACTTTTCCTTCAAAGATAATCATCGGGTCAACACTCCAGCCGGATGCGTTAATGCACTCGATGACAGTTGTCCACTCTCGATTTCCCGGCTGGATAACAACAGGTCGATTCCGTCGGTCAGATCGAGTGACCACTTTAGACGTGCTTGCAACACCCATCTGGAAACCAGTTTCGTCAAAGTTGTAGATGTCGTTGTCAAGAACACCATATTCGTTGATGGTCTTTTGCACTCATGCAAACCACGCTGAAATTTTCTCTGGGTCCTCGCATAAGGCTTGTTGATAGTCGTACTTCCTAGAATACTTTGTGTTCAGATGGGGATGCCGATGAAGAAGCCGCTGGACCCAGTTCTCGCCGACAGTCATTGCCGGGACCGGGGTGGATGTAAGAGACGCGTCGAGTAAAGTGAAGCCTCCACGCTCGCGGAGAAGAAGGTCAGCCATCTGTCGGATATAACCGATCGTCGGCGACATCCCACGGTCGTCCAATGACTCGGTCCATTGAATCAAGGCTGCTTCTTCAGTTGGGAGTAGTTTTCGACTCTTGACTTGCGCTTGTTGACGCGTAGCACCGCCTTTGACGCGTTCATGAAGAGTCGACTTCGGTACGTCAAATGCAGCTGCAGCCTTGCGAATGGTTTGGATTTGGCCCAAACGTAACGCCTCAACCGCTAATTGGATCCTATCTTCGTGCTGCAGAGGCTTTGGCATTTTGCCGGGCACGATGGAGCCGAGAGGTGCGTCCAAAGTCGACGTGGTGGGGTGCGGGGCTGGAAAGTGGCCGGAAAGGTGGTGTGGCCGGAAAGGTGATAGATTACGTTAACTAGTTAACTAGTTACGAGCAGCATAGGTTTTTTTTTAAACACGGTCGTTATGACGACATTGCTGGACCCTCTGTTTGCAAACACCAGCATTTTCATAAGCCTTCCGAATTCGCAAAACAACTTGATTACACCTCAACTTACGGCTAATTTTTGGTGCGATGTCGAGCAAGACAAAATCACGATGGGCAGATGATGAGGCGGATGCAGCACTCGAAGCACAGCTGAAGAAGGAGAAGGAGGAAAAGAAACGATTGAAGGCGGCGAAGGCACGCAAGCTCGAGGCTGAGAAGCAAGCGAGGGAAGCTGCCGCGGCCGCGGCACAACAAGAAGGCGACAGCACCAACGGGCCTCCGGCGAAACGGCGAAGGATATCACCAGAGCGCGAAGCAGCGCAAGCCACCGGGCAATCTAACGAGAGCAACGACGCGCCGAAACTGTTGCGCTTCTATGGCGGCGCGTTCGGCAGGTCCCGCAGCGTCGAGAACTACAACAAACTTAACGACATCGAGGAGGGCGCCTACGGCTGGGTGTCGCGGGCTAAGGAGGTCGCGACGGGCAAAGTGGTGGCACTCAAGAGGCTGAAGATAGACCCCAGAGACCGTGGGGGGCTACCCATCACGGGGCTGCGCGAGATCCAGATTTTAAAAGACTGCGACCACCGGAATGTGGTCAAGCTGCAGGAGGTGGTCGTAGGGGATGACACGAGCAAAATCGAAAAGTATAGCACCTCCCAACAGCACCACACCCACCCGGGATGCCGACTCCAGTAGCTAACCCCCGCATCTTTCTCCAGCATCTTCCTCGTCCTCGAATTCCTCGAACACGATCTAAAATCCATCCTCGAAGACATGCCCGAGCCGTTCCTCGCATCCGAAGTCAAAACCCTCCTCCAACAACTCGCCTCGGGCGTAGCCTACCTCCACGACAACTGGATCCTGCACCGCGACCTCAAAACCTCCAACCTCCTCCTCAACAACCGCGGGCAGCTCAAGATCGCCGACTTCGGCATGGCGCGATACGTGGGCGACCCGGCGCCCAAACTGACCCAGCTCGTCGTCACGCTGTGGTACCGGGCGCCCGAGCTCCTCCTCGGCGCGGCGCGGTACGGCGGCGCCGTGGACATGTGGAGCGTGGGGTGCATCTTCGGGGAGCTGCTGACGCGCGAGCCGCTGCTGCAGGGGCGCAACGAGGTGGACGAGCTGGCCAAGATCTTCGAGCTGTGCGGGACGCCGACCGACGACACCTGGCCGGGCTTCCGGCGGCTGCCCAACGCGCGCGCGCTGCGGCTGCCGTCGGCGACGACGATGACGAACGGGAGGGCGGTTGGGTCGGCCATACGCGCCAAGTTCCCGCTGCTTACGGCCGCGGGCGTGGGGTTGTTGAATGGCCTGTTGGCGCTGGACCCGGACAGGCGGCCGACGGCGAAGGAGATGTTGGCGCATGAGTACTTTGGGCAGGACCCGAAGCCGAAGCAGGAGGCCATGTTTCCGACTTTTCCGAGCAAGGCTGGACAGGAGAGGAGGCGGAGGCGAGAGACGCCGAATGCGCCCATACGGGGCCAGCAGGCGGCGGATTTTGGGGCGGTGGATTTCAGTGGGATTTTCTCGGGGAGGGAGAGGGAGGAGAGGGGAGGGGGGTTCTCACTGCGGATGGTGTAGAGCCGTCTTCTCCAGAGGACAACCATAATGTTTGGATAGCCTCATGGCGGGCACACATGTAATCCAAAAGGGATGCTTCATTAAGCTACCTAATAATATATATGCAGTGGTGTCGTGAGCAAGAAAATACATGCAACAAATGCTCTCCTTCTCGACTCTTTGTTTCCGAGCTCTGAGCCCGGCCTGGGCAAAAAAATATCCAGATAAAATGCAAACAGTACTCGATCCAACGCCCTTTCCGCTCTTTGCACTCCATGATAGTGGAAAGACCGGGACCAAAACCTCGGTCATATCCTGTCCCTAAAACACATTACAAGACATATCCGCTGCCACAACCATCCTCTCCGTCTCTCCCACCGCTCCTCACTCCTCAGCCTCTAGGGCTAAATTAAAAAATCGCTCCCAGGCCGGAAACAAACCAGGTAAAGCTGAGAACAGTAACGGCACTCATAACAACCGCAGTACCCACCGCGCGGTTGTCCATGCCGGACCCGGCGCCGCTGCACGAGGCGCACTGGTATCCGTCGTTGTTGTCATGATAGTCCTGCTTCTCGTACAGCCCAAAGTAGAACAGGGAGAACGGGGCGAGGTATCCCGGCTCGGGAGTGGCGCTGATGCCGCCGTCGGCGTCGGCGATCACCAGCGTGTATTGCTCCGTCAACAGCGGGTTGGCAACGTTGCTCTTCTGGAACTTCTCCGTGTCCCAGGTGTAGGTGCCGGGATCGGTGAATGACATGTTCTGCGTCAGGGTCCACGGTTGCGGTACCTTGCTGCACTTGACGTAGAGGTCGATGGCCGTCGGCGTAGCCTGCAAGTTGGTGTAGTTCCACCCCCACGTCACGTAGTCGCCGATCTTGTACAGCTGGGTGCCGTCGAATACTCCCGGCGTCACCATCACCACGCCACCGACGGGGTCCTGGGGGTCGAACTCGGTCTTCTTGGGCGCGCGCGTGCGCGTGGCGTTGCCTGTTTGCCGCACGGTTCCCGTCTGCGTGATGCCGCCCGTGTTGAGGTTTGTTTGAATCGGTTCCGAAGGATCGCGAGAAGATGTCGTCTTTGAGTCTTCATTGTCGTCGTTATTGTTGGGGGGGTTGGATGATGCTGTTTGCGAGGCAGCAGGTGCTTCTGTAGGCAAGTGTATGTTAGGTACGCGATTGCATCAGCAGGGCGGGCGCTGGGTGGATGCATACCATTTTGAGATGAACCATCATCTTGCCGAACAACTAACGAGTCAAGCTCTGGAAGCCATCTTGGCCATGCCAACGCAGAAACTGCAGGAGTCAAGGAGAGCAGGGCCACGGCCAACTGGCTGACGGATAGAGGAGACTTCATGGCGGGGAGTTGTTGGGGGTTGGTGAGGAAGACCAAAAAACGATAGTGCGGACCGTGCCCGAGCTCTTCAATCCCCCAGACCTCACAGTTCGACCCGAAAAAAAAAACTTGTCTAACACCGGAGAATTTGGTCTGCGGTGTTGGGGGAACAATGGCCGGAACACGGGCGTGGCACGGCGTTGGCGCGGGTAGCCCCTATTACTAGGTCGGCCAAAATTTAGGCCCGCGCGAAATGGTGTGGAGAAAAACAAGACGATGGGAACACCAGACGAAACCGGGGAGTTGCGGGTATCTTCAAACTGTCGATAGGGTGTTTTGCACTTCAGGAAAGCAAACGAAGCGAGTGTGGTTGCTGAAGAAACAGGTGGTAAACGAGGGGCCCTGATGGCTCTGGAAGCAATGCAGCGAGTTGATGATCGGGAGATGGTTGGAATGGAGGCGCCCCAGGTCGACTTTGATGCGATCTGTCGAGCGCTTGACCAACCGATGGATGCGCTCGGGGCGTCCCACCCAATGGCAGGAGCGGAAGACCCGGGCTGAGTCCAGGCCCGAGTGGCGCTGGGATGGATCTTGTCCCAATCAACCAGGTTGCCAACTGAATTGTCACCCTGCGAACAAAAAAAGCCGGATTCCAACTGAAGTGTCGACCAAACCTCAACCAGAGAAACGAAACGAAAGCCATCCAAAGGCTCTAAAAGAACCATATCTACTCTGCTGAATATTCCTTTACTCCTCTAATTTTTATTTTACTCACTTGTTCCATTTCATCGCTTTTTCTCGATTTCTTATGGCTTATTTCTTTTTTCTTATTTTCTTGTTTTGCCTTTCAGTTCGGCTTTTTTTGGCCAGAGGTGCCGAGGAATCTCCAAGCCAACACAGACCGGGTTCGTATTTGGTGGAGCTGCCGGGGGAAGAAAGCATTGTGTGGCACGCAGCATTATTTTTAGTGGTTCCTCAAACCTGGAACACGAGAATTGGATGCCATCCACGACGCTGATGCCATGTTTTCCATCGACTTTTCTTGTTCGTGGCGCAGAGTTCGTTCAGGTGCTGCTGGCCCCAGTACCTACCAAGCAGCAATAGTTTATCCCAAGACGGGAGGGCTCTTCACCTGCCGGACGATCACGATCGCCACTGCCGATGCGTCTTAATATTATTAGGACCGGCTTCTGCCAGTGAGACTTCGAGCATTTTCTTTTGCTTTTCTGTCACCGACAGCCGGTCCTTCCCCTCCACTGCAAGGCTGCGGAGACCTGCCGCCATGAAACCTTTGCCGCAATCCATCGCGTGCGTAGGCTTCAACTTTTTCTCGTTCTACAAGTATGCTTGCTGCCTGGCCACCAGCAGCAGGTTGAGGCTCGGGGCATGCGCCGCCGACACCACGCCAGGACTGGAATTCGCTGCGTGCCAGACAGTGCCGTCCGCGCCGGCCGAGGGTTGTTTACAGGGACCCATGCAAACAAGCTCAGACAGCCTTACCAAATCCGCTCCGCCAACCTTTCTTTTTGTTCATGACATAATTACCTATGCAGTGGGGATCGTCAAGCCATGTGTGACGAGGTGTTTGCACAACTGCCGGTGGAATGGAAAAGGTCTCTGACGGGGAACATTTTATTCAAACTGATGTGTGTCCTCAACTGACTCGCACTTTCGAATTCATTTCCAAGCTTCAAAATCCGGTCTTCTGAAGCAAGCTAATGCAAGATGATGGTAAGAAACACCCGTTTGACCATTAGCCTTTTCATACCAAATACCTTATATCGACCACGTACGTCTTCGTGCTCTTCCACCATGTTTACGTTTCATATTTACCTTTTTTTGCCCTCTCTCTTTCTCTCTCTCTCAGCTTTGATCCACTAGTGGCGCGCTACGCTAACTACCTAGGTACCTAAGTCCATGGTTCCTAAATCTGGAGTCGAAGGTGGAGAGGCAAGTGATGATGATGAGGTCTGCAAACAGGTGATGGAGAATATTGGCCATCCTGGTAGTTGATGACACAATCCATTGCGAAAATGGACCTGGAAAGTCCCCCGCCAATTCCGCCGTCATGAATTGGAAACCCAGCTTGAGCATGTTTTGAGCGCATTTTCGAGATCGCTGTGAAATGGTTTTCTTGCGGGAAACATGGCTTCCACTGTGACTTGAGCAACTCAGGACCTGGGAACCCGTGGATGCTTGTCTCTGAGCTTCGGCCGAAGCCTGGCCTGGAACGTTATTAGCATTAACCAAGTGGTGGTCCGTGTGCCAACTCAGCGCGTAATGCCTGCCGCTGCAGCAGATCACACGTGAAGATTAAGGAATTACGAACCAGGATAGGTTAGCAATGGTTAGATAGCGCGACCTGACCACTGCAGCTGCTTCCGGTAATCGCTTGTCATACGCGGTACCTCCTCCCCCAGGACCAACCAACAGATTCCGTCTGGGAGGGCGGCCGCTCCATTTTTGGGCGAGCTCTTCAAACGGGAGACGCCCCTCCAACATCCAACCTTTTACTCGCTTCTTTCTATCGGCCTTTTCCTTTTCCAGGCCGTGGGCAGCATGTCGTCTTCAAGCAGCACAGCGGTGACTATCGACCGTGAGTATTTCGATACTCTCGTTCGAAGGTACGTTTCTTGTACTATCCTGCCCACCCGACCGACCTATCATTCAAGGTTACCTCCATATATTTTGCCGGGGTGCCCAAAGCTAACCTGCCCGCGCCGTGGCCATGCATAGGGCGCAGTTTGTAGGTCTCCCAGTGCGCTTGTCTTTGCCAAACCGATGCATTCGACCGTCCTAACCATTGTAAGAATACCGATTCACCAAAGGCAAACGGGCACCTTGCCTCCGTCGTCATTTCGCGGGCCGAATATGACAGTCTTATGTTTGTCGCTAGACAATATGGTATGTTTCTTCCCCGGACGTCGGCTCTAGATGGAATTGTTAACTGACTGTCTTAGAAAATCTCAGGCGGAACCTTCTCCGCGGCGGTGTCGGAGCGGAGACGGTAGATGTATGATCCTAACGATGTCGAGTACGAATGGCGCACCAGAACAGCGGTTAATGGGTGACAGCTTCTCAGCAAGGACGATGAGGCCATTCAAGGGGGCGCCAAGACGCCCATGGCCCCAAAGGCGGACCCGAACGAGGACGGAGGGGCCCGACTTTACACGCCTGCGCCGCCAGGCGCGTGCAGCCCGCCGAAGGAGGTGCCGCACAATGGGCATCATAATCGTTACCAGGACCGCTCTACATGGGCCGACGGCAACGTGGACGACGACGAAGACGACGAGAATGGTGCCAGCGACACCGAGTCCCCTATCGAGGGCCCCCTTGGCGCTAACTACGCCAAACCTCAGGGTCAGCGTCAGCACTTTGAGCGACAATGCGTTCGCACGCTCCAGCTTTCGCACCTCGCCGAGGGCACGACCCATGCTGACATCGTCAACGCTGTGCGTGGTGGGATGCTGGTGGACATATTTCTACGTAGCCATGACCGCTGCGCAATGGTATCTTTCCTTAGATCCGTGGACGCCAAGGAGTTCTATGACCATGTCCGCCGACATGACCTGTACATTAGAAACAAGAGGGTGAGTGGGCTTGGGCCATCTTGCTAGTTTGGGCGACTGCTGACGTCTTGCATAGATCGAAGTTAAGTGGAACGATCGCCAATTCGTCCTCGCGGGCCACGTCGCGAACAAAATCGGCACGGGTGCCAGTCGTAACCTGGTGATTCAGGGGTATGACAATAGGCATACTGAGGAGATCATCCGTGAGGACTTGGACCACATCCACAACTTGGTCGTAGTCAAGATCGAGTTCATCGGCCGCAACTGCCACATTGGCCTTAACTCAGTCCACAACGCCATTTCCGCACGTCAGTGCATGTTGAGCAGGCTGTATGTATCCTTGCAACCATCTCATCGTTTGGAAGCTGACAGAAACAACAGCAGGTACAAGGGCAAGAAGATCAACTACGACGTTGACGAATGCGCCCAACCATACCCGCAACCAGCGCCCAGGGCGCGCAAGGAGATGGCGCCACTCAAGAAGGGGTTTCCGGCAGTCCACAACCGCTTCCAGCTGTTGAATCTCGACGACGACGACGACGATGAGATTGCGGCGACGTTTCAGACGAAGAATTCGGTAGGGATCACGGCGTAGAAGCCGATGTCCCACTACCTCGCCGGCATCACTTTTCCATGAGTCGGGCGCGGAGAAACCGTGGTAGCCTAAGGTGACTTAGAGACAGAGAGCACGGGGGATATGTTTCATTTCACACTAGTGGCAGGCGTTAAAGGATACCCATGGTTAGTTCCCTAAGGCTTTTATGGTAAAGCGCCCATGAACGGGGATTACCCAGCAACGCAAAGCCATATCTTCCCTTGGAAGGTGCATCTACCACGCCACTATTATGCTGTTGTCCCAACAAATCATGACTTTTGCCGTCGGTGATTTCGTTGTTTGAAATCCTTCCGTTCTGGGATTACACCGTTCCTGGTCGACATGGTTTCTTTCCAGCATGTCCGGCCTGGAGGGGTGGTGTTTTCGGCTCTCTGTATTAGTTACGTCATGACATAACGGGTGATCGCCGTGGCCCCACCGCAACTGCCGAGAAGGTTATCTTGGCAGCCGTGTAACAATGTAACGGTATGTCACATCCATGCTCACACAACCACGATGCAATAAACACCAAAAAGATAAATCAACGCTCGTTAGACTGACCATGTATGATATGGATAGTTTCTGAGTCTACCCGCTGATGGCATAAGAGAAACGCAGCATTGCTGCCTCGCCCACGCCCCTCCTCCATGAATGAAGAAACCCGATCTTCCCTTCCCTGTCTTCTGCTAACCAGGGTCCATCAACCGTTCTCCAGCAACGAAGTCGTGCAGTGCGCCACCTACCTAAACCTCGGAATCCAGACCATGCGATGCATACCAACCGGGGAACGCCGTGACGCCTGATGCACAAAACCCCACCCATGCCAGGCCAGGCCAGGTCAGGCCCGGCCCACACATGCCTTTCCTTTTTACCGGCCCACGCCCGTCACCGACTCCAGGTAGGACAAGAGGAAGTTCCGGTCCGCCGGCGAGATGGGCGTCTGGCTCCCGCGGCGCGACGTCGCCGAGCTGCCGGCGCCGGTGATGGCGGGCTCGTTGCCGCCGGCCGAGGCAAACGACGCCACGCGCGACCGGGGCGTGCTGCCGGTGCCTGCGGGCTCTTTCCCTTTGCCCTTCTCTTCGGCTGTGGTGCTGGCCGGGGAATCACGCTGCGGCCGCTGTTGTTGGTGCTGTTGCTCTTTGCTAAAGAGCGAGAGCAGTTTCTGCTTTTGTTCCGAATTCGAGTCATTGCGACGCTGGTCCACCGCCGGGGGCTGTTGGTGCAGTTGCTGCTGAAACGAGGGGCTGGAATGCGGGCTGGACAGGGGCTGTTGCGCATACGGGAGGCTGGCAGCATGGGCAGCCGCATAGTTGGGCTGGGGGGACCGCTTGGCTTCATGTTCCGCTTGCTGCAAGAAGCCACGGTCTCTCGGGGAGGGGAGGCCTTGCCGGGCTGCATTTCTCGCATCCTGCCGAGATGAGTCGTGCGGGCTGAAGCGCTGCTGAAGACGCTGCATTTGGGCCATTGTGCTTGTGTATTCTTGCGACTTGCCCTGCTCGCCCTGCTTCGGGCGACTCAGAATCTGGACGGCCCTGTATGGCAGGTTGAGCTCGGGATTCATTCTCACGGGCCCACCGTTGGCCTCGGAAGCCTGCGCAATCACCTCGGCTGCCGATGGTGCCTTGTAGGAAGGGCTGGCTGGCTCGTCCTTCCTTGCAAACCCTGGGCTCTGTTGTGTCTTGCTAGGTTGCATCCTAATCTCATTGCTCAAGGGCGACCTCGGGCTACCCTTCTTGAACATATCCAATAGTGCCGTCCGATGTGTGTCGGCTGGCTGGGAAGGTTTGGGTCCGGGCTGGGGTTCCGAGGGTTGCATTGCGCGGGGCGAAGTCCTCATCGGCCCAGCGGGTGCCATGTGCTGAGGTAGATATTGCGCGGCGGGATTTGGTGCCTGCGTGATCGGCACATTTGCCCAAGGCGCTGGCTGATACTGGTGCTGATTGTTTGTTGGTGCAAACGCACTGTCATGTGGCGAATTCTCGCGGGATTTGTTTTCAATATTTTCTCGAGGACTGCTGTTCTTGAAAGCGCTCAGCAGCGTCATTGCATGGCCCGTCAGCTGAGCCGGCTTCGCAGCATGCTGCTGAGGCGCGTAGGTATCATTCGGACGAGAAGTGAACGAATTCAATCCACCATGCTGAATATGCGGACCGCCTAAATGAAGATGAGGGCCGCCTTGCTGAGAATTTTGGCCAGCTGGCTGAGTATGCGGGCCGCCGTAGTGAATCTGTTGGCCATCCTGTTGAGCAGGTTGCCGGCCTTGACCGACCGCTTCTAGAAGCGCCGGAGTCGGCAGAATACCCCTAGTGAGAATGGACTGCTGCACTTGCGGCGGTAGTGGTTGCGGATGGAGAAGGACCGGCTCGTTGCGCTGCTGCTGTGCTGGGTTCACGAACGGGTTGCGACCGTAGATTTGGGGCATCACCTGAGCAGGTGCTTGGCCTTGGGTGTAATACCCGGCAGCCGCGCTCTGGATGGAGGTTGGTGGGATGGGGAAGTTCGGCGGTTGCTGGTAATTCAAAGCTGGTTCCCTCTGCGTTGGATGGTGGTGGGGGGCGTTCGGATCGGGGGCATTCGTGTAGGTGAGATCCGATGGTGCATGTGGGATTTGGCCCTCAGGTTGGGGCGCTTGCTGCGGGTTTTGCTGTGGCTGCATCTCTGCGCTCTTTTGCAGAAGCGCCATCAGAGCTCCCCCCTTGTCAGCGCTCGAAGCCGACGGACTCATCTGCACACCCTGGGTCGGTTGTTGAACATTAAGGAGGCGCTGGAGTTCGCGCGTAGCACCTTCCATTGTCTCGATCGCGGGCGCGCCATTCGAAGACGCAGGTACAGGTTCGAGATGAGCACCGATGTCGTCTTCGGTGAGAGGTTCTTCGGTCTGATGGTGGGTGGCTAGGTGAGGGGCAGCCACGCGCGTACCGTCCTTTTTCTTCTGCTGAACCACCCATTTCTTCAGGGGCACCAGAAATGGGGCGACCATGTAGAACTTGTTCGCATTGGACGCGGCGGCAGCGTCATCGTGAGAATTGTTTCCCTTTTTTCGGAAAGCGGGCAGCTCCGACAACTTATACCACTCAACCCTGCTGATTTCTTTCCGCGTCTTCGGCTCAAAGACGGTATCCATAGGGACGTTGCGGAAAACATAGAGGCGGATCTGTTGCTCCCTCATAGAGATCTGAATATACTTGACCTCGTCCTCTCTTGGTACTAGGCCGGCTTGCTTAATATCGAAGCCGGTCTCCTCGTACACCTCACGGACGGCACAGTCGAGGTCGTCTTCGTCCTTGTTTATTTTGCCTCTGGGGAAGCTCCAATTTGCGCCCTTCTTCCAGCCCTTGACGAGCACCGTCGAATCCATCGCCTCGTTCAGTAGGATGGCACCCCTGACTGGGACTCTTGTCTTGTATTGCATGAACTCTTCGAAGGCGCGCATGTGGTTCTCGGCGGAGAAGGGAGCGAGCAGGGGGCAGTGCTGGAATATGCGAAGGCAGAAACTCCGGAGGGACATGGACGGCAGGGTGGGATCCAGCGGTCGGATGAAATCTTCGTAGAACCATTGTGCCTCTTCAACTTGGAAACAGATACGCGCGACTGACGAGAGATCCTCTTTTGGAAGGTGGATGATAAAACGGACGCAAAGGTCGTCCAACCCTAGCAGCCAGTCAGTCGGTCGGGGGTCACAAAGGCATGCGACAGAATCAACCCACAGTCTTCGAGTTGCATCTTGTTTTCGGCCATGGCGATGTCTTGTATCGAGCATATCCACGGCGGTGGTTGGCCGTTGGAAGGATTAGTTTATAGGGTAATCGGGTAGGTAATATGAAAAGGTAAGGCCCCGAATCGTGGGACTCGCAAGGTTGTCAGGTTAGGTGCTGTCGAGCTCGGGATCGAGGGGCGGGGACTGGCAGCTGCAACAAACTTCCCCACCAAAATGCGACGAGAGACAACAAAACAGGTACAAACGCGCTCAGCCAATGGCTGTAGGGCACGCTTCGATCCGGTAGTTGCAAATATGCCCGTCAGTGTTGAGATTGAGGAGGTTTGGGCGCCGTGGATGTCACCTGCGGGTCAGAATGGGCAAAACTGACTTGCGACGTGTGCAGCTGTGGATGGCATGCGTTTGTCTCCACTCCAGGACTCACGACATGGTGGTTGCGTTGGGGATGGAGATGTGTGGGTGGGTGGCCATGGTGGCATGGATCCCCGCCCACCAATTCAAGCTGTCGCCACATTCCAGAGTCGCAAAGCGTAGAGTACGCAAGCCACAGCTCCAGATCTGTGGCGGTGCATTGGTCCCCAAGCAGCTTCCCCAGTCAGATTCTCAGATTCCAACCCGATCCCTTGGCAGCAGAGGGAGGCCACCCACTTAACAGGGGCACGGGACTGGGAGACCTCCTGGACGTCATCGCACGAAGCAGGGTCTGAGTGAGTTTTGAGTTGCACACCCACCAGTCAAGCTTCGTTTGATGATCGAACTAGCCGCAACCATGAGACCAATGCAATGCATAAATGAAAAGGGCTATGGCCGGTTAGCCATCAGCGGCTCGCACACCTTTTTCTCTTCTTCCCCAGGCCCCGAAGACCAGACGACCGGGCTAGGATTCTCCAGGCCAGCGCCAAAGCTGTTTCCAATTCAGGCCTCACAAGCGCGCGCCTGAAACCGACAAAGCGCCGCCGTCAACCAATACAACAGCAAATCCCAACCATCGCAGATCGACAGTAATCAAACCAGCGACCACACAGGCCCCAACAAAGCGCCGGTTTTTTTTTATATCTTCTTGGCTACCCTCGAGATTCCCGACCTTTTCTTTTGAAGGATTTTTGCCTTGCCCATCAACACACAGAGAGCCCGAGATCTCGCTGTCGCAGCGACCAAGACACCCACCATGAACGCCGCTTTGAAAGTGCTGGGCAAAAGAGCCCTCAAAAACGGCACAAAAAGCCCCAACTCAGAGGTGGGTGTACCTAGATGTCACTGATAATTTATGGTGTCGGTGCTAACGACAGTCCCAATCACAGAACCCATACAAGCATATGGTCCCTGTGCAAAAGAATGGCAAAATAAAGATGAAGGAAGACGAGCGGCCTACCCCACCTGGCCTGTCGGAAAACGACAAAGAAATCCTCAGGCACGTCCGGCGGAAGGCCTACAATTGGGACCAGAAGTTCCACTGCTGCTGCTTTGGCATGAGGTTCGGGTGGTCGGCAATCCTGGGTCTCATTCCTCTGTAAGCCTGCGTGCTTCCCCATGCCCTCGAGAGCGCGGTTTGCTAACTGTCGTTACCAGCATCGGCGATGGCCTAGAGGTTCTCATGTCTCTGTCGTTAGTCCGGACAGCCTCCAAGGTGGATGGTGGCCTCCCAAAGCGCATCTACCTCTGGATGATCACATACATCATCATGGATTTCGCGTTCGGTTTCATCCCCGTCCTTGGTGACTTTGTCGACTTCACGTTCCGCGCCAACACACGCAACGCGTGGTTGCTCGACTCCTACCTGACAGAGAAAGGCAAAGTACTCCTAGCAGGCGAGATCAAAGACGAGGGCGGAGGCAAAAGTATACCGGTGCCCGACGAGCTGCGGCCAGACGACCAGGATGTCGAGCAAGGCGTGGAATCGATGCGCATGGTCGAGCCGTCTTCCAGAACCCCCACGGCAGTCCCGCCGGCGCGGACACCGACTCAGAAAAGGGCCATGCCGCCTCCGGGCCGGACTTTAACGGGGAAGGCGCGGGACCCGAGGGACCGCTGAGTGCCGGAGCAAGCCGAGTTCGAGCGTAGGGATTCCTGCTGTGCAGTAGATGGGACCGGTTCAGACTGACCACAAAGAGGAAGGCACTATTATGGAATTGCATTAGCGTTGCGTTATTCTCTTTTGTTATTTCTTAGAATACAGATATCCTAAGCGTTCGGTTTATAGTTTAGAAAGGCAATGGCGGCAGCCGTTGTAATACACGTGGAATCGAGAGCGGTTAATAATTGATGCCGATGCCCAGAGTTGCCCGGCCCATGGCGTGGAGTGGATGTTAAAGAAAGTGGCAAGCAAGATTCAAATTGTCAGGCGATTCGGATGTCCGGGTTCCGGAACTCTGTTGCGATGATGTTGCGATTATGCCGCGATGACAAACGAGACGGCGGGTCGCCGTGTCTCCCCAAGGCCCAAGCCTTCCGCAAGTGGGTTCCCAGGGATCAGCTCAATTCGGCGTCGATGGGGTCGATCAAGGCGCGTGGAAGCTCCACCACCAGCAACGGGCAGTTGAAACGAGCAATGAAAAGGGGGAATCTAATGGAGGTTTGAGCCCCAGTTTTGGCAATTGGTATTCCGTACGAAGGAGGTTGAATTCAATGATTCACCGGTGTTAAGGTCAACCAAAATCTCAACCTCCACTTTGCCTGAGCTCCTTGTCATCGCGTACGTGTTCAAACTTTCAGAGGTTCGAGTGTGTCATAGTGGAGCTGTGAATGGCTTGGGCAAGTGCGAAAACGGCTCTTGGCTCGAAGGTTGCGCCGACCAATTGTCTCGGAGCTCCGAAGATCTGATAAAGGCGAGGCAATGCTGGCCAGGCTTCCAGGACACAAGTGGATCAATGCCTGGGGTAAATCCATGACCGAGGGGGCTGGGCTGGTGTTCTGTTGACGCCGCATTTGCCAGGGCCGGACGATGGACCCAAGTCGCGTCGACGCGAACCCTTGCGGCACAGATTTAACAAAGTGGGTCTCTCGCGTTGCAGACGTGCAGACGTGCAGCATTTAAGAGACGCGCTTCCAGTTCTCCCTCTCTCCAAATCCCATCCTTTGTCTACACAAGCAACTTTCCAAACCATTTCTTCGTCACCAACAATTCAATTGCCTCTCGAGATCTTACCTTTGGCAATTCCCTCATATCTTGTCTGCACAACACCCAATCCCCCTTTCACACACACAATGACTGCCCAGGTCACTCCTTCCAAGCAGGTTAGTGCCCCGCGTCATGCTCCCGCTTTACGCGTCGCGTCGACCCAGGCCTGAAGCTAACATGTACCACCTTACAGGCTGCTTCCGCCATTGAGGGACTTAAGATGGAATCCCCCGTCAAGAAGCTCAACTTTTCCGCCTCCGACAAGGAGAACGCACCCTTCGACGCCGACCTTGCCACCCTCGAGGCAGAGATTGACGCCAACACAACCATGAAGAAGAAGGAGACAAGCGCCGCGGTGGCTCCCACCATCAAGGCCGACGAGGCCGATGAGCCCCTCCTCCAGGAGAACCCGCAACGCTTCGTGCTGTTCCCCATCAAGTATCACGAGGTACGCGACGTGTCCTGGCACGTAAAGTGGACCACGTGCTGACAATTCCCTTCAGATCTGGCAGATGTACAAGAAGGCCGAGGCTTCCTTCTGGACCGCCGAGGAGATCGACCTCTCCAAGGACCTCCACGACTGGAACAACAAGATCAACGACGATGAGAAGTACTTCATCTCTCACATCCTCGCCTTCTTCGCCGCGTCAGACGGCATTGTCAACGAGAACCTGGTCGAGCGTTTCAGCGGCGAGGTTCAAGTCCCGGAGGCTCGCTGCTTCTACGGCTTCCAGATCATGATGGAGAACATCCACTCCGAGACCTACTCTCTGCTCATCGACACCTACATCAAGGAGCCTGCCCAGCGCACCCACCTGTTCAATGCCATTGACACCATCCCGGCCATCCGCAAGAAGGCCGACTGGGCCCTCCGGTGGATCACTGACCAAAAGTCCACCTTCGCTCAGCGCCTGGTCGCGTTCGCTGCTGTTGAGGGTATCTTCTTCAGCGGTGCTTTCGCGTCCATCTTCTGGCTCAAGAAGCGCGGGCTCATGCCCGGCCTGACCTTCTCCAACGAGCTCATCTCGCGTGACGAGGGTCTCCACACCGACTTTGCCTGCCTGCTGTTCTCGCACCTCAACAACCGCCCCAGCAAGCAGATCATTGAGGACATCATCGTCGATGCCGTCCGCATCGAGCAGGAGTTCCTCACCGAGGCCCTGCCGTGCGCTCTGCTCGGCATGAACTCCAACCTGATGAAGCAGTACATTGAGTTCGTCGCCGACCGCCTGCTCGTCGCCCTTGGCAATGAGAAGGTGTACCGGTCGACGAACCCCTTCGACTTCATGGAGAACATCTCGCTTGGCGGCAAGACCAACTTCTTCGAGAAGCGTGTCGGCGAGTACCAGAAGGCCGGCGTCATGGCCAGCACCAAGAAGCCCCAGGAGGATGTGGAGGAGGCGAAGGGCGAGAACGGTGGCGACTTCACTTTCGATGACGACTTCTAAGCCGTCTCTCCTTGGCCGCGTCTTTCCTTGCTCTTTAATACCCCCCTTGCACTCGATATTTGGTCTCTTTTCCTGGTGGCAGGGTTGTCGGTTTACGTTCACCTCGTTGGAGAGGTTGGATATTGTTTCACATGTATAAATGCTGCGCGGGCGGAACCGTGTTTGCATAGTGGCGTTGGGCGTTGGGCGGTGCCCCCTGGGTCTGGTTCATGAGGGTATGCGATGGAGATGAGGAAAACGTCTTTAAGCACGTATGAGTAGATTCTCATACAAGGAATCAAACTGTGAACATGACTTGTCCCATTGATCTGTGAATTGTGGTGAGCGTGCTTTGCCCCAACACGGTTGTCGTTGGGTTTTCTCTCCGCCGACCTTGACTCATCAAATGTTACCGCATGTCTCTGTCTCCGTTCTCTTTACAACCTCACATTATCCATCATCTCCCAGACACCGTTCATGTGTCCACACCACCCACTGTCAAATACCTATGCCAAAATGTTGCATTAACACACCCCCAATTTATTTACCGCTCTACCAACCCCCCATTCCCCCATCCCAAAATCTAAGTAAGCAGCTAGAACCTTAACAGTCCAACAACAAACACCCCCTACTTCTTCCCCTTCTTCTTCTTCTTCCCACCACCCCCACCCCCTTGCTGCTGCTGCTGCTGCTCCTTCCCACCAGCAGTAGCACCCCCAACCGGAGTCTGCGCTCCACTCCCCACCTCACCACCACCAGACACACCAGACACATCCACCATAACCTCATCCTCCCCCCCTGCCCCAGCCCCTGCCCCTGCCACATTCTCAACAGCAGCAGTAGTAGTAGCAGCCAACCCAGCCATGCCCCTTCCCAGCGTGCCCAGCATCTGCACCAGACGCGTCACCTCGGCCGCCTTGGAGGTCTTGTACTTGAGCGTCACGCCGCTGTGTGCGTCGTAGGTCTTGAGCACGAGGTGGCCGCGCGGGGGCTTAGCGTCGGTTTCTGCTTGTTGTTGTTGTTGTTGGTTTTTGGGTGCTGCTGGGGGGGTTGTTGTGGTGGTGGCGTCTGCGTCGGTGGATTTTTTGGGTTTGGGGACTCGTCGGGCGGGCTTGAGGTGGTAGCGGGTTGTGATGCGTGTCTGTGTTGGGCGGGTGCGTGTGGTTAGTGAGGGTGATGGGATAGGAGTTAGAAGGTGGGGAGGTGCATACTGTTAAAGGACGGGCTTGGAGGAGGAGGGAAGACTGGTGTAGCCAGTCTTCGGATTTTGCGTAGTAGGGCATCTTGACCGTTTCGGGGGAGGGTGGCTGGTTTGGGGTAGTGAGTGAGGAAAGGACCCGTGTCGCGTGAGGCCGACCGTCGGGATTGCAGAATTGGAGCGGAGAAAAACGAGGTCAGTGGTCGTCCTGGTACTTGCAAGAGATTCGGCAAGACAAGTAGTTTTGTACCTGTGGTGACCACTAGGTTCGTTCTCTGGAGATCGCTGCTCGGCGTTGAACCGTCGAGGATCTCGGTTGGAGTTTTGGTGCTCTTGCGGAGAGTTCCGCGGCGCATTTCAGTGGGGTCCACCGGATGCGGGGAGCTCTCGCCCCACACCTTTGACACAGGAAGCTCGAAACAGTACCTACTGTGTAGGTGGTAGATCCCATTCTGCACCTTAAAACACATGGAATTTACACCTGAACGCCACAACATGCAATAGGGTATCTAGATCCATCCCGATGCCATCAGTCCATCCGCCCCTTGAGATTCAACCAGCCCCAACAACCCTCACGATCTTTCCACCACCTTACGCAGTAGGGTCAGGCAACCAAAACATGAGGTCTTGATCCGCCGAGGCAATCATGTTGTACCGGGGGTTGTACGCCACTACAGCCGCCTCCCGTTTCTCCTCCAGAACATGCGCTGGCTCGAGGACCTTGTCGCTTCCAGGCGTCATCAGCGTGTCCCATACGAGGAGATCTGACTTTCCGCCGCTAATCACGTAGCGGCCGTCTGGGGCGAAGCAGCATTCGCCGCTACTCTCCATATTACCTCCTTCCATTTCCCCCACACCCAGTCGCCTCGTGCTAGCGCCCGGCTTCTTCAAGTATGCCTTCAGACTGCCGTCGAAGGAGTCTAGCAGGAAATGACCGTTGCCACGCGACCCTAAGAGAATGTGCTTCCCGTCGTTGGAGAACTCGAGCTTCGTCCAGCCTCTGAAGCTGGCCTCTGTGTCGGCAGGCCCGCGGGCCTTTAGGACGTCAAACACGGAAAACGGCGCCTTTTCGTAGTTGCGGTAGTCGTAGAGCAGGATGCTCCCGCTTCCGGGTGACGCCACGGCAAAAACATTGCCCGACGGATCCCAAGCCGAGAGGTACGGCGTGTTGAGAAAGAGCTTCCCCGTCCATTGCTTCGTTCCAATGTTCCATATCCGCACCGTGTTGTCAACGCTGCAGGAAATGAAGTTGTCGGCACCAGGGTGCAACGCGAGGTTGGTGACTGTGCCCTCGTGTCCCTCGAAGTAGCGGATAAACGAGTTGTCGTGTGTTGCCAGGTAACGAATCGCGTCTGCACAAGGTTAGCCACCGACGTGGCTCATACCACAAAGGACCTACCATTTTGCTGGGTGCTAGCATAGATGATGCTCGAGCTTGTGTGAGTAAACTTAGCCAGCTTCACGCCGTACTTTTTGCTTAGCAAGCTCTTGTCGTGCCGGCCGTCCTTGACGTTGTAGATCTGGATGGTCTCATCGCTCTCGGACGTCATACAAAGCTCGCCTGGGTCGTCAAAATCGATGGACAAGATGTACGGTTGGGATTTGCCCTCTTTTATGTCGTCCCGTTGGAATAGCTGAAGATGATTAGCCCACATGTTGGAAACGCACGACAGAAAGAACCCACCTTTGTCGGTCTGTAAGACGCGATCACATCGCTTACAGCAGTGGTGCTGGGCACGTTTGCTCCCAAAGTCCGCGTGAGATTGAATGATGGGGTCGCCGTTGTTGAGGGCGCATCGTCGAGGTCCATTGGGGTGGAAGCCATGTCTACTGGCTCAATTGGTGATGGGAAGGAACGAGTGCGATCAGAAGCTCGGAACCAGCTCAAGGAAAGCGAACGGTGTTCTGCCGGGCGGTGAAATGGACCCTGCCTCCCTTTGGCTAAAAAAAGCCGAACTCCAAACGGGAGCAAGAAATCAAGAAAAGGAAGAAGCAAAAGAAACAGAAAAGAAAAAGAAGATGTGAAGAAAATCGAGCAAAATAAATTAAATGATAGAAACCGAGTCAAATAAGAAGTAGATTTTGGGCTTATGAATGGCTTTCTTTTCGTTCACTTGGAGTTTGGCTTTTTTTGGCCAGTGAGTGCCTGCACAATGCCCCACCAAGCGAAGCCAAAAGCCGCCAGGGTCCAAGGTGCATGGAAGGCCCGGTTTCCGGAGGGGATGGCCAAGCCCCGATGCCCGAAGAGTGTTGAGAAAGCTTCGGCTTGTTCGCTACGCGACCGACACGGAAAATCCGCTTGCACTCCAAGGATGTCACTTTGTCTGGGTCCGACAACCGCAAGCCTAGCACCGGAAATTCCACTTTTCTGCGGCTGCAAGGGCCGGGAAATTGATCAGCGCTGCGACACAGGCGAGTCAGCGCGAGACGGCGGATATAAGCGGCCTTGCCATTCGCAGCCTGACCGCAGCAGTCTCTCTCTAATTGAATCATTATTGTATTTTCTTTGTTTTCCCATGCATGTCGCTCAGAAGTTGACACACTGATCTCCCGAATCCCCTCCTACGAGAAAGCCGAGTCGGCTCGGCCATTGGGCGTATCCTTCCTCCGTAGGGCCGATTTCGGCAGTCCGTGAGCACGACACCACGAACCAGCAGCACAATGTCGACAACAGCTGGGTAGGTGTCGTCGCGCACAATTTAAAAGAGAAAACCTGTATGGGACACGAAATCTGACATGGCTGCTCCTCCAGCGCCTTCCTAGCGGGCGGTATCGCCGCCTGCGGAGCCGTGACGGCGACGCACCCCTTCGAGACAGTCAAAATCCGCATGCAGCTGCAGGGCGAACTACAAGACAAGGGCCACCAACCGCACCACTACCGAGGACCTGTCCATGGTGTTTCGGTCATCGTGAGGAACGAGGGGCTGCGCGGCATCTACCGCGGTATCGGGTGCGCCTACATCTACCAAGTGCTGCTCAACGGCTGCCGGCTCGGCTTCTACGAACCCATGCGCCACGGCCTGTCGACCCTCATCTTCAAGGATGGCAACAAGCAGAGTCTGGGTATCAACATGTTCTGCGGCGCCGGGTCGGGCATCATGGGCGCTGCCGCAGGGAGCCCGTTCTTCCTGGTCAAGACGCGGCTACAGAGTTACTCGCCTTTCTTGCCGGTCGGCACACAGCATCGGTACCGGAATGCGTGGGACGGTATGAGCCAGATCTTCCGGACCGAGGGCGTGCGCGGCCTGTACCGCGGCGTAGGAGCGGCCATGATCAGGACGGGTTTCGGGAGTTCCGTGCAGCTCCCCACATACTTCTTTGCAAAGCGCCGGTTAATGCGGCACCTGGGCATGGAGGAAGGCGCCCCTCTCCATCTGGCCAGCAGTACGGCGAGCGGCTTCGTCGTCTGTGTGGTGATGCACCCCCCGGGTAAGTTACAAGGTTGAACCGGGGTTTGTGCGCTTTGAACTAACTCGGCCAGATACGATCATGTCCCGGATGTACAACCAGAATGGCAACCTTTACAAGGGCGTTTTTGATTGCCTAGGAAAGACCATACGGGCCGAGGGTTTCTTCGCCATTTACAAGGGCTTCCTGCCTCACCTGGCTAGAATCCTACCGCATACGATCCTCACGCTCACCTTGGCGGAGCAAACCAACAAGCTCGTCAAGAAGCTCGAGGGCCGGCTTTTGCCCAGCGCCGCGCTGAAGACAGTATAACGGGGATCGAGATTTTGATACGGCGTTCGGTAGATTTGCATTTTTCGCACATTTCCACGTTTGATACCAGCTCAGGTGGGAGTCCTAAAAGCGAGTGCGACGGCGGCTGCGATGTATCTTTCAGGGGGGTGGGAGGCCGTTTTGAAGTTCCCCTAAACCGGACAATATGTCAACCGCAATCTATTTTGGTAGCCAACGCGGAGCACCTCTTTGAACGCCCTAGCCGGCAGTGGACCTTTCACACCCGTAACATAACCTCCCGGTTCCCGTGTCTGACCTCTCCTGGATGCCCAGCTCCCCCCTCCACCTCTCATCGCCGTCCTCATCCAGCGGCATCCCGCACAGGCCACACCACTCCCCTCCTGCCTCGCCCTCACCGGCGCGCACAAGCTTCCCCGTCGTCCGCGCGACGTTGGCGACGACAGACGGGTAGCTCTCCTCAACCTCGGCAAAGTACCGCCCCATGACCTCCTCGATGCTGAGGTCCTTGTGGGAAACGACCGCCGCCGCTGCGTCGTCCCTGGTCTCCCAGACAAGGTCCGTCAGCGGCGGCTCGACCAGCCCCGCGTAAATGACCAGCTCCTTACGCAGGGCGTCGCGGAGCGGGTGGTAGACCAGCACGCCCTTGCCAGCCTCCTCCTGTTCATGGTCACCATGATTTGCCCCCTCCCGCTCCCCACCTTCATCCTCCCCTCCATGCCTCTCCCCATTCCCCCGCCCCCCTCCACCCTCCCCCTTACCCACAACCGGCGCCACCCCATCCTGCACCAACCACGGCAGCGCAAACCCCCGCCCCTTCGCCGCCTCCGCCAGCGTCAGCTCCGCCAGCGCCGTCGTGCTGTGCCCGAGCAGCAGCGCCTGGCACCCCCGCGCGCGCGCCTGCTCCAGCAGTGCGCGCCGCGTCAACAAGCGGGTGACGTCGCTGCGAGAGGCGGCTGTGGGAAGTGGTGTTGGTGCTGCGGTGTGAGAGGGGGATGCGGGGAAGGGAAGCGCGGGTAGCGGGTGCGGTAGCGGGTGAGGGCTCTTCGGCGGGGGAGGGGCTGGTGGTGGTGGGGTGGTGGTGGTGGTGTCGATGTGCACGACGGTGAGGTCAAAGGGGGCGTTGCGGCCGCGGGCCAGCTGGAACTCGATGTTCTCGCTGAGGAGGTGCAGGAGGACGGTGGAGGAGACGCCGAGGGAGAGCCCGACCATGTAGTGGCGGGTGCTGGTGGGCGGGCCGCCGGTTGTGGGGAGAGCGAGGCGGGTCTCCTTGCCTAGGATGCCGGTTTGCTTGATGCATTTGGCGGCGATGAACTTGGCGAAGCAGTCTCTGGGGTGAGTTAGTGGTGTTTCATATGTCTCAAGAAACCTAGAGGTTGACCTACCTGCAGACGGGCTGAGATCTGCTCTCAAGGGTCGCCTCCTGAACACGACATTTCATACAGGGCCGTAAGAGTGACCCCTCTGTCCTTGGTGACTCAATCATGGAATATGCTGTGGGGGACAGAATTCAATTTAAGTGAAAATATGAGGTGAGAGGTGGCGGGAATTCCACGACTTTTGGAATCCAAATCTTTCAGGTGAATAATGTCGACAAGATTTCAGGCAACCGATGTTGAAGAGTTGAGTTCGACTCATTCAAAAAAGTATTATCCAACCCCAAAGTTTTTGGACGAGCATCGCGAGGGGCTGGGTTAGGGTTAGGGCCGAGCATTAGAAAAGGGGTTGAGCAAGCCAGACTGCAAAGAGGTGAGGGAGACTTGGGGCTTGCAGTTGTTTCTAAAGTGCCATTATTAAATTGCTAGCAGTCTATCCAATCAATGGGCATCTGCTCATGCTCTCATGCTAGCTATCTGTTGTGGAAGCACCACCTCCTTAACCTCTTATTCCCCCTTAACCCCTTATTCCCCCTTACCCTCCCCCCAACCCTCACCATCACCATCCCTCACAGAAACCTTTCATACGCAGCAGGCCTCTTCTGAAATTCCCTACCCATTTCACCTCTCCCCCCCATCTCATACGCCATCCCACCACCACCATCACCCCCCCTCCCCGCCAAGTACCCATCCAACCGCAAATCCATCGCCGCCAGCACCGTATTCACCACCGCCCCAACCACCGTCATCGCCACCACCGCCGCAAACAAATTTGACGCCGTCCCCCCGACCCCCACCACCAACGGCACGCCCGCCACGGCCCCCACCAACCGCGACGCGGCCGCCCCAATCGCCTGATACGCCGCAAAACTCGTCGCCGCCCCGGCCGCCCGCCGCCCAGTCCAAACTACGCGCCCACAGTGCTGCCTGCACTTGGTGCCCCCCTCTCCACGCCCCTTTACCCTCCTCTCACCGCAGCTGGCGTTGTGTTATGAAGTACAGCTGCGCGAGGTTGGCGAACAGGGCGGCGACGAGAGGAGCAGCAGCGGGATGCCGCCGAGGACGACAAAGCTGGATTGGACGGCGAGCGCGAGCGCCGCGAGCGCAAAGTTGCCGCCGCCTTTGGTGGGCGGGATGTCGAGGGCGAGCTGGCTGGGGCGTTTGGTTTGGGGCGTGGCCAGGCTGGTGGTGCAGTTGAAAGGGGCGGGGCCGAAGCAGAGGCCTGGTTGGGGGGGGTTAGTGATGGGGAGATGGTGAGGTTGTGGGCGAGGGGGAGGAGGAGGGGGGGCATACCCCCAGAAACCGACACGGAGGTCGATTGGGAGGGTTTGGCCGCCGATGGTGACGGGGCCGTTGGATCGGGCTACGATGGGAGATATCCCGCTCACGGAGTCGTTGATGCATCCTATGGACAGTATCACTGTCGATTTTGGATTTTGGTCAGTTGGGGGGCTGAGAGGCGGTTAAAGGAGCGGGGTCGTACAGTAGAGAATTAAACTAATAAGGGGGAATGCAATGACAAGAACAACCCGAGGCGTTCTGAGAACCCCTACGGTATGTTAGCCTGCGGTTCGCGGTGGAGGAGTGTCGGTAACAAACATGAGGGCATAGGCCTGGGCGCCATCTAATAACTTTATCCATTAGTACATACATAGAAAGTAAGAACCTAGGTGTTGAGTGTCGGATAGATACGTGGTCCATGGGAAATGCGTGTTCTGGGTCCCGGCAACATGGAACAGAATCTAAATCATAACCCGGTGTCATACCTTTGAGGCGGAGGATCGTCGTCGGCCGCTGGTATCTCTACCTGTTCTATGGAGGCCAGCGCTGGATCGTCGCTTTCAACATATCGAGCTGAAAGTTATTGGCTGGCCCCCATGTTGGGTTCGGTGTGGCATTACTAGGACATGGATCAAAGATGTTGAGCGCAACACGCGGGCAAACCGCTGGTTATAATTGCAGCCCGAACACTCCGACACTTCTCTCCCACAAAGCGGCCCATGGGATTCCGGTACCTCGGGAGTTTGGCGGCCCGGGATCACATAGAAAATGGATCCAGTCGTCCGGCAGTTTTGAGGATTAGAGTCACAGATCACGTCGATCATCCACAAAACTCTGAATACTCAATATAGGCGTTTCATGAATACCGTTTTGACCTCTTAGACACACTCAAAAGGGCGTCCAAGGAGGCTTCAGCTGAAACCCCGCCAGCGTCGCATTGACACTCGACCGTCTCCAAACACTCAACCCAGCCGTGCCGTGCTCGACGGTTGAGGCTACTGGCTGCCAAACAAGCAAGCCAGATCGCCATTCTCAAACCAGGCACGATCCTGTCGCCAGGCGTTCAGGATAATGTCCTTTCCCACGCCGACCACCTGCTGCACCTGAGCCTCCGACCCCCAACCCGGCGCCTTAGGGCCCCAAGCGATGAGGTGGGTGCCGATGTGGAGAGCAGCACGGAAGGCAAAATCGTCGTCCATGCGGCCGTATCCCGCTACGAACCCCTCGATCAGCCACTTGCCCTCATCAATGCCCTTGAACAGCGAGAGCTCGTAGAGCTCGGCAATCATTTGCCCGATGTCGAATGAGGGCAGGTTGAACTGGCAAACCTCCCAGTCCACGACAAAGACCGGCATCTGGTTTCCTTCTTCGAGTGGCTGGCTGGGCAAGAGGATGCTGTTTGTTTGTGAGTTTCCTCTCTTCTTGACGTACGAGCGCATGGATTGCAAATGACTTACTTTCCGGTCCAGAAATCCCCATGGATGACCTGGAGACCCGGGTTTTGGAGTTCTGCCGCCGTGAAATCCCTGATTTTCTCAAACGTCTCCTTCGCATCGGCAAGGACAGTTGGGAAATCGGCAACGGCGGATACTAGAGTGTTGTAAGTTGCCATGTGCACGATCTGCCGCATCTCGTCGTTTGCCTTTGCCTGCTCCCTGAACTTGGATTGCTCCGGACGCAAAGCCCAGGCATGGAAACCGCGGAGCCACCCTCCCAAGCTGCGACCCAGTTCAAGACAGAGAGGCTTCCTGGAGGGATCCGGAGAGGCAAAATGCTTGAGAGCGTAATGCTTCAAATTCAGCGCGTGGGGCAGATACGTCTGGACCTGCGTGTTGGTTTCCCGACTGGTGTAGTAGAGCTTGGGAGTCTGAACAGCGTAGGCTCCCTTAGTTGGCGGGAGCTCGCCGAGAGCCCTCAGGCATTCTGCCTCGGCTTTCTACGCGGCTGTTAGTGACATGGCGTGGTGCTTCCTGAAGAAGACGACGACTTTGAGTTGGACTTACACAGCGAGTTGTGGGGAGCAAGAAGGCCGGCATCGCGGCCAAGTAGTCCTCCGCCATGTTTCACGGCAACCTCCTTGGTACCATCGGGAAGAGGCTTAGTGAGGGAGCCTTTGAAGGTGAAGTTGGCCAAGCCCCCGGAGAGGGGTGTCAGTGACGAGCACGCATATTCGGTGTTGCTGAGTCCTTGGAGGACATCCTCAGTCACTTTGGCAACCTTTGGGTCAGTCATTTTTTGGGTTGGTGATATCGTGAAGTGAGGATTTGAAGTTGTCAACAATCGGGAAGAGGATGATGAGGCGACTTGGTCCTGGGATATCTCGCCGCTCGCGAGATACCAAACTTTATACTTTTCCCCGCATAGATACGTATACCCATCCCTTGTGAAGCCCAATTTATCGGCTGATTTGGGCAATTACAATATCCTTCTGCGGCCACTGGACTCAACACACGATCAACGGGTTGAGAACGCCCCGAACCTGCACAACAACCCAAGTATGAGCCAATCAGGTATCAGCGCCGTGTTGGCCCCTCTCGGCGCTCTGACTCTTCGCCGGCTTGGTGTTGATAGTTAGAGCCCCACTCTCTCTCCATTCCCCAAAACATCCATGCACCGATGATCGAAGTGAGACAGCGGGGAGGGAAGACAAACTACAAGGGTTGACAATGGTGGAGGTACTGAACTCATTCGAGCTGGTTCTAAACCTCTAGTTATTCTGACGACATATGCCGGGATCTCATCGATAATAAGTCCAGCGAAGGCATCAAAGATGAACTCGTCCTTTTTTTCCTCTCGGGTGTGCAATTGGGCCAAAGGTGATGGTGCGCCGTTGTTCCCAGTTGGGGCAAGCCGAAATAGTAGCTGTTATGCACAGAATTCCAGCCTTCCATGCAATAAATACCAACCCAAATCCGAAATCCATTTTACACGAGATTGTCCTGGCAAAAGCTGCTGGCAGTGACAGCGGACAAAATCGAAAATAGAAGCAAAGAAGCACTTGGTTCCCCAATTTTACCCGTTTGTGCCAAGCCCGCCCATGTCCCACAGGCCCACGGCCCGCCAGAGCGCCCTGAGAACAACAAAAGGCACAGCTCATCTCGCGAGTGGAGAGGGCAGCCAGGCGGTTCTGGACCTCGACGCTCGGCACTGAAACAGGGCGAGGTCTCTGATACCACTGCGTCAGCAAAGTTCGGCTCCTCGACCACACACAATCTCCCATCCTCGCCCGGCGCCTGAAGACCTGTCTCGAGTTTGTTTTGACTGCCGCCAATGGCTCGGTAGCCTCGTCCCGTCCGATCGAAGCAGATCAAGCCTCCGAGAGGCCCCAACGCCCCCATCCGCCCCGATTTCTGCCTCCCACGCGCGCTCCTGCAGCCAGGTCATCAATTCCGCCCCCCTTGACGCTTGTTGACGTTGCTGCTCGCATGTTGCCCCCGGTCATGGCGTTAGCGCCGCTGCTGACCGTTTGACGATTCGAGGTTTCACTAACGTGGGCCCTTGTTGTGGCACGAGGCCAGGCGCTTCCCGTCGGTGAATTCGCTGCCTCCATCCCGCCTGACTGCGCACTTGGAGAAGTCACTTTCCGGTGGCTACCGACCCTTGCCCAAACCAGGGCGGCGCATACACCACCACCACCACCACAACAACAACAGCACACTTTCCCTGGGTCAGGCGCATGCATTCGCGTCTGTCTCAGAGGTTTCCTTGCTTGAGTCACCACCACACATTCACCGCCAGCTCTGCTCTTAACCACTAGACCTCAACCTCTGCCGCTCACCAAATCTCGACTTTTACTTCGACCTCTACTTCGAATCCAACCTCGAAAGCTGTCCCTCGTTTTAATCGTTTTCCCTTCCGCTTGTACCTCCAACGGCTACCCAGCGGCGATACTACCGTGGGCAACTCACACTTTGCTTTTTTATATGCGCGAGCCACTATGGCTCAAGTGCACACACCAACTCGCGGCCTTGTCCATTGCCGCCGACCACGCGGGTCGATGAGCAGTGCTTCTAAGGCAATCCCCGTGGCCGCCGCAGATCGGCAGCGCCCGAATCCGAGGGAGTCGGGTGCCGTCTGGCAGCCTGACGCATAATTCGCCTCGTTTAAACCAAAAACGGCAGCTTCGAGTTCGATCGCGTTATCAAGAGCGGCTATGTGCAGAAGCGCACGCAAAAAACAAAGGTACGACCCACACTTAAGAACACCATGCATAGATCTCCCTAGAATGCACGCTGACCTTGATGTGCAGACATGGCGCACCATCTACCTAGTTCTGCGACCGAACACGCTGTCTCTCTACAAGTCGGATAAGGAGGAGAAGCTCCGGCGAAAGGTCTATCTTTCCGACCTGACCGCCGTGACGCTATTGAAGGACCCAAAAAACAAACGGCCAAACGTGTTTGGCCTGTTCTCGCCTGCAAAGAACTTCCACTTCCAGGCGCCGACTTTGAAGGATGCCCAAGAGTGGGTAGATCTGATTCGGCAGGATGCCAGGATAGAAGAGGAAGAAGAGGAGATGTTTCTGGCCAGCCCAACCGCCCGTCAGCCTTCATTCTTCCGTGGCGCCGAGGTGGACAACGGCAACCGCAGCTCAGGCCGCGTGCTAGCGTCGCCGGAGCACTTCCTATCGAGCTCACCCGAACCCTCCGAGCCCCCGATCCGCCCTATTTCAAAACCATACGCACGACGGCCATCACATTTAGATTCGTCGGGTCTTTCGGGTGCTGAGCTGGCAAGCCACTCCGACTTCTCCGATTCCGACATGCACCGTGTCCCGGGCGCCTCGTTCGAGAGTCTGGCAGCTCACCGACCATCGACATCGCCTGGTGTGCCCAGACCCAGTATAGGGACCCTCAGCAACAATCGAGTCAGTGGAACGCACCAAGACGCCGATCCGGACCGCGTTATCTGGCAGGGTTGGATGTGGTTTCACCGCAGCAAAGGGGGGGTCCGGCAATGGAAGAAGTCATGGGGCGTTTTGCGACCAAGAAACTTTATTCTTTATAAGGACGGCGCCGAGTCGTCTGTCTTGTTCCTGCTCTACATGTCCTCAATCGTCAACGTGGTTGAGACCGACTCCAAGAGCCGGACCAAGAAGCACTGCCTGCAAATCATCACGGACGAAAAAAGCTACCGGTTCTCCACCCACGAAGAGGAAGGCCCTTGTGCAGTGCCTGGGCGCATTCAAGAGTTTACTTGCCAAGCGCCGGGAGATAGAGGCCAGGACAGGGACACCCAACGCCGCGGCGCCGGCTTCAATTGCGGTTGCAATAGCACCCACGACGACGGCTACAGCAGCACCTGCAGCTGTAACTCGCCCTCTGCCCGCATAATCCAAATAAGTTTCTTTATTAATCTCGGGCGGGTTCTTGCGAGTTGTTTGGGATACCCGGTCAAACTTTTAGACCACGCGCTTGGGGGGAGGGGGGACAGGGGATGGGAGACGGTGGACGGTGGACATCCATAAGGGCTATATTATTGTCCTGCCTAGCTCATTGGCGACCTAATGGCGCAGTCAGACGGCTTTTTCTTTTCATGTTCAATTCTTACGACGCAACGATGAGTATATGACGGATAGCCCTGTAATCACACTTTAGCCCAGCGGAGAGCAGTCAACCGAGAGACCCACATAAAACATAATTGAATGTTCGTTATCACTGTTTCACACTCGGGCTCGATCAGCTGATATTATGTGCCTAGTGGATCAAGGTACGCTGCTGCGAATATATCCCGATAAGCTCGGTGTCGCCCTAACACAAGCGCACTGTCACCTCAGCCCGGCAGGGTCCTATCCACGAGGGACACTCGAAATTCCCGGCGGTTCACAACCACAAGGTTCGGTGGTACCATTGCTTAAAATTGGAAGCTGGGAATGCCGGCGAAGTAAAGGTCCCGGAAGGTTGTCCATGGCAAAAGCCGGGCTTTCCAAGCCAGCTGTGGCGGAATCATGACCACACTTGACCACATGCCACTCGAGTAGAGCCATCGAATCTGAACCTGGCATGCGGAAACAAATCCCGGAAAACACATTGGTTGCCAGAACAGGGCAGCAAATCACATTTTGTGCGACCCAACTTTAAAACCGGCCAATCCCAGGGCGAGATGTCCTCTGAACTGCCGTCGGCTGAGAGCATCACGGCATGGCTAGTGGATAGATGGATCATTAAACTACTGTGGAGGAAAAAGGGGCAGGGGATGGTCCGCCGGCTGAGGTTGTCTTCTGGAAAAGCACTGATCACAAGTCGACCAGCACCCTTTTCCACGCCCTCTAAGCAGGGAAGGACACCAGCACCCGGATGGTCACCTAACCCGGCACTTGAACCCAATGGGGATTAACGCGATGGCCAAGATCCTGCGAGACCACCAAGACCGGCCATGCGACTTGTCATTCGCCTGCTCCCCTCATCAACCCCAATTCGGGCCGCCTCCAATCACAAGGACGAGACCACGGGTCGGGTGGGATGCTCCATCATTTTCGACGACCGACACAAATGTCTGTCCTCGAGGTTTTTCTGGTGGGTTGGGTCTCGGCCGTTCTGGGCGAACTGGGAAGGTAACTCTCCATGATCCCCCTCCCCCCCTTTCTACATACTACCCAACCCTTCCGCGTGCGGCTGGCGAGTGAGCCAAGTCAATGCAACCGCGTGGAAGAAGCAGGCGAGGCTGTTTGGCAGCGGGGTGGGAGCAAAGAAGCGCTGTAACCTTCCTAGGAAAGTTCCTGGTTTTCAGGTGTGGTATGTCCAAGGTGAACCCCCTTTTTGGGAGGGATCAGCGAGGAACTGGACTTACACTTGATATATTAAGTCATGACCTCGGTGGCTCCCGTGGCTGATCCGGCCTGGCTGGAGAGTTGAGTTATCACTCCCTCAAGGACGGTCGTTAGAATCAATAAGGGCAAAGTGCCGCTTGTTCGCTTCCCTTTAGCTCCCTTCGTTTGTCTTTGGACTAGCGACGTTCGTTTCTGTTGTGTTGAATCTCTCCCCATGACATTATCCTGAGCTAGGCCTCTCTGCTTCATCATCTACACTCTACCTCGATCCTACTAGCGACATCACCAACCACCTCACCTCCCGCCATACCAACCCCGTCCACCTCACAGCAATAAAAAATCCCACCACTATGGCCCGCCTCCTCCCCTTCCACCTCCTCCTCCTCACCCTCCTCCTCCCCCTCCTCACCACCGCCGCCACGCTCCCCGCCCTCCCCCTGCACTCCACCAGCCGCTGGATCGTCGACTCCAACCACACGCGCGTCAAACTTCGCTGCGTCAACTGGGCCGGGCACATGGAGACGCACCTGCCCGAGGGCCTGCAGCACCAACCTCTCAGCTACCTCCTCGACTGGATCGCGGCCCAAGACTTCAACTGCGTGCGCCTGACCTACAGCACCGACGCCGCCTTGGACCCGCACCGCACCGTGGCGGCGGCGTTTGAGAAGGCGGCGGCCGCGGCGGGGGTGGGGCAGGCGGAGATGGCGGCGTTGTACGCGAGGGTGGTGGAGAAGAACCCGTGGATTGGGGCGAATACCACCACGAGGGAGGTGGTGGCCGCCGTGGTGGATGGGTTGTTTGCGCGCGGCGTGCTGACGATCCTGGATAACCACGTGTCGCGGGCGGCGTGGTGCTGTAACCTGACGGATGGGAACGGGTGGTGGGATGAGGGGTTTGGGTATAATACGTGGAATAGCCGGTTTTTTAACACGCAGCAGTGGCTGGCTGGGTTGGAGGCGATGGCGGCGTGGGGGAAGGGGCATGCGGGCGTGGTTGGGTATGGCCTGCGCAACGAGATCCGCGAGTTCTTGCTGCAGGGGCTGAACGGGCGGGCGGATTGGTATACCTACGTCAAGAAGGGCGGGGATGTGGTGCACGCGGCGCATCCGGACGCGCTGGTGCTGGTGGGCGGGGTGCAGAGCACGACGGACCTGCTGCATCTGCGGTCTGGGGAGGCCGAGGCGATGCTGGACACGAGCGGGTGGGCGGGCAAGCACGTGTGGGAGATGCATGCGTACAGCTTTACGGTGACTTTCCCGGACGCCTTCAACAACTGTGATATCGTCAAGGCGCAGTATGGGGCCTTTGTCGGCTTCGTGCTGGAGCAGGGCAAGCCGTACACGGGCCCGCTGATCCTGAGCGAGTTTGGCGTGGGCATGGAGGGCGGCGAGTTTGACGGTCTGAGCGAGAAGGACAATCGGTACTTGAACTGCTTGGTGTCGTATATGCAGAGCAACGACGCCGACTGGGCCGTGTGGGCGATCCAGGGCAGTTATTACGTGCGCGACGGGAAGACGGATTATGATGAGACATGGGGGTTGATGGACCGCAACTGGACTGACTGGAGGAATCCGGCCTTCTCTGGAAAGTTGGGCGATATGTGGAAGATGACCCAGCAGCCGTGAATGTATGCGATGCTGGTTGCTTGCTTTGTTTTTTCCTTTTTGCTTTCTACTTTCTTGTGAATAGTTGCGGCTTCGGATACCTCTCAAAGGTCTCGGTTAGCCAAGACATGCCTTGAGAGGTTGGAGACCTTTTAGATAATCTTGCTTTAAACTTGAACCTTCCTTTCATAAATCTCGAGAACCGCTAATGCCTCGAGGCCAGCCTGGTATCTAAGTGTGAATGAAACCCTACGCGTCCGAAACTCCGTTGCCCCAAATCATTGTCTGTAGGTATCCAGGTCATCCATTGAGATTGAAAAAAGCGTCATCAAATTCCCCGGCCCCATTACTGTTGTCGCCTGTGGGGAAGTACATGTCGTTGAAATTACTGTTGTCCCCGTTGCCGAGGTCATATTCAAGATCAATGTTGTCGTCGAGATCGGCGGACCCCAAATCGAAGAGCCCGTCAATCTTCTCATCAACGTTGGTAATGTTGTTAGCATCCTCAGTCTTGATATCTTGAATCCCAACGTCCATGTTGGCCACATCTGCCGGGCCTCCTTTGAATTGGTCCATCTGAGGGCCCGGGGCATCCCCGGCTGCGGTGTTGGCAACACCGGATCCTGAAGGGGGTAATTGCTGCTGCGGTGTTGTTCTTTGCGGTTGCGGGACCTGGTTTTGAACGTGTGCATCACCAGAGGCGGGCGCCACAGAGAACGTCATGTCTATGAACAGATTCCCGTTTCCGGTGACCGGGGCCGGTGGCGTGGCAGCGCTGGAGCCCGGAGCGTTGCTGGGGCCCAGGGTAGACGCCTGCCTGTTTGCTGCCGCCGTGGCAACAAACGACGATTTGGGCTGTGCTGGTGGGTTGATAGGCGTTTGAGGGGCCGTCGCCACGCCGCCTGGCCGGTGTAAGTGTGGTGAGGGGACCTTGACGTCCTTCTTTTGTGGAACGCTGGCAGGTCTGGCGACCGGGCCTGCCGCCCCGGCCGGTCTGGCCTGGTTCTTGACATCCTTGGATTTGGCGACGGACTTCGGGTTGGGTGCTGCGGCCACCTCGGGTGATGCTCCATCAAACCCCATATTCGGAAACGGGGCAACCGGTTTGCTGGCCTGCTTCCTAGGTAGGGAAGGTCCTGGCAAGCCCGCAAAAGACGGCTTTGGCGTCATCTTTGGGGACTCTAGGTCGATAACCATTGGTGCAGTGGGGGCAACCGGCTTCGGTTCCGGGGGTGGCGGCTGGCGTTTCGCTCTCAGGAGTCTGAGATCCCGTTCGATCACCGCTTTAGATAGGAGCTTCATCATGGTTAGTGGAAAAGTATCCCCCCTGTTGTTCGCTTAAGCAAACTTACGATTTCGGACTCGATGTCGTCCAAGATGGCATTGAACTGCTCAACCGAGGCGGGAACCCGCGCCTCCATGGCAACAGCAGCCGCGGCGGGGTTGCCCTTGCCATCTTGCCTTGCAGCTTTAAAGGTTTTGGCTGTGGTGATTACCTTTGTAACCAAGCGATCAGCAAATCTGACCCAAATTGTCATGACTAGTTGACGGAGTCTAGCGACTTCCCCTCACTTACCACGTCGTTGACCACGTTTGGCAGCTTATCAATTGGCCGTCGACCAGCCATCTTGAAGGGTACTTGCAGGAGAGATGTCGGTGATACGAAAGTGGAATCTTTGCAAACGGGTGCTGTGAGCCTCGCCTGTTGGGTGAACCTGGACCGGATTGGTGAGATGGGTGGGATTCTGCGGGCCAACACCGAGTGATGGATGGATCCGTTCGGGAACCGGAATCGGGGCCGGTTTGGGACAGCGAATACCCGGGGGGAAAAGTAAAAGGAAAAAAAAGTGAGATAGCCAAACGCAATGGATGGCCGATTACCTCGGTGAGTTGGGTGCATTTACCAAGGAAGGTAGTGGTGAACCGAACTCCAAGAGAATTACTGTGTTTCTGTTGTTTTCCCTGTTACGCGATGAATGGCTCGGGTGATTGGATTGATGGGGTTGTTGCTGGAGCTGATGGTGAGATGGAAGTGCCCGCGCTCGAGGTCTGGTCCCTGCGCTTAGGCGCTTGCCCGCTCGCTCCCGTGGTCCGCTACTATGTAATCTGTAGGTAGCCAATTACCTAGGGGAGGAAAGCCTGTGGTTGCTCGCCTGTCATCCCCACACATGATGCGGACCTCCACCGTTCTGGCAGGTACCTGAGCTTCAGACAACAGGGGCCCTTCCCGAAATGAGACGAAACGACGAAACGACGGCCAAGCAATTATAAATACGATTCACTCGTTTTGAATATCATGTATGAGAATTAGATGGCCCATTATGCATTTATATATTGATGAGAATAAGGATAACTAATTGCGCCCGCTTCACGATGGACAGGCCATTGAACCGGCTGACCTCGAAGCGCAACTTGTTGGTCGTGAGGCTCATCTCGTCTCGGCGCGTTGGGTCTTTGCATGGATCCTGGGAATGGGACGTGACTTAGACTAGGCAAGGCTGACTCGCAGTTCTAGGAACACAGTCTCCCGATGCTGGTTTATATGCCGAAAACAACAACTTTTTTTAAAAAAAGATACGACTCAGGCTTTGGGGCGATTAATGGTGGTCAGCTGACTCGGCACTCCCTACATACTTAGATCCCAGCCTGCCCGAGCTTGGGTGGGTGCTTCAGTTCGCTAGTTATTCTCAATTCAATATTCACCAACGGACAGAGCCGTCCCGGCCTGGCTTCGACAAACACTGGACAGATTCCACTACACCAATGGGCACGCGGCCAACCTGCAAGGAAAAGGACCTGACAGCAAGGACCCATTCCACCAAACCCGCCTAGGCACCATGCAGCTTTGGTGCATCTACTGCGATAGAGGATGGAGACCAGGACGGAAGCCCAGAATCTGAGGGGGTTGCCGCCTTGGCCACTGAGGACCCCCCTAGATTCCATTCTTTCAAGTCTGTCGGCCCAGTGATATTCAACAATCCCAGTTCCATGGCACCATGAAAAATCCCCCCTCTTCGCGATGCTTGTGACCCTCTTCCTCCTCCTGCATCTCTTTTCCTTCGCCTCCTTCAATCACCGAGGAGTTTCGTCACTTATCCTCTTGGATCGGCCGGCGCTGTTTTGATTTCGGAGGCTCTCCTCCTTTTTAACGGCCGGGTCTTTTCCCTCTTCTTTTGTTGGTTTCTCCTGCTCCATCTCCTTATCCTCATCGTCGTCGTCGTCGTCGTCGCAATCCAGCCATTGTCTTATTCGTCGCCGTCTCCTCCACTTCACGGTTCCAAACGCACTCTGGGTTTGGGCTTCGCATTCCGTGTTTTTTTAGTTGCACGCCGACTCTGTTCACAATTCGCTCTACGGCCCTTTCGAACGGTTGGAGACCCTCCGCTTCGCTCTATTGCCACGCCGGTACACTCAGGTCTTCTGTCCCTATTTGGCGCCCGGGTTTCCTATCTGCAAAAGCGAAATCCGAAGCTCCCAGCTGTTCTTCGCTCTTCATCCCATTTGTAGCAACACACAGCGGAACTGCTCGTGGGACTGCTTCGCGGCAGGAAACACCAGGTTTTGTGCTCAGTATCTTCTGCTCTCGCCTCGTTTTTTTCGCTAGAAAAGCCTTGCGGAGCTCGAATTTTCTTCGCGCTCGCTGAAATAGGCATCCAAGCAATCGTCTGCAGTCGCCGTGTCCTCGGTGGGGTTTGCGCTGCCAAGAAAGGCCCTTGGTGCAATACATCTCCAACATTTCGTCGCGGTCTTCTGCTCTTCCGTTAAGCATCCCAACGCAACAAGTTCGCAAAGATGGCTGACAACGGTCTCTCTCTCGGCCTCTGGCCAACTCCCACCGCCGCCGCAGCCCCAACGCGGGTGCGCCTGGCTACGATGAATGGCCAGAACCCCGGCTCGAACCCGTCGCACCTGCCTCCCCCGACCTCTCCATATTCGCGCGAGAACACCCAAATCCGATTCCCGGACCGCGGATCACTTCTCCGATGGGTGGACGGACGTGACAAGAAGCGGCCATGAAGTCTCCCGGCAGGCGGTGGTCCCCTTCGGTAGCCCGTGCTGCCCCGGAGCCCGAACAAGCGTGCGCTGTATGTCGAAGGCTTGGGACCCGCGCGTCACCGAGGACGTCTTGCGTCAAATCTTCGAAACCACCGGCCATGTTCAGAGTGTCAAGATCATTCCGGACAAAAAATGTAAGCTCATCTCACCTTCCCCTCAACCCCGCCATTTGGAATGGGCCCGCGCCCGATTGAAGGCCTTCCAGCCTCTCCCAATTTCTTTTTTCGCTTCTTTTTTTCTTTTTAGCTTGAATGCTGACCGATTCTGGAGGCCAAGGGTTACAACTACGGTTTCGTTGAGTACGACGACCCCGGTGCCGCCGAACGCGCCATGCAGACCTTGAATGGCCGCCGTGTCCATCAGTCGGTACGTTCGTCACGACGTGTGCGGACATGAAAAACAGCGGTTCTAATATGCGCCGTATAGGAGATTCGCGTCAACTGGGCCTATCAGTCCAACAGCACCAACAAGGAGGACACTTCGAACCATTTTCATATCTTCGTCGGCGATCTGTCGAATGAAGTCAATGATGAAGTTCTCCTCCAGGCCTTCTCTGCCTTTGGTTCCGTTTCCGAGGCCCGTGTCATGTGGGACATGAAAACCGGCCGCTCTCGTGGCTATGGCTTCGTCGCCTTCCGCGAGCGCCCGGATGCCGAGAAGGCCCTCAGCTCCATGGATGGCGAGTGGCTCGGCTCCCGTGCTATCCGCTGCAACTGGGCCAACCAAAAGGGCCAGCCGTCCATGGCCCAACAACAGGCCATGCAGCAGATGGGCATGACCCCGACCACGCCGTACGGCCACCACCACTTCCCTACCCATGGCGTCCACAGCTACGACATGATCGTCAACCAGACCCCAGCCTGGCAGACCACTTGCTACGTCGGTAACCTGACTCCCTACACTACCCAGCAAGATATCGTCCCGCTCTTTCAGAACTTTGGCTTCGTCGTCGAATCACGTTTCCAAGCCGACCGCGGCTTCTCGTTCGTCAAGATGGATACTCACGAGAACGCCGCCATGGCCATCTGCCAGCTGAACGGCTACAACGTCAATGGTCGCCCGCTCAAGTGCAGCGTAAGTACTTTCATGATATCATCTCGGGCTGGCAGGCATCAAGGAGCTAACCAATGCACAGTGGGGCAAGGACAAGACACCCAGCCATCCCCAGCAGTTCGACCCCAACCAGCAGTACAGCCCTCAGAGCGCGCAGACCCCTGGCTACCCCACCACGCCCTCCACGTATTTCAACCAGTACGGCAGTGGTACGTATCCCCGCGAGGCTGCTGCTCCGAACTCGGTAGTTAACGCCCCCGTAGGTTCTTACGGTCCGGGTCAGCAGCCGGGCTACGCCGGTCCCCAGGCCCAGTCACCGGGCCGGCTATGGTGCTCAGCCCATGGGCTACAGCGGTCCCCCGAGCGCTGGCGGCTATGGTCGTGGACAGCAGTCCAACGCGCAGTGGAACCAGCCGCCCCCTGGCCAAAACTTCAACAACGGTTTCTCTGGTTACCAGGGTTAAGGGTGGCATTTCCTGAGTCATCCGCCACGACGCCTCCGCAAAACATACCTCTTCCGTCGTCCCGCTTTTGTTCACTCGTCCTGCTTTTCTTCCATCGTCTTTCTTTTGAACAGCGCCGATGCTGGAGGTTGCAATTTCTCTCAACGCTGAAATGCCCTTTCATGATCCGAAGAACTTTTCAGGCAGTTATTCAAGTTGATTATCGGGGGGATCTGGTCGGGAAATCGAGCGTCTTTTGCTTCTTTCGTTCGGTGTATTACGTTCCTCGCTCCCCAAATTGCGTTTCTCATGGTCGTTACCGTCCTTGTCGTCGTCTTCGTTTCCCGGTCTTCTTCTTGCAGTGATTCCCCCGCGGGCATGATCTGATCACTTGCTACGGCATTTTTTGCTTTCTCTCTCTCTTTCTCTCTCTCTCTCTCTCTCTCTCTCTCTCTCTGCTTGTCTCCTGCTCAAAATTTTCAATTCTCTCGTGATTTTGTGTTGTGGTGCTTCGCCGCCTTCTCTCTTATGCCGTGCGCTGGATACCACTTGATCGGATTACGGCACATGTTCTTTTTGCCTGCCTAGCCGGCCACTTTTTTCTTGGGCGGAATGAGCTAACGATTTCCGATGTCAGTCAAACTACTCTGGGTAGGTCTGCTTGCACAGGAGTATCAGGTGGTTGAGGGATTTCTCTTTATTCCTATCTCAATGCGCGGGACGGAGTCAAGGACCGTTATCTGTTCGAATCCGCCAAACAAACGCCGCCGATTTCAAATCGTAAAGGGGAGGATTGTTGTCGCCGGTGACGGGAAACCGCTGAGCCAGGTTTCCCGGACTGAGACTCCATCTTCGAGGGGGGCTACCTGCTAGGGTTTTGGTGATGGTGGGGGGTTGATCTAAGGAGGGTTACCTGGGATGGGCGAAGACTAGCAAAATTGGTGTTTTGGATAACGAAGAATGGGAAGTTCTTGGTTACTGCCATCTCACGCTACCTCCTTATTCGCCGTTGATGAGTGACATCTAGCCTGATCTAACATGTCTAGCAACTGCCATCAGCGGGTCTTATTAAAACCACAACATTACCAAAATAGGAAGTTATACCGGTAAGATCTGTGTACATCAATGCGGGCGGGGTGGTGGTGGTGGCGACACGAATTGAAGATTGGGCATCAACGGCCACCGGCCCCTGGGTCGGCGCGTTTCCAGTGGCCAATGAATGTCTCCCCCAACAGTAACAAAACTAAAGTTTCTCTCTTTTGCAGAGCTCTCGCACACTTACCGGAGAGGAGATACGCCAGCAGCTTGAAAGTTTCTGCTCCGTTCGGCAACCGGATTTTGTTTCACCGAGTGCCTTTGTGTCGAACAACAAGTGGGTGGGTGGGCTCTGAAGAGAGTGAGAAGGTTGAGCATAGATAGTTATTAGCGAGCTGCGCATCTCCATAATAAGTCTCCCATTCATTTACAATGCCTGCTAGGAAATCGACAGTCAGCTATTGTGGCTATGCAATGATAGAAGTACCCTTTGGAAACGTTTCGTCCGCGGTTTTGGAGGGTCAAACGGCAAGGCATCAGGAAGATCGCAAGTGAAACCGGGAACACAGGGACCGTGCCGCGCTGCAAAACCTGCGAAGTCTAGAATCGCGACAAGCCAAAACTGCCTTTTCATGGTTAGATTATTGCGCTCGGTTGGCCGAGAGTGCTTGGGAGCGGCGTTTATTCTTTGGCTCAACCTCCCCAGCTCGCGGGGGCTGGAGTGGAATGTCAGGTCGGTGCCCATGAAGTGAACTTCGATTTGCAGGGGTACCCAGGCCAGGGCCGAGGAGTTTGAACTGGCCCAGCGCCGCACAATCGTCATCGGTTGTTGTGTCTATTGCCGGGCGGCTTGGGGGAGCTGCCTGAACTTTTTTTCTTCTCTTTTTTCTTTTTTCTTTTTTTCTTTTCCCTACTCGGGCCTAGAAAAGTCGCGAGTAACATACGCACATATTAAGGATCTCGGCCGCACTCGTCTTGTGCCACTCGACAGCGGGAACTACCCTCCATCCGCAATCGTTTTCCGCCCCAGTAATTCTCCCCCTCGTTTCTCTCTCTCAGTGCTGGGCGGGTCTCTCACAGCTCCTGCCAAACGCGTCCACACAAGCGCCCTTTCCACCCCTGCTCCAGACCTTGGCTGGCTGCGCAGTGGATCGTGGATTGTGGTTGACCCGCTTTCTTGGCCGGAGCGGGTCCCCCTCCCCTCCGCACCAGAGCCCAAGGACTCCAAACTCATTTACCTGCCTTGCTGCGACACAGACAAAGTACAGCACTCACCATCACAACACATAATCCGCGAGCCTTGTCGCCCCGTCGTTTCCAGAAGCAGCAGCCATGGAGCAATGGCAGGCGTACAATGACCCTGCCAGCGCCGGCGGCCAGCGACGGTACAATGGAAACACTGGCAGCCAAATGTCGCCGCGGGACTTTGGTAGCGGCGCCCAGAACCCGGCGCAACAGCCCCCGGCGGGCTTCAAGTACGACAACTACCAGGGCGGCCTGAATCCGCACCAGACGCCGCCGTCGGCAACTTCGCCTATGGCGAGCCCGCTTCTGCACGACGGTAATGGCGACGTCCCGATGCAAGATTCCCATGATTCTTACGCCACTCTCAACCCTAACGCCAAATACCCGATGCGGCCGCATCATCAACAACACCCCTCCAGCGGTCGCACCGCCAACCTCCAACAAGAGCCTTCTGCCGCCGCCCAACGATACTCGCCCATGGAGGTTTTGTCGCCTACGTCGCCATACGGCCCCAAGTCGAGCAGCGCAAGCCAGTTTTCGCAACAGCCCGCGCAACGGCAATCGCCCACCCGCTCGTCGGACTATGCCCCGCAACAGAGCCCTTATTACAACACCCGTCAAGCGGCACCCCAGCTACCTCCGATCAATCCATACGGCGGCAGCCAGGATTCCTACTCCCCGTCAGCCATGACTCCCATGGACGGTTCCTATGTCGATCCCAAGTCGCCCAAGCGTGCCCCGCAGCCGCAACAACAACAGCAATCGACTTTGCAGGACAGGGGTCCTGTGCCTGAGTTCAAGCGCATTCGAGCATCGACAGATCTCAAGCCCAAGGTCAACAGCCAACCTGCATTTCGGCGAGCCAACCCCGAAGGTGGTTTTCTCAGCGTCAGTCACTGGCCTCCAATGCGCTACATGATTTGTCGCCAGATTTGCTAACCCAACCATCCCAGCCTCTCCAAGCGCTCACGGTGCAACTCCCAGCTACATACCGAATCTGCAACCCCGGCTTCAAGTACGAGTCGTCACGTAACCCTCGCCGTGTTTTGACGAAGCCGAGCAAGGGTTTGAAGAACGATGGCTACGATAATGAGGATAGCGATTATATCCTCTACGTCAATGACATCCTTGGCTCTGAGGAAGCTGGACACAAGTACGACTTCTCTCCGGGAGTGGGCAATACAGTGGCTAATATTTACTCTGTTAAGGAACCGATATCTGATCTTGGATGTTCTTGGCCAGGGCACCTTTGGCCAGGTTGTGAAATGCCAGAACATGAAGACCCAGGAAGTTGTCGCTGTCAAGGTCATCAAGAACCGCACAGCCTACTTCAACCAGAGCATGATGGAAGTGTCTGTTTTGGATTTGGTGAGTTGCTGCCGCGCCATTATTGTGCCATTCTTCCGAGCTGTTCTCAAACGCTAACCGAACGTAGCTCAACACCAAGCTGGACAAGAACGACGACCACCACCTCCTGCGGCTCAAAGATACCTTCATTCACAGACAACATCTGTGCTTGGTGTTTGAGCTGCTCAGCGTGAATTTGTACGAGCTTATCAAGCAGAACCAGTTCCGGGGTCTCAGCACAACCCTCGTTCGTGTTTTTGCTCAGCAGCTTTTGAACGGCCTAGCGCTGCTCAACAAGGCGAGGCTGATTCACTGCGACTTGAAACCGGAGAACATTCTCCTCAAGAATCTCGAGAGCCCAATCATCAAGATTATTGATTTCGGTTCCGCATGCGATGAACGGCAAACAGTTTACACATACATCCAGTCCAGGTTCTATCGGTCACCTGAGGTCTTGCTCGGCCTACCATATTCCTCGGCCATCGATATGTGGTCACTGGGATGTATCGTGGTCGAACTCTTCCTTGGCCTGCCCTTGTTCCCAGGTTCCTCTGAGTACAACCAGGTCTCCCGAATCGTTGAAATGCTTGGAAACCCTCCAAATTGGATGATCGAGATGGGCAAGCAAGCTGGCGAATTTTTCGAGAAGAGGCAGGATGAATTCGGCCGCCGAACTTACCACCTAAAGAGCATGGAACAGTACTCACGGGAACGCAACACAAAAGAACAACCCAGCAAGAAGTACTTCCAGGCCAACACATTGCCCGAGATTATCAAGTCATACCCGATGCCCCGGAAGAATATGAAGCAGTCAGAAATCGATAGGGGTAAGTCGTTACTGCCTATCGCTTTCTAGAGAACAAAGGAACTAACCATAACCACAGAAATGAATAACCGCATTGCCTTCATTGACTTCGTCAGGGGTTTGCTGACTATCAACCCCCTCGAAAGGTGGTCGCCACAACAGGCAAAGCTCCACCCTTTCATTACACAACAAAAGTATACTGGCCAGTTTGTGCCGCCCATGAACCTCAAGGCGAGCGCCCTCAACCGATCACCAGCTCCCGGTACACAGCAACAAATACAAGCCGAGGCCCTGAGCAAGCAAAGGGCCCAGGCAGCTCAAGCCCAAGCGCAGGCAAGCACAGCAGCACAAGGGGCCTACGGGTCTATGGGTGCCGTGCAGTATCAGCAGCAGCAGCAGCAGCAGCCGCAACATCAGCAGCAGCAACAACACCAGCAGCAGCCGCAGCAGCCGCAGCAGCAGCAAGGGCACCCACAGCAACCACCACCGCTTTACGGGAACAACAACATGTACACTCCAACCGGCGCGCAGCCAGGGGCGCCGCCCCCGTACAGTGGGCAGCAAGGTGGATATGGCCAGATGGGTATGGGACAGGCATCTGTGCAAATGCCGCCGGCCAACTATGCCCAATCCAACCTGTACGCTCAGCAAAACCGGCCTAGGCAGCGCGCTTCCACGATGGAGCAGCAACAGAGCGGCATCCCCGCCGCGATCCAGAGAGTAGCCAGCCACCTCGACCCGACGCAACCCATCCGACTCCAGCCCAGCCCGGCGTACTACCCGCCCCCACCAGAAGGTTTGGCAGGCATGGACCTCCAGACAGCCAGCAGGCAGCCAAGGAGGGGGAGCCGAGCGCAGCAGGGTGGACGGGGCAACAATCGTGACTTTATCCGGAATCTGGAGGCGCGCACGATGGAGGAGGGATTCATGGGCAGTGGCCAGGGCCCTTGGCATTAGAATTGCTATCCGGAGTGCTAGGAGGGTGGGTGGCAGGCTGCGAGTTGGATACGGTATGGCTTACGCGAGAGACACGAAAGGGGAAGCGGGGGCTGGAGGACGGGCATGATGTTATGGGCTTTCCCTTCCCATTGATGCAACTTGCAACTGCAATTTTCGGCGTTCCGAGACTCGTTGCTTTGCTTGCTTTCTTGCCTACCCTACTAGGTTTAAAGCTGCATTATCATTCGAGTCATCACCATTGTCATATTCTTGGTTGTCATTCCTGCCACGCTGTGTTCGTTTTTAAAGTCTTGCTTGGATGGGTGATGATGGGTGGATGGATAGTGGGGAAGGCAACGAAAAGAACATAGGGAAGGGGGGGTTCAACATTGGGGCGGCGGCACAAACACATTTGCCTTGTTGTTTACTATGTATATGGCTTATACTCTTCTTCCGTTCTGTAGCGCTAGCGGCTTTGATTTTGATGGTTGCGCCGCTCTGTGTTGACTCCGTCTGGATAAACGGCGAATGGGCATCTTGGGGAAAAGATTGAACAAGAGAAATATGTATTATTGAGCAACCGCTTTCTGACAACGGCTTGCCTGGCTATGTACTTCCCTTGAGCAGACTGCTATTCATTTTTAGTATTGAGGGACAATACCTGTGGGTAAGTCTACAATAGTAGTATCGTAGCTAAAGAATAAGTATGTGTAAATGCCGAGATGCCTCAAATAATAATTCACCATTGAAATATCTAGACTCTTGCTCTGAGGGTCGAGTTGAAGCTGAATGTATGAGAATGCGTGCCAGGACACTGTGTGGATACAGTGCGGGTATTCGCCAAGATTCCGAGTTGCTTTTAGCTTCGAATTGTCGGCGGGCCGCAGGGGCAAATCCTCGCTGGCGCGCGCCAGAAACACGGTCCAGCGACAAACCGCCCGCAGCCATTGTGAGAAAGAGCGCCAGCTGCAGCCTCGCCTTCAAAAACAAAAGTTCATCGCTGCATTCTATTTTACTGCACCCTACAAAGAAACCATCCCGCTACACCTGCATTTCGACATTCTATTCACTCGACCGATCAAGTTACCTAATTGCACGGCAACATGGTCGCCAACGGCAAGAATGGCGGCAAGGGCGCCGCCGACTTGGAAAAGATAATCCACGAAGGTATGCAACCCAGCGCGCTCACTTTTCGGACGCCGAGCACCCAGAACCAACCATCCACTCTCTAGCTCGCGATCGAAAGAAGAACGAAGCGCTTGCCGCCAGGATATTTGGCAAAGACCGCCGCTCAAGCACCCCCGCCTCCAAATCGTCCCTCGCCGGCAGCCTCGCCAGCCGCGCAGGCGTGAAGAAGGTTCGTTTGCCTGATTGACTCCCCAATCGCCCCATCCCAGTCCGCTAACCTTTACCCACGGTAGCGTACCGAGCATACTAGCCGCCCGCGGCATAGTACGGGCAACATTGACGGAGAATGGACGCACGACCTCCACGAGACACAGACCCAGGGCCCCAGGGCCAACGGTCGAGCCAGCGGCAGCGGTGCAGGCTCCCTCGCCGCACGCATCACTGACCCGAATGCACCCCCGACCGGACCAGCGAGCCACAGGCGCCAGACGCGTCGCGCCGCCCAGGTAGCACAAGCCCTGATAAGGTCGGAACTGCAATCATCCCACCCCCGGCAGCAACAACGCCCAGCGCACCCGGAAACCGGTACCAACGGCGCGATTCCGACAGGGCCGAAGGCCATGGCGAAGCCGACAGGCGCATTCAACAAGGGCATCACGATCCGGGGTTTGGCCGGCCCATTTGTCGTCATGGCACAGAACTTTGCCCCCGGCACGACGGCGGCCGACATCGAGAGCGCCGTGACCCCTGTGGGTGGTATCGTTACCAGCTGTCGCGTGGTGAAGCAGCACCCGTTGGTAATTGCGGAGATCGTTTTCGAGAGTAAGGAAGGTGCCGACAATGTAATTGCTACGTTCAACAACCAGACAGTATGTCGCTCCCGCTTCCCGACATTTAGGCAGTTTTGAACGCTAACTGTACCAGGCCGATGGTCGCGTCCTGAGCGTCTACCCCAAGGTTGGCAACACCCCCTCCGCCCCCGTCAACCCAGCATCAGCTCGCGCCTCGTCCGACGACATGGTGGTAGATGGGTCCTATGGCTTCGATGAGCCAATGGATGCGGACCCCCAACCGGCGAAACAACCTCCCACGGGGCCGGCGGCGGGAGTTGGCAGTGGCTTGTACAGCGACAATCTCGTGAAGACGAACCGCTGGGGTCGGGGTTTCAGCCGGAGTGGACGCTTCAATGGGAGATAGAGCGTATCACCTCTATGGCCGCTCTGGTGTCGACCCTCCGCGCATTGAAGATGCCGATAGATCTTCGAGTGCATGAGTTGTAGGCATTCTTCCCATTCTTGTATTTGGTGGTGGAACTGGGTAATCACGGAGAGCCTTGGGGTGCTAGGAAAGTGATGTCATGTTGGTTAAGCACGGCGTACATTGGCGTTTCAGGTCCCATGGTGGGAAGGTTTGGAATTCTCGAGGGCTAGAACAGCAGACGGACAGATAACGCAAAGGGTCGCGGGTGTGCCTATGGCGAAATAAACAACGAGAAAGAAATGACGGCATCCAACATCGCCCATTTTCTGAATCTAGCGCCATCAATCCCGTATGTGTTCCTGCAGCGTTGGATGATGTTTTGGCGGATGGATGTGGGATAATGCAGTAGTAGTAAGTAAAGAATGTGACATGTCGACAGAACTTGAACCTTATTACACCTGAGGACGGCTCTAGGAGCACCTTCCTCCTCACTCCTGAGAATTCATCTCGACCCTCTTTCCCCAAACCAGCCTAGAGTGCCTTCCGTAGTTGATGGACACGGCGTTGCCTAATCTATTTATCTGCGAGGGTTATCGAAAGAACGGGGCCACAGTCTTCGCCCTCTTCCTCGGCGAATGTCCGAGTCGGAACTACCATCCATTCTATGCTGTTATTATAGTGTGTAAGCCAACCAGGCCTCACATTGTTATCATTACTCAAGGGATTCATCTTCCTCTTGCTTCTCCAGTTTTACCATTGTATCAAATTCAATCTTAAGAATAAAAGAAGCAGGGCGTTTCCAACATGTCGGCCACCCCCGACTTCGTCGGCCCATCGGACCAGGCAAGCCTCGAGACAAGCCTCAATACAAGCCGTTCCCGGAAGTCCATCGTTGCTAGTCTTCGCCACAAGACATCGCGACTCCTTGGTCGCAATGTCACCACCAAAAACGCCACAACAGACAACACTCCCCAGCCCCTCCAACCCGACCCGCCGAAGAGCAAACGCGGTTGGTTCCACTCGGTCGGTTCTCGCTTCCATCGCCATGACCACATCGCTCTCGGATCGTCAGAGTGCTCCCAGGAGATCCAGATTGTGATGGAGGAAGCACCTCAGAAAACCAACTCGCCCTCTTCCCCTGAGACCACGCCGCCCCGGTCACCCATGAGACGTCGCCGTTTTAGGAGTCGTCTTCGGCTGCATTCTCTGCCCTCAAGGTTTCGCCGACGTGGCGTCTCCCTGTTTAGCCGATCACCGTCTCTTTCGGACGAAGACAAGGAGAACTTTGTAGCTGTTGCTGGTCCCGCCGCGCGTTCAGGGGAAGGTTCCAACGCCGGGAGCTGGAGTTCGTTCCGGTCTGGTGTCCAAAGAGCTGTTCGGGGTGAGTGGTCTTGTTACCCCTTAAGTAACTCGCGATGGAAGGCTAAAAGCAAGGCCTAGAAGTAGTAGATAGCAACTTCCGTTTCTCCGAGGAACGTAGTCACAGCCACCCACACAGTGAGCAAACAGCGCCCAGTCACCACTGCGTAAGGTAGCTGATCTATACTAGGTGGCCCACTGCCGCGGCCGTCACGCCCGCCCCCCAGAGTTCCGCTCCGGACCCTCTGGACAATCATGTCTGCTGACTCCTCCGAGTCAGTCTCTACCCGATACCCTTTCTCTCAAGCCACACATCTTAAAACTAACTAATATAACCCCCCTTCTGCAGAGGTCATGACCAACCTCAAAGCCAAACCGCCGGAGACCAGGACCAAGACCCAAACCAAGGTAGAGAACACTCACCACCCCTGAAAAGATACCAGCTCTCCTCCCCGGACTGGTCGCCGGACTGGTCACCGCCCTCATCGCCAACTTGCCTCCTCCCCTCGCCATCATCCCGCCGGAGCAGCGAGCCTTCGTCCCCGGGCGCTCTGACTCATTCCGGTTCGACTGTGGACTCGTTTTCGGTGCTCACACCTCACGGTCCCCCCAGCCCGGCCAGTACGGCTAGTCATGTTGATAGTTCGGATGTGGCTGGGGGCCAAATACAGGGGGGTGGGAGAGAGGATGGGGGGGATGTGCCTGGGATGCTGGGTAGCGTTGGGGAAACGGGAGGGGAGAGAATTGGGGGTAGACATGACGTGGAAAGAACCGGAGTTGGGTCGATGTGGGAGGGAGCTAGGCCGAGGGTTGTCTCGAGCCCTGCTGTGGTTGCTTGAAGAGGCGTGGGTTTTGGCGCGAAGAGTGGGATAACATAGGATTACCCAGTATTGATATAGATGTTGTGATAACAGTGTTCCCGGGGTGGGATTGGTTCCGTAGGGTTACGAAATGGGATGGGAAGAGTTTGAATAGAGATATCAAAAAGCCGTAGACAAAGTTCGCCACTAGGCCTAGAGTTGTCGACACAGTTGCTTAAAAGTACATTCTTTACAGGGAGTAAGACGCTTTGCTTCCCTGGTAGATCGTATTGTACATGGCATAAACCCCCAACTATAAATGTACACGTATAATACATCTCCCACCCCCAACAAACTCCAACAATCTAGAACGAAGCATGCCGCGCCGCCTGCCTCGCCGTGCGCTCCTCCGCCAGGCCCTCCACCTCCTCCAACACCGTGCGGCGCTCCCTCACCTCCTCGGGCGGCGGGCCGTCCGGGTACAGGATGCGCACGTGACGCTCGACCAGCCGCTGCAGCACGATGCGGCGCGCGTGCCACAGCTTGGCCGCCCGCCGGTCCGCCGCCGCCACCAGCTGCATCATGCCGTCCTCGGCCCCCGCCACCCGGTCGATCGCCGCGATCATCCGCCGCGCCGTCGCCATGATCTCCTGCAGCGCGCCGCGCTGCCGCTCCCGCTCCTCTTCTGGGGAGCGGGTCGCTTCGGCGGGGTAGGAGAGCGAGCCGGTCAGGATCCGGAAGGGCTCCCACATGCGGTCGAGGGCCGCGAGGATTTGCGTGCCGTGCGCGAGCTTGCCGGCTGCGGAGGCGGCGGCGGCGGTTTCGTTGGGCGTGGTGGGTGGTGGTGCGTCGTGGAAGTGGCGCGTGTTGGCGCGCGCCACTTGGAGGAACAAGCGCATGGCGAGGGCGTCGGCGTAGCGCTGCTTGGTGGCCATGACGTCGAAGATGCGGCAGGCGTTTTTGAAGGCTTGCGGGTTGAGGTTGTCGCCGATGCAGGCTGAGAAGCCGCGCCGGAAGGTGAGTGGGGTGAGGAGCGTCGGGGGCATCTCCGCGATGACTGAGGCGACTTGTGCGCTCGCGTGGCCCGAGGCGAGAGCCCGTAGGTACCAGGCGTGGTTTGAGTCGTCGGGTGTTACCTTGGCGATCTTGGTGAGGTAGTTCCAGTATTTTACCGCGCTGGACGTCTTGCGCGTGTTGACGAGAACGGTGAGGACGAGGGACAGCGTCTTGTTGCCGGGTCGGGCGTACAGAGGGGTTTTGTTCGCTCTCAGTCCAACGAACGCCTTTCGGTCCTTCGGTGACATGTTGGTGGTGTCCGCGGTTTCGTTTTCTGGCATGGACGGATCGGCTGCGGCGTCGGTTTCGGCGGGCGGGGCGTCGGGGAGCTTGACGTTGGGTTTATCTAACCTTGGAATCTTCATGGTCTGTTCGAGCAGGTCCAAGACGCTATCGTTGTCTTTGTAGTCGCCCATAGCAAGTAATCTGCCCATGGCAAACACCAAATGTTCGTCAATGATGATCTTGGCGCTCTTCCAATTCGCAATCACGTCCGTCCAGATAGCCCTCGCTCTCAAGAGGTTCTTTTGAATCTCCCGCTTGACCTCGGCATCGATCAGTCCGATGTTGGATCTGTCTGCGTGGCCCGAGTCGTATCTGAGGGCGTTTAGGACGATGGTAAAGGTATGGGCATCCGGAGAGCGCATGCTGGCATTGGAAGTTACTAGGATGGTAAACAAGCTCTCGAGGTCTCCTGCACGAGCGCAAACCTCAAGGACGGCGTTCATGTGAATGGTGTTGGGCTTGAGTGGCCCGGCCTTGATCATGAAGTTGTAGATCCTGGTGGCCTCGGCTACCGCCAGCTTGGGATGGATAGATTGTGCGCAGCCGCGAAAGATGATGGTGTACGTCTTTGCGTTGGGTATTTGAGCTCGCTTTTTCATCTGGGCGGGGGTTAGCACCCTGTATATCCTAAACAAGCAAGCAGGCGAATGCGCACCTCGTTGTATAACTTCACGGCAGCATGAAGGCGATGGTTCTTCATTTGGTGATCGATCAGATGATTCCAGCTAACCTCGACCTTGGTATTTCGGCTGGACATACGCGCCATCATAAGTGCCTCGTCGAAACGGCCCTTTTCAAGCATTCCGGCGACACTCTGGGCAATGTGATAGGGGTCCTGGGTGAGGCTAAGATGCCTCCTGATGTTTGACTCCAGCTTTTTCTCATACATCTTCCTGGCATGATCGCCACCTCTTGTATCGAGGTTTTCGTACTCCAAATCTTCCTTATCGTCACCGGGTGGCTCTTTACCCGAGGCCCTTTTTCCCTTCGAGGGGGAATGTTGGGTCCCGAATTGGTTAGGGCTTTCAATACTGCTACGCAAATCGGCCCCAGCCCTTTTCCCTGTGTATGGCCTCCGGCCCGATATCGAGCTCGCAGCTCTCTTCTGTAGAGGACCAAGCAACCGGGCTCCGATGGGACCAGTGGGGGTCCCTGTGAGGCTTCGGAGGCAACCCCGGCAGACGAACATGGCGGCGCGAGTTGCCCTTTGGGGCGGGGAAACAGAGGTGGTGGTATAATCTCCTTCAACGATTGGCGTAATTCGGCTCAGAATATAAACGCGGGGTATCGGAATGGACTGACGATGGTGATGCTCAAGTTCAAAATTCGAGCCTTCGCACTTGCGCTGCTCTCTTTCGATGGCTTGGCGCCCCAACTTTTTTTTCCGTCCTTTGCCTGCCGGATAACAACTGAGTGGGGGCATCCATTGGCGGCCAGGGGTCCAGCGATTGAGAGGTTTACAGGGGTACGCGTCGCTGTACGCGAGAGACACGAAAAGCGCGTCCACTGTAAACTGGCAATTAACGAATGAGACCCGTGCCTTATTCCCACGCAACGCACAACACACCAATAACCGCCCCGAGAGTGTTGTTTCCCTCAATCCCCGAGGACAACCAAATCCTCCAAAAGACTGCTTAACGTCACGTCAATGTCAATGCCATCGTCCTGAAACCTCAATTATATCGTCATCAAGCCACCGAAGAAACCCGAATTACACAAAAGAGACGAAGCAAAAATGTCCAAAGCCAGCAAGCGCGGGAGGTTCGCTGAACTGCGCGCCTTGCGCCAGTCTGGCAAGAAGAATTTTGACACGTACGAGGTCGAAGATGCTGCGGACCTCTACGAAGAAGTCGACGAGAACCAGTACAAGAAGATCGTTCGAGACCGCCTTAACGAAGACGACTTTGTTGTAGATGACAACGGTGAGGGGTATGCCGACGACGGCCGTGAAGAATGGGACCGCGTGCAAACGTACGATTCTGAAAGTGATGGCGCCTTGCCAGTTCGTGGAAAGGATCGAAAGTGTAGGAACTCCTCATGTCCTTCAATGGTTGCAGCTTAGTAGCGTAGCCCACTAACCCTTTTACTCATACACAGCCAAGAAGCAGCGGGATGAAGAGCAGTCAAAACGAGACGCGAATGACCGGAACATCTCGGAGTACTTTACAAAGGGGGCTTCCAAGGCACAACCTAAGCCAAAGGTCGGTTCGGTTCCAGTCGGCCCCGGCGCTACTGACTGACACCCTGCCAGGTCATCAAGACAGAAGAAGACGACAAGTTTCTGGAAGATCTCCTCGGCGAAGTCGATGCGAACGTCCCGGTACCCGCTCCGAGGGTGACGAAGAAGAGAGACAGGTCGGCCGAGAGGAGGAGAAACCGCGCGCTCTCCCCAGCACGAGAATCGCGGCAGCCGGCCACCAAGAAGACCAAAATGCTTGACGGTAGTGCATCCTCTCCCGTGGCCACCGATGTTGCCATGGCCGAAGACGATTTTGTGCCGCCCGCCGAAGAAGATGAACTCCCTGTGCCTCTCGACGTGGACATGAGCGACCCTGCACCCTCTTCGCCTGCAGCAAAGGTTGCTGAGCGGCGGACACAACCCAAGCCAGACACCAACGAATACGACGACTTCGACGATGACGATGACGACATGATGGAAGTTGGCCGTACAGGTGCTGTTGCTGCTGCGAGTGTCAACCTGTCCGCCGCGCGGCAGATCAAGAAGATCATCAAACCCGACCCAACACCGGTGACTTCGTCACCCGCCAAGGGTCCGGAAACGGCCGTTGACGCATCGTCGTGGAATGGTATCAACGACAAGCTTAACGTCGTAAGCAGCTCGCAACCAGAGGCTAGGAGTATGGGAAAGATGGACTACAAAGACGCCATCGAGCCGGATGGCAGTCTGAACATGTTTTGGACTGATTATACCGAAGTGCATGGCAGCTTGTGTCTCTTTGGTAAGGTTCTGAACAAAAAGACCGGTCATCATGTCAGCTGCTTCGTGAAAGTCGACAACATTCTCAGGAAGCTCTATTTCTTGCCCCGCAAGCACCGGGTGCAGCGCGGTGTTAAAACCACGGAGCAGGTGGAGATGATGGATGTCTACAGCGAAGTTGACACTATCATGACCAAGATGAACGTCAACATGCACAAGATCAAGACTTGCACCCGGAAATATGCCTTCGAACTCCCCGACATCCCCAAAAAGGCTCAGTACATGAAGCTGCTCTACCCCTACACCAAGCCCGCCATTGAGCTCGGCACGAAGGGCGAGACCTTCTCACATGTTTTCGGCACCAATACTTCTCTATTCGAGCAATTCGTGCTCTGGAAAAACGTCATGGGTCCGTGCTGGTTGCGGATCAAAGATGCCGACTTTGGTGCATTGAAGAATGCCTCGCACTGCCGGCTCGAAGTCCTTGTCGATAACCCAGAGATGGTGACGGTGGTGGAAGAGAATGAAGGCATGGATATGCCTCCGCTAACCATGATGAGCATCGCCCTGCGCACCATGTTCAATGCAAAAGACAACAAGCAGGAGATTTTAGCCATCAGCGCCAGGATCTACGAGGATGTTTCGCTCAGCGACACAACTCCGGCAGATAAGCTGCCATGTCGGACGTTCACCCTCGTCCGGCCACAAACAAATGCCTTCCCTCTCGGTTTTGAGAAACTAGCCAAGGAGAGGAAGAGAGGATCGGTCAAGCTTATGAAGCAGGAGTCTGATATCCTAACCTTCTTCTTAGCCCAGGTTGATCTTGTTGACCCGGACGTCATTCTCGGCCACCAGCTGGAGGGCGTAGACTATAGCATTTTGCTGAACCGCCTCTACGAGAAAAAGACACATCAATGGTCTCGCCTAGGGAGGTTGAGGCGGTCCGCATGGCCACCCTCCATTGGCAAAGTCGGCGGCAACGTTTTTGCCGAGCGCCAGGTTATGGCCGGTCGCCTTCTTTGCGATCTCGCCAACGAGGCCGGCAAATCTGTCATGTATCAGTGCCAGTCGTGGAGTCTGACGGAAATGTGCAGTCGCTATCTTGGGGGAGATATCCATCGACGAGATGTAGACAACGAGTCGGCTCTCAAAACCTGGGCTGTTTCTAAGGAGGGCCTGATAGACTACTTGTCGCACGCCGAGGCCGACACCTACTTTATCTCGGCCCTGGCCTTCAGGACTCAGATCCTTCCTCTCACCAAAGTCCTCACCAACCTGGCAGGTAACTCGTGGGCGCGAACCCTTACAGGTACCCGTGCCGAGCGAAACGAGTACATTCTTCTTCACGCATTCCACAAGAAACGCTTCATCTGCCCTGACAAACAGCCCTTCAAGGGGCGAGGGCGCGCCGACGAAGAAGACCAGGAGGACGGTGGCGCCGATAGTAAGAAAAAGGACAAGTACAAGGGTGGTCTCGTTTTCGAGCCCGAAAGGGGTCTATATGACAAGTTTGTGCTCGTCATGGACTTCAACTCCCTTTATCCCTCCATCATCCAAGAGTACAATATCTGCTTTACTACCGTTGATCGGTCGTTTGTGGTGAGTACCCTTTTGCCTCATACGTGAACACCCTTGCTAATTTAGGGCCTAGTCGGATGATGAAGATGGAGTGCCTCCAGTTCCGGAGGACAAAGAACTTGGAATCCTCCCGAAGCTCATTTCTGAGCTGGTCGATCGTCGTAGACAAGTCAAGGGCCTGATGAAGGCCAAGGGTATCACCCCAGAGCAACTTGCAACCTACGACATCAAGCAACTAGCCCTAAAGTTGACGGCCAATTCCATGTACGGCTGTTTGGGGTATACCAAGTCTCGGTTCTACGCCAGACCTCTTGCTGTTCTCACCACCTTTAAGGGCCGCGAGATTCTCCGCAGCACCAAAGATTTGGCTGAGGGCATGTCACTGCAGGTCATCTATGGTGACACGGACTCCGTCATGATCAACGCGAATGTGGACAATGTAGCGGACGCGTTCAAGGTTGGCCGGGCGTTCAAAGCCGAGGTCAACAAGCGGTACAAGCGGCTCGAGATCGATATCGACAATGTTTTCCGCCGCATCCTCCTCCAGGCCAAGAAGAAGTATGCCGCCATGAACCTTGTCGAGGTCGACGGAAAATTCATCGAGGAGATGGAGGTCAAGGGTCTCGACATGAAGCGCCGCGAGTATTGTCCTTTGTCAAGGGATATTTCGAAGCGTATCCTCGACGAGATTCTTTCGGGCGATGACATCGAGCTATCCATCCAGCGCATCCACGAATACTTGCGTGACATCTCAAGCAAGATGCGCGAACAAGCGATTGCAACATCCAAATACATCATCCTGACCCAACTCGGCAAATCTCCCAAGGAGTATCCCAACGCAGACAGCATGCCTCAGGTCCAAGTTGCTCTCCGCGAACTTGCGCGTGGCAAGACGATGCGCAAAGGCGACGTCGTTTCGTACATCATCACAGGCGATAGCAAGACCACGTCAGAGCCTGCCCCAAAGCGCGCCTACACCCCACAAGACGTGCTCAAGGCCGATTCGGGCCTGACTCCCGACGTGGAGTGGTACCTGGGCAAGCAAATCTTCCCGCCCGTCGAGCGCCTCTGCGCGAATATCGTCGGCACCTCAACCGCCCAGCTGGCCGACAACCTCGGCCTCGACGTCCGGCGCTACGCCACCAACAACACCAGCAACTCTTCCAGCAGCAACCGCGACGTCGAGATCCACCCGCTCGAGTCCCAAATCCCCGACGCGACCCGCTTCCAAGACTGCGCGCGCCTCTCGCTGCGCTGCCGCGCCTGCAAGACCACCGCCCCCTTCGAAGGCCTGCTCGGCTCCAGCGACCGCATCACCCCCTCGGGCGTGTCCTGCCCCCAGTGCGGCACCGTCCTCTCGACGCTCTCCATCGTGGCGCAGGTCGAGGCGGCGGCGCGCGCCCAGACGGCGCGCTACTACGAAGGGTGGCTGGTGTGCGACGACGCGAGCTGCGGCAACCGCACGCGACAGATCAGCGTCGCGGGCAGCCGCTGCCTGGGGCCCCGCGGCCTCGCCCGCGACTGCCAGGGCCGCATGCGCTACGAGATGGGCGAGAAGGCCGTCTACAACCAGCTGCTGTACTTTGCCTCGCTGTGGGACGTGGACCGCGCCAAGAAGAAGCTTGTCGCGACCGCGACTGAGGGCGGGGAGGGTGTTCCGGCCGGGGAGGCGAGGGATAAGGTGCTTGTGCTGGCGGAGCATAATAAAACGAGGTTTGGGACGGTGAAGGGCGTGATGGATAAGTATTTGGAGAAGTGTGGCCGGCAGTGGGTGGCCATGGATACCCTGTTTTCAAAGCTTGGGTTTACGGCTGCTTGAGGTATGGTTGTCAGAGTTGGATGCTGCGGGACACTGGATAATGCTCCACGAATGGTTTCTCATCTTGTTTTGTTCCCTTGGTGGCATAGGGGAGGGGTTGGCGCTGGGTTGGTTTGGTGGATGGATGGTGGTCACGTCTCTTTTAACTTTGTTATAACACACAAATGAAACATAATGTCCCCAAGAATGGTCACAGTACGACAAGGAACTTGCAAAGGTAATGCAACAACAATTTGGGTTGAAACCTATTCGACCAGCTATAAATGCCCATAACAAGAACAGAATCAAACCAACGATTGTGTACATACAAAGGCCTGTCTATAGCCTCGAGGCACCGCACCAGGCCTCCAGATGACCTGTCAACGACAGGTAATGCGCCCTTGTTTTTCGTGTCTCTCTCGTCCCCAACCAACTCTTGCATGCCCAGCCAAACCTTCGTCATCACGCCCTGGCTTCCGAGCCATTCCCCCTCTTTGTGATATCGCTTTCCGCTTGCCATATATGAAAATGATTGACAGACATAACGGCAGAAGAAAAAGGAGAATAAAACAGGCCAACAAAAAGCCTCCAATCCCGGGAGGGGGCCACCATTACAAAGACCACCCCATGCGCCAAAATCGTCGTGGGTTGAAGTGGTTGGGGAGCCGATGAGCGGATGGGATGTCGCCTTGTCTCAGAAAAAGCAGAAGCCACAACTCAGAACAACTCAAAATGTGAAGGAGTAACGCGGATGCCATAACGCATGAATCCATTATAGAGAGATAGGCAAGTTCCTCCACCTTCCCCATCCCAACCTGCCACCCATGCCCCAATGAGCAGCACCGGCGGCCAAGCACCGAGCAGCAAGCAGGGGGTGCATAAACTTTTGAGAGCGTACAAACAACACAAAGAGGGCAGAATCGAAAAAGGTCGATTCCCCGACCCAAACTCCAGAATAATAAAAAGAACAATGATAAACAGATGTCTCCCCTGCCCTGGCCGTCTCTCCGATGGGTAACGTCTATCGAGATAAGGGAGGTAGGTATCATGAGGGCGGCCCAACTTTTAGGAGAGGGTAAAAAGAAAGCAATTTTGGTGAACAAACCCGCCGCAAATGCAAATGACAAAACCCGCCCTGTCTATGCATGAGTTCATGAATGCAAGACTCCGTGTAGTGATGGAAAAACACCCCTCTCTACTCCTTTTTTCCGCCAGCCGCAACCGTATCAAGAGTAGCCTTTGGTAACGCTGGCGAAGCGTGAGCTGATGGAGGAGAGCCAGGGTGGTCACCAGTATCAGCGAGTAGACTATTATATGTGGTTAGCAATGTTGTCCTGGAACTCAGGTGAGGACTGTAGAACACATACCCAAATGCATTTGTATGGGCGACCGAGTCACGGTCACGAACGGGCGGTGTCCCAGTGCGCGAGGATGCACCGGAGTCCTCACCAGCACGACCAAAAGCACCACCAGGGCCACCAAGGCGAGTGCGGCCACTGTTGCTCCGAGAGTTGAACATGGATGTGGGCCCAAAGGACGGATTTTGGCTCGAGGTACGGCTTGAAGATCCCTTGAGGCGTCTGAGATCATCCATACCAACCTGGTTGGGAACCGAGTTGTTGTATGAGAAGTTCCTTGACTCGCCCCGACCACCCATTGGCCGGCCACCACCGCCACCACCACCACCAGGGGGACCACGCTGGTGGCTGCGAGCGCTCTCAGCTGCCTTCTGTGCAGCAGCAGCTTCCGCCTGTAATCAAGTTAGCTTCAATGTGAGTGTGAATTGTTTTGTGGTAGACATACCTCGGCTCTAACTTCATCAAGAGTCTTGGGACCCTTGTTTGCCTCCTTGGAGACCCACCCGGCCTTTCGCAAGTCGATGATGTCCATGAGCATGAACATGAGGCGGCTTGGTAGGCCCTCTAAATGAACGATACTGTCAATCCTAGAAAAAATATGCACTCATGAATGAACGGCCCTTTTCCGTGCTGTCCAAGTTGCCACCAATGGTCTTGAGAAGCTTTGTGAGAGATTCAATCTCGGCCTCATCAGGGACACCGGTGAACTCAAGCAACTTGCGCACACACTCGTGCATGATGCGCTCCGTGAGCATACCAAGCTTGTAGAGCTCGCCGATGAATTGGACAAGACCCAGGCCACGACGCTTGGCAGCAGCAGCGATGTAGTATTCGTCTGACAGCAAGGCTGCCTCAGTCGCCTTCTTGTCTTCCCCTTCCTTTGGTTGCGGAAGATCCACCTTCCAGCCGCGCTCGAATTCCTCTTGGCATCTGTTGAGGAGGTACTTGCGGAACAAAGCACCGCCGCTGACAACATTTCCGGCCTTGTCGAGAATGCTCTCATCACGAATGTCGGCGCTCATATTCTCAAGCATACACTTGCAGAACTTGGCATACATGGATGCCCAGTGAGCCTCGTCTGTTGCCTTCTCGAATGTAAGTTGAATGACCTGCCGTAAAGTACGGCCATCGGGCTCGTTCTTTGATTGAGCGGCAATGGTAAGAATCTGGTCCGAGATCTTTTGGAAGTTCTCCGGGGTCATCTTGTTAAGGGCGGCTTTGACCTTGCGCTGCACCATTCCGGGGTCGAGGTGACCGCCCGGAGCGACCGCAGTGGGCGCTTGGGCGGCCTTGTTGCCGACGCTGGTAGGCTTCCAGCCTGTCGCTGATACGGTAATAGGCTTCAGTTCTTGGCCTTGCGTCAGAGGCATGGTCTTAGCAGCCTGCGCCTCAGCCTTGGCGCTGCCGAAATCTCTCTTACTGCCACCCCCGCGCCTGCTTCCGGTCCGGGGTGAGGGCAGACCGACCGCATTGGACGACGGTGTCCGACTCATCTGGGTACCAGGGAAGACACCCCGGGAGTTGAAACCGCCCATCGAGCCCATGGCGGGTCTGGTCGTGTTGCCTTGGGACATGGCAAAGCGTTGCTCCGAGGTGGTACCAGGAGGCAATGTCTTGGCCGCCCCAAATTGGCCCATGGCGCCGCCAGAGGGGAAGGCAGAAGAGGCACCGGCCCGCGAGTTCTGTCTGCCGGAGCCGGCGCCTGGGGTACGAGCCGAAGCAGACCGGGAACCTTCCGAGTCTCCGATGAGGACCTTGATTTGCCGGTGGAATTCCTCGGAGGGTTGTTCGGTGAAAACCTGCTGGAACTGCAGCAAGAATTGGGCATCGTATTTGAAGATCTTCCCCTTCTTGTGGACCGCCGCATTGAGCGCAGGGTTAGGCGAGGCGATACCCGCAGGGTAGATCGAGTGGTCCACGTTCTGCAAGAAACGAGCAGAGCGGAGTGATTGTAACGCCGCACTCGGCTGGGGAGCCTCGACCGGCGTTGTCTTAAGGGGCGCCAGGTTGAGAGCAGCAGGCTTGCTTCTAGCCTTGTCTGCGGCTCCGAGCTTTGTGCTCGCATCGGTGGTAGCCTTGTCGTTGTCGACTAGCTTCAGCGCACTCATAGGCTTCGATAGGAGGTCGCTGACAGAGGTCGCCTTCTCGCCCTTGCCCTCGGCTTCTCTGCGACGACGCTCGCGTTCCTCCTCGAGCCTCTCCATTTCTGCTTCTTGCTCCCTCAGCTTCTTGTCGTTCTCAGCAGCGTTGAGTTTCGCAGCCTCGGCAGCACGCTTCTCCTCCTCTTCCTTTTCGGCCTTCTTCCTCGCAGAAATCGCTTCCTGCTCCTTCTCACGGCGCGCATCTTCTTCCTCCATCTCACGAATCATACGTTCCATCTCGTCTTCCTCGGTTTCAGCAGCGACTGGCTGCTTGTCCTCTTTCGGCTCAGGAACCTTGGCGGCTTCGGCAGCAGCTTCAGCCTCCAATTTAGCCTTGGCATCAGCCTCGGCCTGCTTCTGCTTGGCCTCCTCGGCCTCAAGACGAGCTTTCTCTTTGGCTTCTTCGGCCTCGAGACGAGCTTTCTCTTTGGCCTCAGCCTCGAGGCGAGCTTCCTCCTCTTCTGTGGCTGCCCTATCAGCCGCGGCCTTGGCAGCCTCGGCGTCCTCCTTGGATTTCCCTTCGAATGGGGTGTCAGCCTGCTTCCGGACTAGATTCATGAACTCGTTGCGAACTTGTTCCGCAGTTTTCCCGGTAGAAGCACTGTCGGTTCGGCCATGCGAAGGCGTCGAAGGCTTCGGCGGTGGCGTAGGAGTGGAAACAATCGCTGGCGGGGTTTTAGATGGTTGAACAAGAGGAGCCGGAGAACCGGGGGCTTTCATGGCAGCGCTTAGATCGACAACCTTACCGTCCGAGTCCTTGATAACGATCGCGGCACTCTTCTTCGGCGGCCGAGAGAACGCCGGCGAGGATACAATTGCTGGCGCAGCTTGAGCCGGGCGCTGCTGCGGTGTGCCTTGGCTGATTGGTGGCGTTGGTTGAGCCGGCCCGGTGCTCGAGGCCGGACGATCGGATACCTGGGAAGCGTTCCGGGACATGGGCTGCGCAGCCGGCTGCCCGGGTCCATAGGGAGGGACAAAGCCTTGATGGGGCGCAGGGCTAAACTGTGAAGGCTGCGGCATATAGTGATTCATCGGCTGGGGTGAATACTGATAGTTCATGCGGTAGCCGTCCATCGGCGGTGGCATGCCGTAAGGGGCGCCCATCTGCATCTTATTTGCGGTTAGCAACTTCTCAAAGGTACCACTCTCTGGTGACAAGTCAATGGTCTCCATTAGATGAGGAGAAAACATAGGAACCGGGCGACCAGGTTGGAAGTGGTACGACGGAGGCACACCATCCGAATTCTCGGGCGATGGTGGGCCGCCGTTGGCATTTTGATAGCAGTCGGCCGCTGAGTCCCAACGCTTGCTTTGACGGCGCGGCCGCTGCGCGGATTCTATGTTGGGATATCTTTGGGAGGCGTTGGGAGCTCGCAGATGGGGCGCTTTCTCCGAGTCCCGACGCCCTGCCTTGTTCTTTTTCTGTGACTTGAATTGTGGGTGCTCGTTGTTAATGAGAGGGAGATTTACTTGATGAGCATAGGGCGGGATTGCCGGGTTCATGCCCGGGTAGTGGTATGGCTGTGCACCAGCGGCCAATGCGGCAGGCTGCATCGTGGGTGTGACATGCGGCATAGCTGGTGTCGTTGCCGGGCTCGCCCGATGAGGCTGCGGCGAGTTGGGAAACTGTTGCATGCCACCCCGTCCCTGGTGATAGGGCTGCATGCCTCCACCACGACCGGCGTTGGGGCCCGAGAAGTTCCTGTTAAGGGGATACCCCATGTTAGAGTTGCTGTATTGCGGGTTGAGATTACCACGGCCGCGGCCCTGCTGATAACCACCCCGACCGTGTGCCGGACCGCCGTGGCCGATCCCTTCGCCATGTGCCGAGGCCTGCGAATCACGTCTAACATGAGGGCTCTGGCCCATCGCGGCTGGATTATGGTGTTGCTTAATATGGCGCTTCGAAAAACGGTTAGTGAGGTGAAGTTGCCTACAACAGAGAGCGGAGATACGTACGTCGTTGTCGCCGGGAAAGCTTCCAAAAGTCACGGGGGCCGGGGGCACGGACGGAGCCCGCTGGCCACCCCCACTTTGCTGTTGAGGCATCTGCGGGATAGGGGATGGAGAGTGTGCAGGCGACTGGATCCTGGGGTTACCGCTCCCAGGGATGGGAATCGGCGCGGGTCCGCCCGCCTGAGGGGTGCTGTGGGCAATAGCCGGCGACTCATTGAAGCCAAACTGGATGCCCTTGGGACCGCCGGCGGAGCCGCCGTTTGCGATGTGGCCAGCTGGGACGTTGGCATTAATCGTTACGGAGCTCTTGCGAGCGTGGTCTGCGCCACCATTGACGATGGACGAACCGCGAGCGACAGTGGGCGTGGCCACAGTCGGGACCGCGGGGGGTATATTTCTGCCGTTCATGGGGGCGGTAGCTGAAGTTTTGCCATTCTGAACAGCTGGCGCAGATGATCCAACCACTACCGGCGGATGAGAGCCCGCCACTGACAGCGGTGAGGATGTCGGCTTCTTGGTCGCACCGGCAGCGGAAGCATACGACGGAGTTGCCACAGGGGCTGCGGAGGTTTGCGCCGGGTTTTGATTCTGTTGACTCGCAGTAGAAGTCATAGAGTGAACTGGTGACTCGAAAGCCGTATCCTTGGTTTCTCGATGGGTATGTGAAGGTGGTCGTCGGAATGCAAAAATATCGGGTCGGTGCAACTGTGCGGCGAATCTCAGATCCGGCGTGTCGCGGACAGAAGAGAATAATTATCGACTCGTTTCTTCGTGGACCGGTATATGCCAGTCGAAATATTGCAACACACTCGAGTGGTTCGGGTGGTTGAGCGCTGGGAGAGAAAAAACTCTGTTGTGAAAGAACGTGGTGGGTTTGTCGCGACCGAGAGCGACCGAGTGTGGGAAAACTCGCAAAGCTGGCGAGGCCCAACGTCTGCACGATTAATCGTGGAAGAGTGCGGAGATCTGTATCTCTCTGCTCTTTGGATTCGGGATCCGTGAGAAGAAGAAATACCAGCGGTATTATGAGTGTAAAAAAGGGAATCAGTCGATTAAAGACGATTCCTCAAGGTGGAGGATGTATGTAGGAAGAGTGAGCGGTGCGAGAGAGGAAAGCAGAGCCCGGAAAAATTGCTTTCTGAGGGTGGCGAAAAGGGTGTGCCTAGCAGGCTAGGTTTGGCCGCCGCACTAAAAAGTTATCGGCGCCCCGTCACGTTACCTATGGGCAGAAAAGTCACAGGTACCATCGCACCAAAATTTGCAGTTTAGTTTAGAGGTACACTATGTTGAGGGTCGTTTGGTTTCGCAGAGTGAATACCATAGATGCCTTGCATGTTCACCTGAATATGCCTGGTGTGCAATACCTAACTACCCAACAGCGAAGTTTTCGCAGAGCAAATTGATGCTTTGGAAGTGTCCGATTTGTGGGCAGCGACCTTCCGGAACATGGAACCTAATCGACCACCATACACACACACCACACGGCCAAGTGGCACACCCAGCACACATTTCAAAAACCTTCGCATTGGGTTTAAACAGGAAGACCGGGGAGGACCCCTCTTATTCTTTTGATAAGCCCAAATTCCACTATCGGTGTGCGGAGTGCTGTTTCGTCAAACAAAGCGCCAAGCATGTGGTTAACAAGGCCAAGCACACATTTGGAAAGGGTACGACTCGAGTCTAAGTGCCCCGCTTCACGCCTGGAAAGTCGTCTGCCCCAGGCTCTTGTTGTCCCTCCTGAAGCGAACTCGGGATACAACAAAACTTTCCTGATATGCACATAAGTAAAACGGTGTTGTCTAATGTTTTCCGGGCGTAAGCAGGGCCTTATATCTCCTCCGTCGAGGGATTTCTGGGGCAAGCAGCTGAACCTGACATATTTGCCTCACATCACAAGCGGCAGCATTTGCGGCAAGAGCCTTTCTAGATACGTACCTAAGGAGATACCTCAACCCAATGAAGAAAAAAACTCAACAAACTATGAGATTGACTAGTTCTAAAGTGGATAGTGTTGGTCGCCTTGGAAAACCAAAGGGCCAATCTCTCACATTGTCGCTCTCCTCTCATCGGGTTCCGATGTTGGTTGACGACACGAAGTAGCCCCACCAACCACCACGCAGCCCAACGCCATATCGTCACACAATGCCCGGTGTCGAGCTTCGCCTTGTTATATTCGGCGACTAAGGTTCTAGCAAAATCCTCCCAAGGGAGGAACTCTCAAGCTGACTCCAGGTGATAGCAAAAGAGATGTGCACAAGCAGTTTCTTTTCTTTCTTCCCTCTGCAGATGCGGGGTGTCTTCGGTGTAAATTTACTGTGCAACAAACAGCCTTGCATTGAACCACTCTTGGCCGTTTTGAGGAAGGGGCGTTAAGCTGGCAATTAGGTATTCCGCCAATTTTTGTTATGGGCATCTCCACGCTCTGGCTTGGAGTAGTTCTATCTTGTTGCATACCCTGAATTGCCTGTCAGCTATTCTTTTTACGAAGTATTAGAGGAGATCTCTGTTGATAAGGGTTTCTAGTGTACTGTGTATGCACAGTGTGTCTAACTTGGTACCAAGCAGGCGAAAACTGGGGTGCTCCACATCAGATCAGGACTCTTGGCGTTTCGTTTCCCGGTCGACGCTGGGGGGGCCCGATTTGGCGGGGAAACCTTCGGGCAATTTACTGCGGAACTTGCCTTGGCCGCCTAGAAGTGATCCTCGATTTATCGGAGGTGGCGTCAAGCTCCTTGGGATCCTCGCCTGTACTTGGACATGAAGCACTCAGAAGCCAACCTATCTAGGAAATGCTTTTCATTGCGGTAATCGGGGTGGGTACCAAGGATAGAAGCCCAGGTTACGAAGTCGCTGTTCAGGCACTCGGCTCCCATAGGGGTGTCCTTCAGGCCCACCCAGGTTGGTTTTCCAATGATCTGTTGCTGCATCATCATGAAAGTTATTCGGGTCTGACCCGGGGCTTTTGGCTCGTGTAACAAAAAGCAGCACCCCGATTTATTGGAACTTGTCTTTGCGCCATGTCCCGCATGTATGTACATATATGTATTTACAAACGTCCTGCTCTGCCGACTTTTCCGAGCTTCCCTTCTTCCCCGAGCCTTGCGTATGCAAACAGCTCCTCAACCGTCCTTCGAGGGGGAACCCGAATCCAAAACAGGTTTATTCGCAATAGCAAACATTGAACAGCCCGACTCCAATTGCAGCTTCGGATTCCCTGTGATTTGTACAGACAGCTCAACTTGACTAAACCATACAATCACATGCCAGATTCCAAACAGTTAACGAGTTGCACCGGGACGGAATCAGTACAGAGGCGGTCCTCGCACAAGCAGCTGGCCACCCAACTGCGAACCAGAAATGCACAACGACGCCCTCATCAAGTTGCAGATGTGCCCATGGCAGTTCGTCAGCGGGCGGTCTGACTCATACTGCGAGAAACCAATGGCGCGGCGACCACCCGCGGGAGGCTTGAACTCACCCATGCAACACCGGGGTCAATGAGCTACTTTTTGACATAGCCAACCTCGTTCCGGCTGAGGGCCGATGGTGGGTGGCTTTTGTTCTCTCAGTGATTCCCTCGTCCCTGTCGCGCCCGTCTTCAAATCGTCGTGGATGAGACGCAGACGTTCAGACCAACACTGTGTAAATACTTTCGTTGTAGGACCTCTCGCCGGGGTGGCATTTGCGAGGGCTTCAGGATCCCTGCACGGTGACGACATATCCTAGCTCGCTGCCGGCGTTGCACGTCACTTGGTAATCACAAGAGACCCTGGGAGAGTTGTCGCTCGAACCCCGGCACGCAGATCATCCAGGGTCCAATGAGGGAAAAGGGAATATTCACTGCGGCTCTTGAAGTCAATTGACACAATGCTTTTCGTGACTCGACACTCCACCAAATCATATGGCGTCCCAATAAAGACATGTTTATAGACAGACACCAACGCCGCATTTGACTCATCCCACGCGACAAAATCACTCCTGCTATCCCCCTCATCACTCATTCTTCCTCCACCTCAAACCCTTCACCCCTCGCCAAGCCCTCCTCTTCCTCTCCATCCTCCTCCTCACCAGCCTCCTCCTCCACCTCCAGCCCCCCATACCCCTCCTCAATCTCCCCCACGACCGCCTCCACGGGCACGTCCCCAGCCAAGCCCCTCTCTTCCCGCAGCTGCTTGATCCGCGTATTCGTCATCTCAAAGACATACTGCCCGAGGTGCTCGACCCCCTCCATGACCGCCTCGCCCTGCAGCAGCAGCGGTTGACCACCCTTGGCCCCCCCCTCCTCCCCGTCCTCCCCCTCATCCCCAATCTCATCAGCCAGGACCCTCTCGGAGGGCCACATCTCGCCGGTGACGAGGGTCAGCTTGTCAGGCCGGCGCAGCAACAGCTCGAAGGCGTCGCGCAGCTCGTAGCACGCCTCGAAGACGTCGCGCCGGCCGAGGATGTACAGGCCCAGTCGGGCGCGCGAGAGGGCGACGGTCAGGCGGCGGATGTCGCGCAGGTAGCCGACACGCGTGGTGCGGGTGAGCGAGAGGATGATGTCTGGTTCGAGAAGAATGAATGTTAGTGGTCTTTCATGGTGAAGCCGCGGGGTTTTGGGGGGGATGGGGTTCCTTACAGTCGTTCTGCTCGCCTTGGTACTTGTCAACGGTGGTGACGATGCGGGGCAGGCCGAATATGGGGTTCTTTGCACATCGGTGGGCGAGCACGTCTTTGATGAGTGCCCGTTGGCCGGCGTAAGTGGCCAGGATACTGATCTTGGATGCCGGATAGCCTAGCAGGCGCATGTACTGGTAAATGGCCACGGCATACTCTGCCTCGCCGAGGTTTTGGATGAAATGCGGTGAGGGTTCTGTTTCTCCCTTGCCCTTGTAGTCGGGAACGTTGATGAATTGATAGTCGAACCGGAACCCAGCGTTGGCGGTGAGAAACTCTTTGTGCGTTTGGGTGTGCGGGAGGTTGCCCAACTCGGGATACCGCCATTTGTACAGGCTAGATATCGAAGGGCGAGCGCGGCCTTGTTGGTCAAGGTGGATGGTTGGAACACCGAGACGGACAAGCCGGGAGAAGAGCGACTGCTCCAGGTTTGCGTAGTGCCGGAACGCCAGTCCCTGGATGACAGGCGAGTTCTGGTAGTGGTCACCGCACAAAACCACCCTCTGAAGGCCGGATTGCCCATCCTTGGGTTTCTGCATGGCGAAAGGAATGAAGTTCTCGATCTCAGTGATTTGTGCGGCCTCTTCCATGATCACATTGTCGTAGTGGAAGCCAAGGGAAGCAATTTCCCCCCTTTTCATTGCAGCATGCGTTGATGTCATGGCAATGATCCGGGCTTCGCTGGTGAGCAGGTAGTTGGCCTTGTCCTTGTCGCGTCTTAGGATCTCAAAAGGCAGCACATCCGCCAACTCGGAGAAGATCTTAGATATGTGGCGGTAACATCCGCTGGCAATTTCTAGAACAGCCTCGCGGTCTGCGTCAACGGGGAAAAGAGGCTGCGGAGCATCCGCAAAAAAGGCGTGGAAGGGAAATGCCCGAATAATCTCTTCGGGGCCAGTATCTTCTGACTCGGCGACGCCGCGGAACTTGGCCCATGCCGGCTCAACATAGACCGAGTTGAAGTAGCCGGCTGTCTCGGCAGAGTTACCATGAGCACCCGGCGCACCCATGCTTGCGGCGAGACGGTTGACTTCCAAGAGGAAACGCTGGCGGTTTTCAAGAAATGATTCGACTCTGCCGTGCTTGCTGAAGCTCGCTCCGGTTTCCAGCTCCTCTTCTCCGTGGCCCAGTCGAAGAAGGTGGCGCTCGTCCATATCCAGGGCCACGATCTTGGCAAACAGCTGGTTGAGGGCCTGGTTGCTGTGGGCTATGAGGAGAGTCTTTTGTTCAGGGAAGTTATGGTAGATGTTGTTGATGACCTGGGTCGCGACGTCCGTTTTACCAGTACCGGGTGGGCCAACAATGACAGTCAGTCCCGGCTGTGACCCTGAGACGATCGCTTCGATTTGGGTTGGCGTGAATCGAACCTTGTTTAGCTTCGGGGCGTCGACCAGATAAGGCCCATTGTTTGGCGGCTTGTATGTTGAAACATTGACAGTCTCAATCTCCGCAATCAGGGCCGGCTCCGCGTCTCGCCTTCTTTTCTTAGAAGGCTTGGAAACAGCATTCTCTGGTTGCTTCTCGACAGTCTCCAGCACGTACGGGGGACCGAAACTCCCAGAGACGTCGTCACTAGGTTCGATAATTTTGCCGGGCAAGCTCTCAATAAGATGCTGCCAGTCTAGGAAAGTATCCCGGAAGTTGATTTTTTTGACGCGGTTGGGTAGGTGCTTGTATGTAGCACCAGCTGGGTCACCATACCCCAGGAAGACTTCGTGTAGCCAAGCGGCAAGCGGGACCTCGGAAAGCGTGAGATCCCGGATCGACTCCAACACTGGCTTGAAGTTGTTCTCTCGGCCCCTTCTTCGTACCAGAAGATTGATTCCATCGTAGACATCCCGATTGCTCTCGGTGTCGGCCTTAAACGCCGCCGCGTCTAGTCGGAGTTGAAGTTTCCTCGCATCACCACGGCTATGGCCATCGAAGTAAGCCTGCGCATCCCTAATTGCCCGTCCCTTGTCGTCAAGCACCTGTATGATTTCGGCGGCGCGAACAGAAACGAGGCCAAGCTTCTCGGCCTCTGACGGCGGCGCGCCGCCATTAGCAGCCTGTTTCGACTTGGACGCGTCAACAGCAACAAGGAAAAGCACATCGTCGGGACGTAACGACTCCCACTCACGCCGTACGTGCGGTGACAGCCTCCTCACATCGATGGTCACTTCGGCTCGCACTAGCGAGGGTTTATCCTGCCCTACCCGGGGTGGGACAACCTCAAGGATGGTTGGTTTGGCGATTGGCAAAGCCATCTTTGAGAAGCCCGAGAAGGTTGTTACCCCTGCTCGTTTGCTCTCGGGCCGTAGCCTCGTTAACGCATCCTCGATATCCTGGCCGATAGCATAGAAAGACTCGCACCGGTACAAGATCATGGCCCGCCAGAGGAAGTCGCCAACTGAGAGGTACTGCAGATTGAGTTTCGGCAAGGCAAGCGGCCGAGATCCGTCATAGTGGTCTGTCCTCCTGAGACTAATGTCAAACAGAGCTTCCTCGGTGGGAAGGATGCTCAAATCGCGGGCGGCCTCCTGGAAAGTTTTCTGCCGCTCGAAGGTCCATAGAAGGACCTCCATCAAGAATTTGCGATCCACCGGTACTTTGGCAGATTCCGGGTATGCTGTCCGGAGGCCTAAGTGACCAGTAAGCTGTGCAAGTTCTTCGTCTGTTAATGACTGAAGGTGGCCTTCGAGACCTGCTCTCTTGTCGATCGAACCGTAGTTCGATAGTGCTAGGAGTGTCAACTTCTCTTTGAAGTGCTTCAGCGCCGTCCTTTGCAGCTTGGCCAGTGCGCCGCAGTGCCTGTCGTACGCCTCCTTCAGGTTGAGCTGCGCGCCTGAGTGGTCGTCGACAGAAAAGCGGGTGTAGTGTGAAAACAGAGAACATAGCTCTCGCAATAGCCCGCTTGCCTCATCGTTGAAGACTGGTGACAAACTGAGGGCGGGAAGAACGTGCATGTCTTGGAGCAGCGTATTGACATATCGTCTGGTTGGAAGCTGGCTTTGCAAATCGGTCAAGAACTCGACAAACCGTTCGCAATAAAGGACGTGTTCTGATTTGGGGCTCTCAACGTAGAGCAGCGCTAGGAAGTCCAGGATCAAGGTGTATAGCCAGGACCTTTCGAAGCGCAGGCGAGCTTTCGTGACATCGTCAGCCGCATCGTACCTCTTGGCAGACGCCCTCCAAGCCTTCTTTAATTGCGGGTTGGCGTCGAGTATTGCCACCCGCTTCTCCTCGGTTGACATGCTATGCCATATCGAGATGGAGACCAAAGGGGCGCACTCCTTGCGCACAATGTCGCAGTCTAGACTCCGAAATGCGTGAATGACGAAGAGCAGAACATGTGTTCGGACGGTCCAGGATAGCGAGCCGTCGAGGGTCATGGAAAGAGCCCGGCGGAAGAGATCCGAGAAATCCACAGGGCGGTCGGCGAAGACGTCTGCAGCCGGTCAGTACTCGATCGAGGTGGATGAAGGTTAAGATGGGCAAAACGCACCCCAAGTCCCGAGTCGTTCCCTTTGCTTGGCGTTGACTATGAGGACGATCAGGAGAACATGGTAGTTGGAGGAGCTCTCTCCATAACCAGGCCATAGATAGCTGCAACAAAGTCAGATATCAGGAGCTTCGACTTGGACTTGCATGGTCACTCACCTCTCCAACGTCTGCAGCCCCTCCAGTACCAACAGAGACTTTAATGGGAAGTTCTCCTTCTCTAGAACATCCCATATTTCCCGCTTGAGCACATCGTTCTTGACCTTGACTTTGGACTTCGCCTTGCTGGTTTTGGATGCCTGCTTCGGTGTCTTAAGCCAATGCTGCCGTGCCAGACTCGCGAACTCGCTTTCTCCTTCCAAATCCTCAGCAGTCGGTCGTTTCGATGACCCAGCATTCGGCCGAGAATCCGCGCGACTTTTTACTCGTTTGGCGGGAGGCATATCGGGTGTTGTTGTCGCGTGCAGCGTACGGAATCGGGGCCTATTGTCGTGTCGCGCTCCCGCATAAAGTTATCGAAGTTGGGAATGATTGATATTATTGAGCCGGACCATTGCACCCAATGGAAGCTGCAAGCCGCAAGCTGCAAGCTTCCAGAATCGCACGACAGCCTTGCAGCCAAGCTCCACGCTGCGACCCCACGCGTCTACTTCTATTGGATGGGCTGCCAAGCCATGAACAATGGGAGTGGGGCTTCTTGCACCGAATCGTACAGCCTTGTCACTTTGTTCGCTGTTGCTTTCGCGAGACCATCGCAGGCCATGTTTGGCGTGTGTTGGTGCTGTCAAGTTCCGGTAACTTGAAAACGCAAGTCGCAACAAAACGGTCCCGCACCCCTCCCTGCTCCGGGCATTCTTTAGACAACTTCAAGAAAGATGCCGTCGGCCATTGATAGCCACGGCGTCTCGGGTGTTGCTGCAGCGGGCGCCTTCCTGGACAACCTCCTCGCGCGTGCTGAAATAGTCAAGCAAACAGCATCCATTGAACCGCCCCTCGAGAAATCAGACTTTGACGACGTTCGACGGCAATTGAGCGATGCGCTGAACTATGAATTCGTTGCCGATGAGCCTGTCGACGCGAAGAAGATACAGCGCTTTGCCGTCATCGAAACCGCTGCGCGAGACACATTCAAGTCTTTAATCGTGAGTTAGTCGCGGAACCATCCATTCCGCCAACGTTTTTGAGTCTCACTGGTGATTACCTCTAGGCAATAACGTCGATCGAGTCTCCTGCGTTCGTGAAAGTGTGGAACCTCCTCGACATCCTCTCACTCCTTTCCGACCTCGAACTTTGCGACCCCGCCCTCCTCTTCTGGCTCGTCGAAGAACTGCTCGATAGTCAAACCATCGCCGGCTGCCGTAAGGTCTTTGACTTTCTCGAGTCGCGCCGCGAGCGCATCACGTCCAAACATTTCAAACAGAAACAGCTCGTCATCCTTCGCACCTGCAATGAGCTCCTCCGGCGCTTGTCCAGGGCCCTCGACCCAGCGTTTTGTGGCCGAGTCTTTATCTTTATGTTCCAGAGTTTCCCCCTAGGAGACAAGAGTTCCGTAAACCTGAGAGGAGAATACCACGTCGAAAATGTCACCACTTTCGACCAAGAGACTCCAATAGCGGACGGGGAAAAGATGGATGTGGACACGGATGCAAAACCACAAAAAGACAAGCCCCTAGATCCGGATACTCTGTACCCCATTTTTTGGTCGTTACAGGAAAGCTTCAACCAGCCAAAGAAACTTTTCGAGTCGAGCCATTTTTCCGCCTTCAAAGCTGGTCTTGAAGCGACCATGGCAACCTTTTGGACCATCAACCCCGAGAAGCCGACACGGGCCAGAGAAAAGCAGGACAAACCGGACGAGGAAGCAAATCCTAGCCTCAAGCGAAAGCGCAACGATGTCGACGACGAGCTCGCCAGCGGCTTCAACCCGAAGTACCTTACTAGCAGAGACTTATTCAAGCTAGAGGTAGGACTCGCCCCCCACCTACTTCCGCATGCCCTCTAATACCATGCAGATTAGCGACCTCGCCTTTCGGCGGAACTTCCTCGTGCAGGTGCTCATCATCATGGAGTTTCTCTTGTCTCTCTCTCCAAAGGCAAAAGAAAAGCTGGCAGCCGTCAAAACCCCAAACAAGTCGGTGACATATTCCGACCAACAGCTGAGCGAAGAAGACACAAAGTGGGCGATAGACATGAGGGCGGGAGTCGTCAAATACCTGCAGAAAGGATTTGATGGCCCCTTCTTCGACCGGATGGTTGGCACAGTCCTCGTTAGGGACAAGAATTGGGTCCGGTGGAAGATTGAAAACTGCCCGTCGATCGAGCTCCCAACCTTGTCTCCCGGGACGTTCACAGAAGCCAGGGCTGCAGCGACCAGACTAGCAAGGACGAGACGGTTGCCCAACGAGTCGCGTTCGCTCGAGTTTCTCGGCGAAGAAGACGAAAAAAGTGCGATGGAAAAGCTGAAAGACCCCCAGCGGTATAGCCTCCCCGAGCTTGGTAGCTTTAAGGACGGCATTGAAGACGACGACTTCGACATCGAAAGAGCCACCAACAACGAGTCGAAGACCTCGGCGATAGAAAGCAAGGCTAGCAAAGCGTGGAGAACGCTCAGGATTGCTAGCAAATCCAAGTTAGTCGTCTTCGATAAGATCGAAGATGACGAAAAGATCGACATCATTTTCAAAGACCACCCCGTCGAAGAGGCCGATGCCGAGGAAGCCATGGCTGGTGGTGAAGTCGTTTTCCCCGAGGATCGCAGGGCGATCGCCATCGTGGATGCCGCCAGCAGCCCCGGCGCAAAGTCCGAGTTGGTCAAGCAATTTGTTGCTGAACACTCTCGAGTCTTTACCAGGGTTGCGCCCCATGTCACACGCGAGCCGCAGGATGGCGAGGCTAATGGGCAAGATTACCATTTTGTGGATGTCCAGGCGTTCAACGTCATGCGAGACGGTGACCTGTTTATCGAATTCAGCGAGGAGGGCGAGAATATCCACGGGACAAACAAGCGGATGGTGGAAGCGATCATGGATAACGACCGGGTGCCGGTTATGGAGATGGATCGTGATGTAAGTGCAACATCCCTCTTTCAACCTATGAAATAACGACGCTGACCATACATACCATAGGGCGCTCAACAAGTCAAAGACAATGGCTTTGACGCGAGGTTCATCCTGGTCGAGGGGGCTGAAACGGAAGCAGACATCACGACACTCGATTTCTATGACTCAGTTGTCAAGGACCTCGACTCCCTTAAGGCAGCTATATTCGGGTCGGAAAGCGAACCCCCGGCGGTGCCAGTGTCAGGGGATGGAGACGGGGACACGCCTATGGCGGACGAAGCTGCTTCATGACACTTCCTTCGAACCATGTAAATACCTAGACCACGAAACAAGATGATACCCAATAATGTTCCAGCGCCTCGCCGTTACGGGCTTCTTATACATAGCCGCCGCCAAATGCCACAGGTGCCTCGGTCCTGTTGGAAATAGCTGGGGGTTGGTGGCGATGCGATGTTGGAGCGGTTGGGTTGTGAAGAGGGCGGCCGAGGATCTGAATGGTCTGAAAATCAGGTAGGCCTAAACATTCGGTCGTTTACGCCATCCATTTTATGAGTGCCGGAAAAACCCCAGGCACGGCAGGAAAAAGGCGCCCGAAGGAAGGAAACGACAACCAGGGTGAAGGTGGAAGGAAAGCACATAGACGCCCTGGGCGGGCTTGGGTACCGCATACTTTTTTTGGCCTTGTCTCTGGCCGTCATAGTCTCTCATTCTGCCTGTCGCCGCCCTAACCACCTATCTCGGCTCACGCCAAATCCTACGTCGCTATCTCGAGCATCTTCTAGCATCGCCACACCACCATCGTTCTTTGAAGCATGTCAACGCATACCCCGAACTGGATCTGTGGAGACGTATCCAAGAAGACGCCGCCTGGGGGCCCGACCAGAGAATGGCAAACGCACCTGCGGGGCATCGTCCGCTTGCTGCAATGCCCTGCTTGCTGGTTGCCGCTCAACAAACCCGTCACCCTCCCCTGTGGCAAATCATTCTGCCAGAGCTGCCTACCGGAGCCGCACAAGCGGCAGAACATCTCATGGCCTGGTACTGCAGAGAGACAATGGGGAATTCGCTGCCCCAACATCGAGTGTGGCAGAGAGCATGCACAGGAAGACTACAGCCTAGACATCATGCTACGCCACGTGGTCGAGGCCGTTGATGCCGTTATGCAGAACCAAGGAGATTCGCCTAAAATCCAGGGCCTCCACACGCAAATCATCTTCGATGACCCGCCAAAGATCATCATCGATGACCCGCCGGTGCCCCTCTGGACAATCATGAAGGGCGGAGTCCTTCTCGCCGCTTACAACTTGGCGGAAGAGGGGGAGCTAAAGCGCAGCTCCAGCCCCGAATTCATATCGCCTGGTGACAACGTCGAGATTACAAGAGCCTTCGACGAGGAGTTACTGGCGCAAATCAGGAGCGCGGTGAGGGAAGAACTCAACTGCGAAATATGCCGTATCGGTCGCCTGATCAACCCGCTCACAACCTCGTGTGGTCACACCTTCTGCGAGATGTGCCTATATAGGTCTCTTTACCTCGCCAATGACAATACTTGCCCGTCGTGCCGCCGCCGTTTGTCGCTACGGTTTGGGAGTAAACCTGCCTTGCGCCCCGATGTCTTGAACGGCTTCCTCCAGTACATGGACGAGGCCGCCGAGGACGATCTCACCAAGGAGGCAAAACGGGAGACATGGGGTTGTATATCAGAGGAAAGACCCATTCTCTTCGTGCGTGCGATATTCCCTTGTATAAGCGCATCAATCCAGATCCCTGAGCATCTCCGACCCATGATTCGCCGCGCCATCCAAGAGGACAAAATACTTGCCGTGTGCACAGCGGTATTGAACGGCCAGTCGACTGTTGGAACACTAGTCCACATCATGGAAAGTCACCGGTTCGAAACGCTGTCTCGCATCCGAGTGGCTGGCCTTTCAAGGTTCCGTGTCTCGAGTGCTACGTGTACAGACGCGGGCTATATGCTTGCCAAAATCCGGCCCTTGGACGACATCAGCCTCGCCGAGGAAGAGGCTTATGAAGTACAAGAAACAGCGGGGACCACCGATAAGAATGTAATAAAGAGCAAGGAGGATATTCATCGAGTGTCGACCAAATGTTTGTCTGGGCTCGCCACGCATGTCCTTCACAGATGCCTGAATAAGGGCAAATACTCATGGCTCGCCCGGAGCTCGACATCATCACAGTTGAGACATCCTGGACAGTATTTTCCCTACGACCCAGTCAAGCTGCCCTGGTGGTTTGCCAGTGTTGCTCCCATCAGTGACGTTGAAAGGTTCCAGCTTCTAGTCCGCAGAAGTGTACGGGAACGGTTGCAGATGTGCTGGTTATGGATGTTCGACCTTGGATTGGCCCAATTCGGCCTCGAATCCCTGGAACATAGCTAAAGTATGGGAATGGTTACGGGGGGTGTCATGCCGCAGGGAGAGGTGGCTTGGGTGGGCTGAATGGAAACACAGCGAAGACGTGTCTTGGTCATACAGCAGTACAAGATAGCGTTTTGGTTCATTCCTATCGCTACTCGTCGGCTTTTAGTTCGTCAGAGCGAGCGTTAACGTTTCATAAGGGGGGCGAGGGCACCAAGCGAAGAAAGAAGGCAGCGTAATAAGTAGCAGACATGTTGGGGCCTTTGCCTACTTCTTTACCCAGTGCTCCCGTGCCGTCAAGGCGAGGTGCCCTCAAACAAACCAGAATCACCGTTTCCCCCCCAACACGGAATATCTCGAGCGCCGACAAGGGAGTGGTTAAGATATGTTTGTTGGAGTTAGTATTGTCCTCGTCAAACAATATCAAGGCCAAGACAAAGCGGATCCAGCCGTCGCCAAACAGTTCATCGACAGATCCCGCCTCAACGGCCGAGAGAAGCCAAGATAAATCACAACGACCCCCTGGCCCCTGAAGACCTCAAGGCTTGCCCATTGTGCCCTCAGAACAAGACTCGAACCCAGTCCAGCATAATACGCTTCAGCACATTACCCAACGGTCACACAAGGATCACATCGTCCTAAGAAAGTATACCAAAAGAAACACCGGCACGATGGCCTTCTCAGTGTCCCGCATGCTCAGTTTTTTCGTGCTCCTCCTTGGCCCCATCAGAACCACCGGCTTCATGTGGTTTTAGTTTTTGGGAACAATCCCTCTCCGGCGTACCGATACGCTCATTACTGGTATTACAAGAAGCGGAAAAAGAAAACCCCAAAAAAAACATTCGTTAACCAACCGACCACCCCTCCCAAAGATAATAAAATAAAGATAAAACCGGTTCGACATCTTGCCCGCCTCCGTTTCCCCCGTGGGGACCACCTCTCACACCACCCCCACCCATCACATCTCCCACCTCACCACACCTCCCCTCACCTAACGCCCCCCCACCGGCCCCTCCCCGCAGCGGACGAGTTCAGCGCCAGGCGCCGGCCAATATTCCCAAAACACACACAACTGCAAAACAGCACGCTCAGCATCCACAAGCTGGTCTCGATCGTCTCCTGGCTCGCCAACCCCCCAAACGCGCCAGCAGCAGCAGCAGCAGCAGCATAACCCCCCGCCTCCCCAGCAGCAGCGTCCAACCCCCCCGCGGCGGCGGCGGCCGAGCCATTCCCGCCGCCCAGCACCGCGGTGCCCAGCCCCCGCAGCAGCTCCACGGACGACGCCGAAATAGGAGCGGGCATGACGCCCGGCCCGCCCAGGCGCATGAGCACGGCGGAGCCGGCGAGCCCGACGGCGGTGGAGAGGAGGAAGCCCGGCTTGGAGCGGTCGATCAGGTACCAGAGGAAGGGGTTGGCCAGGGCCAGGGTCAGAGACACCTGCATGGTAGAGGCCCAGGGGAGTTTGCGGATGGCGAAGACGATGCCGACGAAAGCGCCGATGCCGCGGACGACGAGGGCCCAGTCGGCGGGAGGTGGGGTGTCGGCGGTGGTGGCGTCTGGGTTGGGGTTGGTTTCGGTTTCGTCGTCGGTGGGTGCGGGGGTTTGTTTTTCTGGGGGGTGGTTGGTGTTGATGGTGTTGTTGTTATGGCGAGAGGAACGGGCGACGGTTTCTTCCCAGAAGCGGTCAAACCACGGTAGGAGGCTGCCCAGAGCCACGCCGACGGCGCCCCAGAAGACGAGATAGCGCCATTCGTAGTGGGACTCGTACGCCGCGGCGAGGCGGTGGGTGGGGTGGTGTTGGTTATGGCTGTTTTGAGGCAGGCGCGTGACCAGCACGCCGTAGCCTACCCCAAGGACGAAGAGAAGGATGGCGCGCAGGGCGAGCTGGAGAGCAACCTCTCTCTTCCGCGCCGGCCGTGGTGGCTCAGCCGACGCCGACGCCGCCGACGCCGCTGGGTTGAGGAGGGAGCTTTGTCGTGGTTTGTGGAGGGAGGACCGCCTGCGCATCAGCGCATATGTTTTGTCGTCTAGCCCGGGGCGTGGGATCGGGGCGCCCCCGGGGGTGTTGATGCCGGGGGTGTCAAAGCCGGGGCTGCGGTCCGGGTCTCTGAAGTAGTGGTCCTCATCCTGGTAGTCTTCATCTTTAATGGAAGAGTCTAGTGTCGAGGGCGAGTAGATTCCAAAAAGGGTCGGGGAGGTCAAGTTAAGATAAGAAGCGTTGTGACTGATTGGTGTACTTCCATCTCGGCTACCGCTACTCGGGGTGGCGGCGGCATGCTGGTGAGGGGCAAGGAAGCGTAGGTCGCTGGCACTGATTTGAGGCCGCGAGGAGGATGAGTAGCGGTCGTCATCTTCTTCTGGAGGCGTTGGGCTGAGAAATCCAGGTTTGAAAGGGCGGCGGGGTATGGGCCGTATGATCTTGGGTCCTGATGCGTTGGGAACCCCTTCTCCGGATGTGTCTCCCATACCTGGAGGCTATTGTTTTTGCTCTTGTGATGGAAAAGATGGTAGGTAATTTTGCTCAAACGTAATATATCAGAGTCCTTCGAACCCAACCAGAGACCGGGCCAATAAAGGGCGGCGAGTGAGTGTGCCGAGCCAATAGCGATGATGCCTCTGATCAACACGCGACGAGACGATGTCTACTTAGCGAGGTTCGGGTGGTGGCAACCGTGTTAACTAGTGGCTATGGAGAGAGATGACTCGTGTTTTCGGCCGTGCACGAAACAAGGGATGAATGAATGAGAAATAGCCAGATCTCGCTTCTTTCGATGGGTCGGTGCGTGTGTGTTAAAGTGTGTCTTATGCTGAATTTTTTTGCATCCAAAGTCGCCTGTTGGCCAAATGGTGTAACCTCGCTGACCACAGGAGGAAAGTGAGCAGGAGTCGTCTGAAAGTTGAAGGTATGCGTGTGCAGTGTTTTTGGTATTTCGAGTCAAGGCCCGCAAAGCGTCGTAATAAGAAACACAGCGGCAGCAAGGATTGGATCGATTGGCTGGATTGGTATTGGATGGAATGGATGGATTGGATTTTCAAGAGACGGCGACGGGTTGCATCTCCCTCCGAGATCTGGGGTTGGCTGCCGGTCGTGTCAGGTGTAACCAGACCAGCAGAACACAAGATTGTCGATTTCCAAAGTTCCAACAATTTGCTTTGTATTATATATAAGGCAATTATCGGATCTCAGACCCTTACACCTCCGAATCCCGCTTGTCTACACCCTCCGACGCCTTGCATGCGCCATTGCCGTGTCTCATGCGATGCCCCACGATTCCCCAAGAAACCCATTGTCTGGCTTTTGTCCCCAGCCAAACGCCAGGGACCAAGCTCTGTCAGCAACGGGAATCGACAAACGGGGAACTAGCCGAACAGGGATTCTCGGGAGACGCCACTTGAATCCTTGCTAAGAGTGGGGCAAATCGACCACAATCCCAGTCGCTGCTCCTCGGGGACCTTGAGTACCCAGGTCCCTCTCGCCAAGATAAGCCCCCCCAGCCAGCTCCCCAAATCTTATAGGCTAAGCCTAAAACGGCTGACCCTTGCACGTGCAACGTTTAGCGTCTCTGCCTTCGTCGTTTGGCATCGATTTGAGAGTATTTCAAACTTCATTATTTTTCCTTACCAAAACGTTGAAAAGATATTATACCAATTAGCTCGAATCATTCTAAATTAGCTTCTCCTACCGATTGCGACGACCTATTTTGCGTTGAAGATAGACTTTTAGTACCTAAAAAGTAATCTTTCAACTCGATTGCCTGGCCTTGTGCACTAACAGATCGCTCTTTAAGCTTTCCTTGGCTGTGGCTCTGTTGGGGGGGTGAGATTGGGGGTGGGTTTATCGATGAAGGACCTGGAGGCATATCACCCTCCTCGGGCCCTTTGCCCACCGAGCTCGCATGTGATCAGCGACCGCGGTGTGGCTGCTTGGCTGCCCAGTCAGGAGCCAAGTCGTCTGACCCTTCAACCTTGGTTTTCTAAGCATCATCGTGCAGATTCTCGTCCGTCGACTGCAGCACTTGGCAATCCTCTGCCAAATGCTATCGACGAATGTGCAGGTTACCACTCACCCTTTTCATCAGGTGACCTGGTATTTGTGGCCCTTAAAGCGGCGGGTGATGTACTCGCTGAACCCACTTTCCAGGTCCTGTTGCGGGTACTCAATGTCATGTCAACGGTCGGATACAGGGACAGTCCATGATGGGATGGTTATGGCTTTGTCGTTAGGACTGTAATCTGTGTTTCACGAGAACCACCTCCCCATGAGTAGGTAGGTAGTTATTCTGCAATATGTACAAACATGTATCAATGTCAACCCCAGGTCTTGTAATTGGTAATTAAATCCATTCAACAAAAACTAGCCCGCTGATCATCATGAGTCCTCCTCATCATCGCTATCCTCAGACTCGTCCGACTCAAACTCATACTCGCTCTCCTCCGCTCCCAGAGGCCGGGGTATCATGACGAAGGCCTCCACACAAGTGATTCTGTTCTGTGTCTCGTACATCCCCAACAGCTTGCCAACCTGCCCGGGCGTCTTGCCGGTGCCGCCGAGCTCAGCAGCCCCAACCTGCCACAGCCGGATCCGCCCATCGCTGCTAGCGCCGGCGACGAAGAACGACCTTTTGCCGTCCTCGTCTTCCACCGGCAGGACCTTGAAGTCTTTGATTCTGCCGGACACGCCCGCCTCTTTCCCACCCAGCTGCCCAACCAGCTTAGCCACCGGCACTGTCTTGCCCTCCGCCGGCTTAGCCAAGTCTTCCGCGGCCGTCGAGAAGAACAGCACCCGGCCATCCTCGGTCGATACCGCAAGCACTGTCTCCTCCCCGCTCCCCTCCGTCTCTACGTAGCAGAGCGAAAGCACCTTGGTCTTGATATCCCCCATGGCCCGGCATTTCGGCACGCAATCCATCCCAAAGACGAGCACATCCCGCTCAAACGCCACGGCGAACTCATCATCCCCGCCCCTCGCGCGGCCCCAGACAATCCGCCTCGCCTCGCCCGTCGAATGCCTCCCCTCTCCACACTCGCCCAGCACGGCGCGCTCAAAGTTAAGCACGCGGCTCTTCTTGCCCGTCTCCAAGTTCCACAGGCGCATGCAGCGCTCGCCCTTGCTGACGCTGATCATGATCTTGTTGCTGGGGTGGACGGCGAAGTCGTTGACGCCGGCGGGGGCGCCGCCCAGCGCGGCCGTGTCGCCGCTGGGGCGGCCCTGCATCTTGGGGATGGGGCACTTGGAAGGTGTGCAGCAGGTTCCAGTCGCGGGCGCGCGTCACGGCCACGGTCGAGTCCTCGGCCGCCGAGAGCAGCTTGGAGCGGTTGGGGAAGGCGAGCCGTGTGATGTTGGACGTGTGGTGCAGGAGCGTGCCCAGCTCCCGGTTCTTGGGGTTCTCGAGGATCGGCCGGGGCGCCAGCGCCGAGAGGGCTTGCTGGTCGTCCGCGGCTCGTGCCGAGGGCGGGTGCGCCGAGAGGTTGTAGATGTTGATGCGCTCGTCCGTGCTGCCTGTTGCGAGCAGCACCTTTTGCGATTGGCCGGGCGTCGGAGCCGAGACAGGCGAGAGGGCGAGACAGCGGACGGCCGAGTTGTGTGCGTTGAAGAGGAATGTGTCGGCGAACTTGGCTTCTTGTGGTGGCGGCGTATTGCCCTTTGACTTCTTCTTCGTAGATGGCACGGCGGGCGTCGGCATAATTGTCGCCGTGACACCGTGGAGGACGCGATCGTAGGACCCTGCGATGATCTGGATCGTCACCGGCCCATTGCTGTCGAGCTTAAAGGCTGTAGATTGTGGTGTTTTGACCAGAGCCTTTGCTTTCTTGGCCGAGGGCTTGGTGTTGACATGCTCGCCTTCAGGGGGGGCTTCTCTTTTCCTTTTCGCCATTGTAATCGTTCGGTGATTGCTGATGCTCTCCGTTCTCAATTCGAATGTTGGAGGATCTGGACATGGCTGAACTGTTCGAGTTTTTGAAAAATAAAGTGGAGACAGACAAACTTTATCTTATCGCTCGACCCAAGATGCCAAGCGCCCTCGCCGCCAGACCCCGGACGGAGTCCCGGAACCCGACACAAGCCGGACGGAACCCAGGCAACCAGCAAGAACTTGGAAGAGTTCCTTCAAAACGATACTTCGTCACAACTGGTGGGCTGCCATTATTACAATACTAGGTATGTCCTCTGATCATTTGTCTGATCAATCATGAAATATTTACATGAACACATCATCATCATAAGCAACGTCGCCCGAGACGACACCGCCTTCGAGTCTGGAACCACTCCATCTCCAGATGCGGCATTGTCTCTGCGCTGCCATTCTAAGCCGGGCGGAATCTATCCGAAAATAATGCGACAATTAATGTACTCCCAACCTTGCCATGCCTACAACATCATAGTGATAATAACTACTACTTTCCAGGCGCCGGCGTCGCACTCCCACTCGACTGTCTCTGATGTTGCCCCACTTGTTGTTGCTGGGCGGCTTGTTGAGCCGCTTGCTGGGCGGCCTGCTGTACTTGGGCTTGCTGTGCTTGTGCCTGCTGTGCTTGGGCCTGCTGCTGTGCTCGGAGAAGCGAAGCATATTGATGTGGGCTATTCATCGACTGTTGCGCAACCGCTCCTGCCGCCGCGTTCATGGCCGCCTGCTGCTGGCTCTGAACAATCATCCTACCAAGGTGCTCAGTTGCCAGTTGCCGCACTGTCTCAGGTGGCAGATTCGGGTTCTTGGCCCGGTAATGCGCTTCGAGCTCAGCAAGTCGCTGTGTGATATGTTGATTCAGGATCCCTCCCGGAGACCGACCCGCCATCGCCGGCAGGCTCAACCCAGCACCCGGCGAGGTTACCAAGCCAGCCCCGTTAGCCGCACCAAACGACGCCATCATTGCCTGTGCATTGGTCAAAAATGCTCCTTGGTTGACGCCATTGACCACATTGCGTAATGGCGTCGGCGAACCTTGTGCTCCGTTAGTTTGCGGTAGTTGTTGGGTTTGGTTGGTCTGGGACTGTTGCTGCTGGGCAACTTGCTGTTGTGCGTGTTGTGCGGCTTGTTGCTGTTGAGGTTGATGCTGGAGATGAAGCGGATGCTGCTGCTGCTGCTGCTGTTGTTGTTGTTGCTGTTGCGGAGAGGGTTGTGGTTGTGGTTGTGGTTGTGGCTGTTGCTGCTGTGGCTGTGTTTGCGATTGCTGCGACTGGGATTGTTGCGCTTGTCCTTGCTGTGTTTGTTGAACTTGTTGTTGCGTGTTGCAGTTGCTGGATGGCCACCCGCTGCTGGTTCTGTATCGACCTTGCTTGAAGCATGACGCCAATATCCGGCTGTGGATTGACCATGGGTAATCTATGCTGTGCAGCTTGCATCACTTGAAGCTGAGCCTGCGGCATGCCTGTCATCTGGAGCGGCGGGACGAGACCGCCGGCGGCAAGCCGTGCTTGCACGGCAGCGGGAACTGGCCCTGGAGTTGCGGGCATCGACACCCGCCCAGGGGTACGGTTTTGCGCGGCTGCAGCCGCGGCAAGCTGTCCAGGGACATTGAGGCGAGCGGCACCGTTGGCCGAGGCCACGGCAGCAAGTTGTGCCGCTGTCTGGGCGCCTTGGGCGACACCGGGAGTCCCTGGCCCTTGACCCGGGTGATTTTGTTTCTATGGAAGGCAAGGTTAGTTGTGGGGTCAAACATGTCTCCGTCATAATGTATGTGCTCACCAATCTCCGTGCATTCGCGTCCGCTTGCCGAATGGCATACGCGGCCATCCTCTCCGCAAGTGCTTGGTCTCGCTCCCATCTCATAATGCTGTAATCCCGCGGCGTCTTGTTTTGAATTTGCTGTCTGGGCACTTCGTTGGCCTTCCGCATCGCTGCCAGGTTCGCTGCCTGCTGAGCTTTTTGAGCCGTTGCCTCTCGTTTTTTGGCCAGCTTTCGCATGGCGTCAATCAACGCTAGGTGCTTCTGATTGCGGCGTCGCTCGACCCGGATGCTCGTGGTCGGTCTTCGCCTAGGGATTGGCGTAACTGCGCCATTGGGTCCGACCTGCTGCTGCGCATTTTGGTTGTGCTGTGCGATGGCTCGCTGGGCTGCGTCAATCCTGGCTTGATAGGCCTTGAAGTACGGAGTCCTAGCCATATCATTCGGCAGGCCATCCAAGCTCACGAGGTTCACCCATCGTTCAAAGCATTCCCATGGTGTGCGCCGCTCTGCTCCAGATGCGAAGGCGGACACGGTTGATGACATGGCCGAGATCAACGACCAGTTATATGAACATTCGCGGACAAGAGACTTCAGCTGCTCATCTTCCGCCCACGTCCACTGAGATGCGGTTCGGCTCTCAAAGAAGCTCTGGGGGGGCATGGCATGTTCATTGGGTGGCCGGAACTGGTGGCCGGCATGCAAGCGGTCTCGGATGCCCTTCATTTCCGGATTGAACAATGCAACCATAGAATTCTCGGCCTGTAGCTCTCTATTGTTGTTGGCGGGCTCATATCCAAATATCACTTCGTCGTCGTTGTTGTCGGGGTCGTCTTCAGCGAGGTAGTCGTATCGGCGCCGCTTGCGGGGTGGACCGTTGCTCGCCAGTACCATTCCGCCCTCCACGTATTTACTCAGTGGTACCGCTGGCCGCTTCCATTTGGCGTCCGGGTCGTAGTCTGTATCCGAGACGTCAAACTTTGGAACAGTAAGGGGCGAGCCATGCAATGGAAGGTTTTCCAGAAGGAGGTCAGCCGTTTTTGAGGGCTGGAGCCCAAAGACTACCTCATCATCTGGGAGAGCGAAAATGGCCGAGGGGGCCACACAATCAACCAGGATTTCGGGGAGATCATCTTCGTTTTCGATTGGAGAGTCGGTATGGACCAAATCGGGCAGGGCTTCGTCCCCGAGGTTTGCCCCTTTCATTTCCACCTCTGCCGGTCGAGGTGGAATAACCGCATTCACCTGCAGCATCAGTCGCTCCGCCGGGTCTGAGTGAACCCATTCGGCACACGCGTGGGCGAGATTTCGTGCAACTGTCCGTTTCCACTTGTTCTCCTCGCGAAAATCGGTTCGCATCCATTTCATCTCCTGGAGAAGAACGTCCCAGTGAGATGCTGGTCTTGTTGGCTCTGAGCATCGAACCGGCTGCCTTAGAGACCACTTGTCGTGTTGCTGGAGATGATACACTCTACGTAGTATTTTGCACGCTTGGTGATCTAACATCGAAATATACTGGTCCGTGGTCGATATCGTTTTGTGGGCCTGGTTGATGAGTTTTTCGATAGGCTTCATCCAGGTTGATTGTCGAGTGAAACCCTCGATGAAGAGGGGGGTGAAATAGTCGTCCGAAGGAAGATGTCCGGGTTGCTGCTGACCGACAGCCACTGTCCCATCATCTGACGGTCTCGGTTTTTTCGGTTGCTTGCCGAAAATAACAGTTGGCGTGCTTCTGCGCCGCCTATCGCGCGTTCTGCTAGCATACAACTTGAGCTGCGTGGGAGGCGCCTCAGGGTCGATTTCTTCGTCTCGCATGGAACGAGATCCATCCCGGTCCGCCGAAACTGGCCTTGTGGGCTCGATCGGGGCGAGCGAGAGGCTGGATGACCGCGGATTAACGGCCACCTCCACGGTGCTGGTCGTCTCGGCAGCCAGTACACCAGCAGGTTGGGGAGGGGCTGGAACGGCCGTTGCCGTAGCATGGGATTCCTGTGATAAGCCGGCATTGGCAACACCTTCGTTCTCGGTCGCGGCGTCTTCCGGCTTGTCGATATCCATGAGCGCCGATATACCCCCATCCCCTCCGTTCCGATCTTCCACACTAGCATTGCCTGGTATCATCGAGGGCCCGGCTAGGGTGTCTGACAGCCATTCGCCATGCTGCAAACTGCCTACCCGTGCCGCTGTTGACCCAACTTGATGTTCATCGACAATCTTATCCCTAGCCCCCAGGGGACCTTTCCGAGTCGGACTCGTCGCTATCGGTGTAATATTCTCAAGCCCGCTAGGAGGTGGCATAGCAATGGCTATAGGATCAGGCGGGTTGGCTGAGCTGAGCTGCAGCTGATTCCTGGAGCAGCTGGGCTTCCACGCCACTGATTGGTGTCGGCAGGGACACAGCTGGTGCTTGAGGAGCCGTCGAAGAGACCTCTCCGGCGGTACCAGCCTCCTCCTCTGGCATAAGATCTCCCTGCAATTCAACAGCGGCCTTCTCCTCGACTCTTTCTAGATTGTGGGTTGCTTCGCTATCAGGGCTCGTGTCTGCGGACGCATCGTGGACGGCGGGGGTCAACATCGACTGGGCAGTAGAGCCAGGGGACGACAGTATATCCAGATGGCTAGAAGGGTTCGATGTAAGGGGCTGTTGATCTGATACGGCAGGTTCGCCATCTTTGAAATCCCGGCGTTCATCGACCTCTGATTGCACCGGTTTCTGGTTGGTTCGTGAAATTTGCACATCGACGCGAGAAAGGGCGGTGGCAGGCACTTGTAGGGACGGATGTTGAGCCGTCGCAGTCGATGCACTATCTGTAGATGGACGACTGCCAGTGACACCTTCGACCTGACGACAACTTGCTGGATGGGTAGGCGCTTCCTTCGCTTGGTCTCTGGAGCTGTCCTTGTGTGTCTTTGGGGCTACAACCGACGACTGAGCGGTAGAAGGGGACCCTTGACCAACGGGTAACGCTTTACCAGTTGCCTGCGGTGATGCATGTTGGATAGAGCCTCTTGGCTGGTTCGTCGGTTTGTCGAGTTTCGTGCCATTGGTGTAGCAAGGTTCGGGAGGTTGGTTCTCGATCTTCGCAGGCGCAGCGAAGGGTGTGGCCTCGGCTATGGTTGTCGAATCATAGATCGCGCGGAGTCGATGTGCATCGAAGACCTTCCGGCGCGCCGGGATGGTGAGCTTGTCGAATCGCCGGCCCCTGTCAACGCATCGAAACAGATTAGAGAGTCGAGTTTTAACGCGACGCGACGTTGCAAGAAAATGAAGATGATGTTATTAGACAAGAGAACATACTGCAAAATGTCGAATTCGTTCAAAAACTTTTGCTCGGCGGGCGTGGTTGTCGGCGCGTCCGGATCGTTGGGGTCGTGGTTGGGAATGCCATCGTCGGTCGCAACAGCGAAGAGTTCCCGCAACTTGCGTTTCCGCGAGAACGCAATTGACCTACACGACGTTAGCCCTGACCATCGTAGATCAAAATGATCGGAAAAATAAGCTCTATCGATTAAAGCTATTCTTGCCTTATTCTCGACTGTCTTGAGTGCAGCAGCTTCAAGCGGTCGGCGAGCGGGAGCTCAGTCATGTCATCGACGACGGCGACATCCGTTTTTTGTCAAACGGATGGTGATGCCAACTTCAACAGGACGATGGAAACCTAGAATGAACTTGGCGGGTGATGAAAAATGCCGGCGTTGCGACTTTTTAACACCGGTTTGATTGCCTGAGCGTGATCGAACAGAGCGTAAATCTCTGTCCTGCCGTGTTGAGGGGGTTTTCAAGACCATCCAGTGGGCGACCGGAACCGGGAGGGATGCCCGTCGAGGGTGTCAAAAAAGTTAATCCAGGGATGTATCCAGGCCTGAAAGGACCGGAAATGGCGGTGCTGACGACGACTCGGGGGCTAGTTAGGGGGCGACAAGGCCTAAAACTCCACTGAAATTCTGCCCGGAACAGGAAGGCCCCAGGGAGCCGAAGGCAAAGGAAACTCCGTGTCCGGGTTGAAGGATTGACGGTATTCATACTGTATGAGGGAGGGGTCCCACCTTGGCTGATGCTTGGCACCGCGCCGAGGAATATCCGGCGTCAAGAAGGATGACGAAAAGAGCGAGCGCAAGAAAGCTCGACGGGTGGAAGCGATGCCTCGATGGCGTGTGCGAATATCGGATCGCCGTGACGATGTCTCCATATTTGATCGGAAGGGCGACACGACGGCCGACCCCTAGCGCTGGCCGTCGAGGCCACTCCCCACATGGTCATTCTCCAGCCATTGTTTGCTTTGCCAGCGCTGTGCAGGGAAAAGGCGATCCGGGGTCCTCATCCTATCTGGTGAGCGCAGCGGTCGCCTGTCGTTTTCGCAGCAGTTTCCTCGGTGGAAATTGGCCGGTCCGGGGAGGATGAGGGCGGGGGATGGGAAGAGAAGACATTTGGTTTGGTGGTGTTGGAAGAAGCAGCAGTTGATCCAGAGCGGCCTCTGGAGGGTGGCCCGTTCTCTGCTGGCTTCGGATAATATGGGACGTTCACTGCAGTAAAAAAAGTGTGTTGCCTGAGGCCGCAGGGAGACGACTGGCCCCACCATGACGCTGGCAGGGAATCCGAATCCCCACATACCTAACTCTCCGGTTCGGGTGTCATTGGTGTCGGGCCAGTGTGCGACAACGGCACGCTGCCGAGAATTTGCGACGGCAAATCAACAACACCAGCCTTGAAAAAAGACAAATACTGGGTACCGCATCTCCATATCCCACATTCTTTAGCACTCAAAACTGCCGACAACATGCCGGACCACGACGATAAAACCCCCCGAATAGCTATTCAGCTTGGGAAATCAGCGACTTGCTCGCCACACACAATCAAGAAACGCGCCCGTCCAGCACACGGGAAACGGCACCGAGCTCATGCGCTGCACGACAATTCCGAATCCGAAGACAACAGCGACCAAGAACAGCAAAGTTACGGTCGCGAGGAAATAGTTACATCCTACGATCTTCTTGGCACAAACGATGAAGGATCAAAAAAGCCAAACGGGTCCTCGAGACACAACACATCGGCGGAGAGAGGTCAGGAGGAGAGCTCGGAGGCAGACCAACCGGAGAACACAAATTCGAAAACTGGTCGGAATGATGCCGGGACAGATGACCCAGAATCTGGAGACAAACCAGTCAAGTGGGGTTTGACCATCAACATGAAGGGGAAGGGAGATAGCAAAAGGGGAGTGACGAGGAAGGTGAAACCACAGACCGAAGCTCCTGGCTCCGACAGTGATCTGAAAAGCGAAAAAGATGCTTCGAAGACAATTGACGACGAGGCGCTCGATGCTCTCATGGGTTCTCGGATACCGAAACGCAAACACCTCGACTCCGACGCTGCTGACCGGGAACCGCGACCTGAAGACTATCGTTCAGTTCCCATCGACGACTTTGGCGCCCACCTTCTCCGAAACTTTGGTTGGGATGGGAAAATGAAGGGCAAGGTCAAGGAAGTCACAAGGCACGCCAACCTCACAGGACTAGGTGCCAAGGATGCAAAGGGCGCTGAGGATCTAGGTTCTTGGAATCAAAAGACGACTAAGGACTCCCGCCCCGTGAGGCTTGATGACTACCGGAGAGAAGAAAGCAAGAAGCGCCAGCGGACCGATGACCGGTATGCAGACAGCTACAAGCGGGAGAGGGAGAGGGAAAGAGAACGAGAGCGGGGACGGGACAGAGACAGGTAGAACCCACTGCGACACTGCGGCCGTATTCGAATCCCACCACCACGGAACACCGTTCCTGAGTTTGAATGTCAAACGTTGACGGGAAATGTGCATGTTGTTCTACTACCTCGCCGAATCTGAACCAAGTGGGTATCCGTGACGACGTGGGGGTCAACAGCTAACCTAGTACTGACTGCCAGACGGAGCTGGCTTCAGGTATCAACAAACCTAGCATCCCTCCCAATCGACAGCTGGGCACGGATTTCAGCCTGCCGTTTGTTTGGTTGAAATTGCATCAGCTGCAGGCCAAGGTAGTGCCCAGGGTAACCCCGAGGGCAACCAGCAACCCTTGGCTACGATCCGTCAGACTATCCCTTCGTGTCAGTTCGCTGGATACGAAGGTATTGCACTCTAGGCCAAGTATCGTGGGCCCTGGAAACAACCCGTGCTTTTAGCCCATGGTGCAAGTCATTACTCCTTGACAACACAATTGATAAGGACCTTTACCTAATCAAGAAACACAAGCCCGAGGAAGCGAGACGGGAACAGGGAGTGAGTTACTAAACGACATGAGTGGTTGGAGGATGATGAGACTAGTTATCCTCTTCCCCTGGATACCAGAACAGTTCTTTGTAAACGGATCTCTTCAATATATTTTCAGGCTTCTTATTGCTCCACACAGGTTGACACCGGGTGAAGCCCCTCAATTTCAAAACCTCACCTGGGAGGACCACAAAACTGCCCTTTGCATATGCAACATTTATTTGGTGCCCGCTTTATCTGCGTCTTTCCTTGTTGGCTGTGCCGATCTGGACATGCATGACGGGATCTGGGCAGTCACTGGCAGTGCCTGGTTGCTACCCTACCGATCGTTGTTTCCAATGTCTGAAAGCACTGTGATATAACAACCACAAATCGTATAGCCAAACTTTATTCCCTCCTCTGCTTCTCCATTACCCATCCCCTAAGCACCTGCCGTTAGTGTGATACGCCACCCAACGATGGCGGCATTATCGTCGAGACCGTGGTGGAAGGACGCAGTATGCTATCAGATCTACCCCGCCTCTTTTAAGGATTCCAATGGAGATGGGCTAGGAGACATTCCGGGTATCTTGAGCAAGATCGACTACTTGAAAGACCTCGGTATCGATGTGGTCTGGGTCTCGCCTATGTATATGCCATCCCTGCTTTTATGGACCTCTTGCGATCCATGCCGCTAACTCTATAACTCTCCTCAGGTTTGACAGCCCCCAGGTAAGCTTTTACTCGGTTAAGTTCAGGAATTTCCCAAGAGACTGGATCCAATGGGCTCTACCAGAACTAACTTAGGCTCAAGGTTGACATGGGGTACGACATTTCAGACTATGAGAAAGTATATCCCCCGTACGGCTCAGTCAAAGATGTTGAAGATCTCATCGAAGCCTGCCATAAGAGGTACCTGCACATTTTGCGTAGACACTCATTTGTCACTGCCATGTTGACTAAGGGATGACCAGGGGCATGAAGCTGATTTTGGATCTCGTTATCAATCATACATCTGACCAACACACCTGGTTCAAAGAATCGAGGTCGTCCAAGGACAACGCAAAGCGTGACTGGTGAGTGGTTGGGGTTCGCCTCGGTGCCAATTGAAGGCTAACCGGACGGCGAAGGTATATCTGGAAGCCTCCCCGGTATGCAGAGGACGGTACCCGCCTGCCGCCGACCAACTGGCGGAGCTACTTCTCTGGGCCGACGTGGGAGTACGATGAGCACACTGGCGAGTACTACTTGCACTTGTTCGCCAAGGAGCAACCGGACCTCAACTGGGAGAACGAGGAGACTCGAAAGGCTATCTATGATAGCGCCATGCGTTTCTGGCTTGATAAAGGAGTCGATGGTTTTCGGGTAGACACGGTAAACATGTAAGTCCCATACCGCTCCATGTCCATGGCGCATATCTCACGCACATATGTGACTCGGAGAAATAATATGTTGGTTATTGACGCGCCCTGTTCCAGGTACTCCAAAGGCGTCGAATTCAAGGATGCCCCCATCGTCGATGACAGATTTTACGAGCAACCAGCATGGCTGTACTACGCCAACGGCCCGAGGATGCATGAGTTCCTCCGAGAGATGAACCGAAACGTGCTCAACAACTACGACGCCGTGACCGTAGGCGAATTGCCGCACACGCCTGACCCCAAAAAGGTCTTGGAGTACGTTGGAGCGGGCGACAAGCAACTGAGCATGGTGTTCCAATTCGACATAGTCGATCTCGGCCAGGGACGCGAACACAAGTACCACTTCGAAGAGTGGAAGCTGCCGCAACTCAAGAGTATCGTGGCTAAGTGGCAGCAATTCATCGAGGGCACCGACGGGTGGACAACTGTCTTTTGCGAGAACCACGGTACGTCACCTCCCCCCTCTTCACTACCTATTCCAACATAGACAACACCGCCTGCTCCTCCGACCCACCGCTGCCTACTCACCACCTACCTGCATACTAACCCTACACCCACCCACACCACAGACCAAGGCCGGTCCATATCACGCTACGCCTCGGACGCCGCCCACGAGCGCGCGCCGTCAGCCAAGCTGCTCTCGCTCATGCTATGCGCACTGACGGGCACGCTCTTCGTGTACCAGGGGCAGGAAATCGGCATGATCAACGTGCCGGCCAGCTGGCCGATCGAATCGTACCGCGACATCGAGTCGGTCAACTTCTACCGGGCCATGGCCGCGCGGACGCACAACGACCCGGCCGAGCTCGCCTACATCATGCGCAGCCTGCAGGTCCTCGGCCGCGACAACGCCCGCCTGCCCATGCAGTGGAGCGGCGAGGCGCACGCTGGGTTCACTGATTGTGAGCGTGGGTCGTGGATGCGCGTGCATGATTTGTATCGGGATATCAATGTGGAGAGACAGGTGAGAGAGGGGGAGGGTTCGGTGTTGGGGTTTTGGAAGAGGATGATCAGGTTTAGGAAGGAGCATGCGGATGTGTTGGTGCATGGTGCGTTTGAGGGTTTTGATATGGAAAATGGGCAGACGTTTGTGTTTGGGAAAAGGGTGGGAGAGAAAAGGGCGGCGGTGGTGTTAAACTTTACCGGCGAGGAGCAGACTGTTGAGTTGCCGGGATACGAGGGATTGGTGTTTACGGTTGGGAGCTACGAGGATGCTGAGAAGCAAGAGCAGGGAGCCGAGGGAAGAGCCAGAAAGTTGCGTCCATGGGAGGGCCGGCTGTACCTGGCAGGTTGCTAGGGCTCTCCCTGCTATCTGGCCTGATAGACGGGATGAGAAGAAGGGATGAGATGGAACGAGATGGGATGAAATGAATCGAGTGCAGGTTGAGGTGATCTAGTGTCTGACTATTCCGCTTTGGTTTCCCAAACTGATCTCAACGAAGTGGATAGCCAGGCATAAAACGACCACGTACACCTGCATTTACTTTGGTAACTCTGCATGCAGCTTGCTCTGGGCCTGCACGGAAAAGAAGCCAGTGGTCAACCCTAGCTCAAAACAAAAGACTGAAAAAAGGGGCAAATGGGATCAACAGACGCCAGAGAAGTTGGACCTTCAGAATCCCTGAATGCAGCGACTGGGCGCCAAGCCAAACGCGCGGCCCCCACTGGGCCAGCCCCAGCTCGTCCACCGCCGAACCGAGCTCCCTTCTTTCCACTAAAAAAGTGAAGTCTGGAACTTCTTCTCTTCTTCCCACCGACATTCCCCGTTTCCTGCTCAACAGTCCGCAATAGGGGACTGCAGCAGCTGGTCGCCCATCATGTCGAAGCCACAGAGCACCAACGGCAGCGAGTCTGAGTTTGAGTTCGTCGAGACTCCCAGAGCTCCCACGCCGACCTTCGAGAAGGCTGAGGATTGCGGAGTGCGCACCACGTCGGTGAGTTCCCCGGCACCTGTTTTTTGCCTTGTTCCCTGTCGTTCAAGAAAACATCACCTCCCATACATCTCCCGCAGCTGCTACGAGGCCAATTGATAGAATCTAACTCGTATGTACAGCTCCCGACCATCAAGAATGCCCCGTTACCGGCCGAGGGCTCCGGCACGGAGAGCTTCTCCAACCTCCTCCTCTTCTCCATCCTCGGCGGTGTGCCGCTCTACATGTCATGGAAGGTCGGCGGTGGCTTGAAGACGACGCTCTTCTTTGCTCTCTTCACCACCCTCCCCCTGCTCGGCGCTTTCTGGTTGATTGCGTCGAGCATGTCGCCTCGTAAGAACGAGAAGGCCAGGCTTCCCGGCCGCGGCGTTGAGCACTACCTCACCTTCAAGAATCCCGCCGACAAGGCCAAGTACCAGGGCCGCAACAAGATTCCTATGGAGACCTTCCACGAGATGTACTTTGACGGCGATGTTGACTTCAACGGCGATGCCCTTGAGGTTCTCGAATACCGCCACGACTGGGCCAACTTCCGTTTCACTCTGGGCCTGATCAAGTACTTCCTTACCGGCATGATGCCCGAGGTTATCATGCACACCCGGTCCCAGGGTAAGTTACTTCATCTGTTGATTTTTGGAAGTTGCGGACATTTCTAACATGACCAGATGAGGAGCAGGTTCGTGGCCACTACGACCGCGGTGACGACTTTTATGCCTGGTTCCTTGGCCCGCGTATGATCTATACCTCAGGAATTATCGGTGACATAACCCGGGAGGAGACTCTGGAGGAGCTCCAGGACAACAAGCTCGCTGGCGTTTGCGAGAAGATTGCCCTCAAGGAAGGCGAGACGATGCTTGATATCGGCTGTGGCTGGGGCACTCTCGCCCGCTTTGCCAGCGTCAACTATGGTGCCAAGGTTACCGGTGTCACTCTGGGCCGCAACCAGACTGCCTGGGGCAACGGTGCCATGCGCAAGGTTGGAGTCCCCGAGGACCAGAGCAAGATTCTGTGCATGGACTACCGCGACATTCCTGTGCCCGAGGGTGGCTACAAGAAGATCACCTGCCTCGAGATGGCCGAGCACGTCGGTGTCCGCCACTTCCACGGTTTCTGCAAGCAGGTCTATGACATGATGGATGATGATGGTGTCTTCTTCCTCCAGATCGCCGGTCTGCGCAAGGCCTGGCAGTACGAGGATTTGACCTGGGGTCTCTTCATGAACAAGTATGTTTTCCCCGGCGCTGACGCTTCGACTCCTCTCGGCTGGTTCGTCGATAAGCTGGAGGGCGCTGGATTCGAGGTCAAGGGCATTGATACTGTTGGCGTGCACTACTCGGCCACTCTCTGGCGTTGGTACCGGAACTGGATGGCCAACAAGGACAAGGTCGAGGCTAAGTACGGCAAGAGATGGTTCCGCGTAAGTCCCCCCGACGTGCATCGATGCTGCTTCCGATACTAACTTGAAATAGATCTGGGAGTACTTCCTTGCCTACTCGACCATCATCTCCCGCCAGGGCAGTGCCACTTGCTACCAGATTGTTCTCCACAAGAACATCAACGCGTTCCACCGTGTCGAGGGTATCCCGACGCAGTACGGTCTCAGCGGCTCCACTGGTGCCACCAAGGCTGATCTGAAGGCTTGGGCTGAGGCCAACGCTGCTGACTTCCCCAGCGTTCCCGTTCAGTAAATCTGTTCGCGAGAAACGAGGTCTCTAGCCAAAGTGCCCGGCGTTGCTACCGAGAAGCTTCTGGTTGGACAAAAATGGATGAGGGGGTGGCTCCCAGGTGGGAGTTCAAGGATGGTGAGGTGTCTATCTGAAAACGTCTATCTGTTTAATGAATTGGACAGAGCACAGCTACTGCCATGTGTATCAAAAGCCAGGCGCTCGGATTGGGGCGTTGTATGCTGTGTACTCGAAAAACAGATGTTAGCTTGATTAGGGGAGATAGAACTTGGTAATGACGGTGCGGAGTCAACTAGATATCCACCCAGTATAAGAAAACAGCTTCAGCATTGTTGACTTGTGTTTTTGCGGGATTGAAGTTCGGAGCGGAAGGGATCGATGACACCGATTGGCCTCTTGTGGTAACGAACGTTGTGTTCGTTCGGACCAGCACTGTTGCTTCTTGCTGCCCTGCTGGGACCTGGATACCGTCTAATGCATAAGCTGGCCATGGTATCCATCCGTATATTCGCCGTTGAGCACACATCCCATAGACTCTCGCCTTGCGTACCAAAGCACAGCCAACTCATATCATACAGCCGCCCATCTCCTTCCACTTCACCACAAGGGACGCCCTTGGGCCCAACCTGTCCTCATTGCGCACCCTCCTTCCAGCCGATTGGTATTAACGCCGCAGCGACATCCTCCACCCCCCGTTCCGTCGCCAGCATGTTGTATTGCGAAGCCGCGTTCCTCGTATCCAACACCTCGACCCTCATCCCGAGGTTGCTGATGGCCCGTCTCGTAGCAGGGCTCAACGGGCGTATCTCAGGCCCGAGTCCCAAAATCAGCAGATCTGTTGTCCCACCGTGGTTAGCCCGAGAACAAGCTCTTTCAACAAAGAGTACATGCCACCCCTGAATCACATAAAAAGAAGAGAAAACCACTAACCAGGCCTCGGCCAAACCGCCGCCAGCACCGCCCACGCCTCCTCCCCGACCTCCCACTGCCCCTTCTCATTCAGCAACCGCGCCCCCCTCCCCTCCTTCCCCGCAACACCACCGCCACCACCGCCACCACCACCACCACCACCACTTACCAACCACGGCCGCCAAACGAACGCCTCCCCCCCCACAAGCAGGACGCCGGCCCCTCCACGGATGTGCACGCCCGAGTTGAGGGAGAAGCCGTCGGCGTGGGAGACGTCGACCGGCCGTGGTGGGCACCGGCGCCGCGCCCAGCACGTCCAGCTGGCCGAGGTCGGTCGGCGGCGCCTGCGCCGGCACGGGTTCGCGGTTGTGCGCTAGCGGGGTGCGGCGCTGGCGGGCGCGGCCCGGAGTCGTGTGCAGGTGGCGGAGGTGGGGGGTAGGGCTGTTGCTGGTGGTGGTGGTGGTGGTGGGTGGGTGGGATGGGAGAGATGGTCGTGCGGAGGTGGGCGTTCGGGGCGATGAGCTTGCGTGGGCTGTTGCTGTTGCTACTTGTGTGAAATGTCGAGCTGTTGTGGTCTGGCGGAGGATGCGCAAGGTAGATAAGGAAAGGCGGAGGGGTGTTAATGGAGCTGCCATTGTGGTTATTTTCTGGGCAGGTTCTACCACAGGTTTGACAGGCGTTGTCGGTGGCTGAATCAAGAGGCGCAGGGGTGACTGGTATGCGGCTTTGTTTTTGCTGAAGCTGTTGGGGAGACTTTTTGGATTTGGGATCAATGGAAATTTAGGCGGAGCTCGACGTCATTGCAGGGGTTAGAAGAATTGGGACCAGCAGATACTCCCTCAGGGCAAAAAAGGCAGAAGCAGCTCTTGGCTGCGAAAATGGGCAAAGATTCCACCCCGCCCAGCCTGGCATAACAGTGATGTAAAGCAACCCTTGCATACGACCATGATTCTTCATGATTAGACGCCTTGCCACATCAACATCCGGGCAAACAACATGGGCGCGACTTTTGCTTGGATTGCTCGCTCGTAACCGTAACCGGTTGTCATTCGGCGCTCAACACGCCCATTGCTCCATTCCACAACATCCCAGCACCGGTAAGCACGGCCTGAAGTCCATTTCCATTGAGAACCTCATCCCGGAGTAGAAAGCAGCCCTAAGAACAGAGACAGCCAACCCCGGCTGTATGTGCGTGCGCATGGCATGCCGCCCGTTTCCCAAGTGAACACCGAAGCAATGTGACCGTCAACCTAGCACCCGTCGCCCCGAACCAAAACCAAGCGTATTTATTTCTTCTTCTCGGCCTGGCTCTGTTCCTTGAGCACCTTCTTGACAATCTTCTGCTCCTCGATGAGGAAAGCCCGGACAACACGGTCCCGGACGCAGTTACCGCATCTCGAGCCACCGTACGCGCGCTGGACGGTCTTCTTGGGCTTGGAGATCTGAGCGTACTCGTGAGGGCGGAGAGCGGGGATCTGTAAGAAGCGCCGAGTCAGCACGCTGCTGTCCAGAAATTGCATAGCCACATCCAATGCCTCCATGCTACCCCGTAGCCATCGTGGTGGGTGTCGTGAGATAACGCATCGGTGGACTGGTCGGTCGAGAAACACTTGGGTTGGTTGAACTGAAACTTCGGCATGCGATCTAGATCGTGTTCTCGATGCCGGTATCATTGTGAGACCGAGGCCGGTTCGCTGTGTTGTTCGATCGTTCTCCTCGTTCGAAATCCTCCCATTCCCCACATGCACGTCTGTCAAGATCGCAAACCACTTACACCAGGGAGCTTGATGCCGCAGTCGCCGCACTTGGGAGCAGTGCCGCGCTTCTTGATGTGAAGAACGCGGAGCTTGCCGCCGGGAGTCTTCGTAATCCGCGTCAGGTTCGACGTGGTGTTGTACCTGAAAGCAGAGCCAGGTTAGCCGATCTCCTCTTAATCGATTCCTCCGCTTTTCAATTTCTAAAATCTCAGCAAAAACTTCGAGAAACTCACGGGTTCCGGCGACGGTAGGTGACTCGTGAGGGGGCCATTTCTGCGGTGTTGTCGCTGACGTGATGGTTTCCGTCGACTCGATCACGGTGGTGCGAGGTGGTTTAATTTTGAGGTCTAGTTTGTAAATTTCTGTGTGGGCGCAGAATGCGGTTGCCCCACTCTGCTTCAGCATCGAATAGTTGACACCCGGCAGAACACATCCCAGCCGGCACCACTTGGCCTGCATAATTTCATTCAAATCCTCAAACCCTTGTGGCACTGTGGCTGGTGCACGATTGTGGCGGGTACAAAGGACCCCATCCCCACCCCGAATATCATCGGCCCCAGCACCTCACGACGTTCTTGTTGATTCGCTGTCTTTAATGCCCCAGAAAACAATGATGATCCCACTCCCCTTGGTCAGATATCATCCCCAGATCCCAGTCCAATAATAATAATAGATCACCCCGCCATTGTCCAAACGCCTGGAAGCCCCCAAGAAACACACAAGACTGCTCAACCCCGAGTCAGCTTATCATTGATTGCCCAGTCTAAGAAATTCGACGTCGCTTTCGATCCGAATCGGCCCAGTCGGGGTGTTCGGAGGCACGCCACTGCTTGAGGCCCTTGAGATTTTTTTGGCCAGTACGTGCCCTGTTGAGGACGCCGTCAGTCTGCAGGCGAAGAATCGCCTCCTGGAAACTCGACACCTCTTTGTGGGTGCTCTCAACGGATTGCATGTAGGCGGCATAAGCAGCCTGGGCTGGGGTTGTTGTTAGTTTGGCCGTGGTAGCCTGGTTTGAGCGCCCCGAAGACTTACGCGACGGCTGTTTGACCATCAGAGGTTCCAACATGCGCGGAAGCGCCGAGCGAAGCCGCCTCAGCTGCATTGACAGGTCAGAAAAACAAAACGCCGTTGAGGCGGTGACAAATGGAATTGGAGCAAACTTGCCTGGAGATGCACCTGGTCCAACTGGTAGAGCATATCCTCAAGCTGCTCCTCCTCCAAAGCGCCGTTCTTGGCCGTCGCTGGCGCCTGCTGCTTGGTGCTGGCGTTGTCCGCCATCGTCTATCTACTGCAGAGAGGGTAGAACAGGGTCAATTAAGACACGGGGTGCCCGAAGATATATGCAGCTGCTGTTTGCATTCAATCGCGTCTACTGGGGACCAAATCTGGAATATCTCGATGCGATGTGATGGATCTCAGCTGTGTGATTGAGCGAGACCAACAGGAACGACGAGTGGTTGGGTCGCTGTTAGTGGGCTCCCAGTCGAGAGCAGAAATTAAATCTGATTGGCCTTGTTACCCCAAAGCAGGAGGCGGTGTGGGTCGGGAGATGCATCCAGCCAGAATGTGGCTGATGCAATTGTGAACAACCTGGTGACCAGCAGAGGCGCTTGGGCCAACAGCTGCCAGGTTTTCGGGCTAAGGTGGGGAGTGAAGCTGGGCCGGGGACAAGCAAACAACCTTACAGAAGGGAGCGACCCAGAAAGCACTTCACTCGCTCGTCGCCTCCAACAACAACCAACCAACCCAAACAAGCGCAGGAGAGTGCAAGTTGCGCCAGTAACATCTCACTGATCTGCCGGTTTTTTTTTCTGCTTTGTGCGCGTCGGAAAGCGACTTATTTTTCGCAATTCTCGGCGCTCGTCAAAGTGAACGGATTTATCTGCATCCAGTCGAGAACTAAACTACCTAGTTAAGGCGATCGCGCACACGCGCCTCTCGGCACCAGGCCCCAGCAGGTGCCGATTTCCCCTCCAGGCTTTGCTGCTACGACTTTCCGGGACCCGCGCTGCACAGTGTTTCCCACTGGCTGTTCCGACAATATCACCAATCACCATGGATCCCTCAGGTGCTACCGGAGGCCCTTCACAGACCCAGCCACGCTCTCGCAAGCGCGGTCGCCAGACCCGCGTGTCGGAAGCTGGAAATGCGACGGCTTCTGCCCCGCTGGCCCCCGTCCCACAGGTGCCCCAGGGCTGGGGTCCCGCCACTGTGACAAATGGTCACCATGGTCAGACCGTGCGTGCGCCCGTCGACACCGTGCCCACTCAACAACAGCCTACCTTTCCTTCGCAGCAGCTTGATAGATCGCATCAGGTCGCAGAGCCCGAGGGATTGATGAACGGCTATAGCGCCAACCCGCAGCACACACAGTATCCCGACCCGCAGCCCACGCTCGCGCCAGCACCGCAGCCTGACACGTCGGGCCTGACCGGTCTGAGCGAACTTGCTGGCGACCATCATCACCAACAACACGCGCAGCACGGCCAGCACGGCCAGCAGCACCATCAGACTCAGCATCAGCAGCTTCAACAGCAGCAACAGCAGCAGCAACAGCAGCAGCGCGCCGCCGCTGCCGCTGCCAATAAGCCTGATCGCATCATTTTCCAGCACCAGTACGGTGCTCCTCATCCCACTAGCAACTCGTCCCCGACCTCCGTGGCGAACCCGTCTTCTGCATCGGCTAGCTACAACAACATCTCGTCGTGGCCTGTGTCCGACGCCAACCAGGCGCCGCAGCCGCAGCCTTCTGCGCCCTCGTCCGCTTCGATGCCTCCGCAATCGCCCGCGCTGGGCTCCTCCGCCGGCCTAGCTCCGCCGCCGGAGGGGATCTACCGCACCTTTGACGACCTCCTCTCGTCGGTACAACGCACTGCCAAAGAGCAGGGCTACAGCATTGTCAAGCTTCGGGCCAGTAACTATCGTGATAGCAAACCCACGCGCTACGATCTTGTATGCGACCGCGGCGGTGTTAAGTACAGCAGCACTGCCAAGAAGCGCAACCCCAGCACCCGCAAGGTCGATTGTCCATGGCGCGCAAAGGCCGTGTGTGAGGTGAACCTCGGACATCAGTGGCGCTTTGTCGTGCAAGAACCCCGCCATAACCACGAGGCCCGCGTCCCCGCCGCCGTGCCGGGTCAAGAAAACACGCCTGTCGCACAGAGCCTCAGGAGCTTGACCAACAAGGTCGACCGTATGGCCCATGAGGTCGCGCAGGGCATGAATCGGCTCGAGAGCGTGATCGTGTCGCGCTTAGACAACATTGAGAAGCGGCTCGAGGCCCTCGAAGGCGGCCGGTCGGCCATGCTCGGCGGCAACGGTGTGCCTCAGATGGGCGCCCCGAGCATGCCTCCTGCCAACATGGGCGGCAACAGCCTTGGCAACAACTCGTTAACGAACGGTGGCATGCAACCTCTCGTGGACGGCCGGCTAGGCGGTGTCGAGAGCCGCCTCGGTCAGATGGAGCCGCGCAGCTTGGATGGCCTGCAGATGATGGATGACGACACGAGGGGTCTATCGATGATGGTCAACTCGTAGTCCGAGAAGGTTTGCCGAGGCAGCTATTCGGACATTTATAAGCCTCGATTCCGGGACCCAACAACATGCCAGCTGTTAGGGTCCTCTGAGGGTTCCGCATATCCGAACCCAAGCTCGACCAACTGAACCCGATCTTTCATATCCTGTTGTTCGCCGGGGCCATATTCCCTCTTCTACTGGAACGGGACGACCTAGCGATCAAGCGGGATAATTCATGGGCGCCCATTTTATGGACGCCAAAAAAAAAACGGCATGAGATCTGAAATCCGGATCATCAGGACAGGGTTGGCCTTCCCTTTTTTAAAGGCCGTCGGCAGCAGAGAGACCGGGATTACGGTTTCTCATTCTAGCCCTTTCTTATTTCTCAATTACTGTATATGTACTCAATCCTCCTCGGCGTTTCTGGGATTGGGACAAAGTGCGCAAAGTGTGTAGATATTTCCCTGCCGGCGTTTAGCCCGGCTTCTGACTCAGGTCTTCCTTGCTTCGGCCTTTTCACTTTCTCTCTTTTGTTTTCTCTTCACTTCCGCCTCGGATGGAGCAGAGGCGGACGGGCATTCCATGGTCACCCATACAGAGTGGGCAATAAGGACAACTCGGGCGGAAGGCAGAATGGGCTCACTCGGCGTTTTCCAGCTTGGGAGAATTGGTCAACCGGGGCAAAGTTGGGACACAGGCGTGTTTTGTTTCGCTCTGGGCGTTCACATATCCCCGCACCACCAAAGGTTCTTAACTCTGCCTTTTCTTGTCTGCCGGGCCATGCACCGGCCTAGATATATACCACAACTGGGAGTGTGTTGCTGCTCACAGATTACATGGGCGAGAAGGATTCCGAAGATGGAGACGAGAAAAAAGGAGCCCTGTGGTTTGGGGGCGTCTTTCTCTTCTCTTTGTTGGGTGTATATGACAGATCAACTCAAAACTGTCTGATGGCATTCTTACTGTGGTGATGTACATACCATGTTAGACCAAGACTGAAAGCGATCCTGGTTCCCACATTGTGATTACGATCAGTGAGCTGTTAATGGAATGTGACGAGATCAATATTATCAAGGCACTCTTAAGATTTTGCTTGTTTTGGTGGGGGAGGGAGCTTCTCTTAGAGTGAGGAAGAGGAATGAACATTATCACCAATCCCCACCGTACATTCCAATCCACATGTCGTGTTTGACACATTACGCACTGGGCGGTGGATCCTCAGCTCCTTGCAAGAGAAATGAAAAGGGACATACACGGTGTGTGACGAACTGTGCGAGTATGCAAGAGCTCACTTGGAACGCGGCTGGAGCGCGGCTAATACCAGGACGTGAATGGTGGCCTAGGCATTGGGCATGTGTGTGAAGGATTGATTATCAAACTCCTACACATCTTCGTGACATCTTCCACGGCAACAAACAAGCCAGTTTAAATCTAGAACTCTCTCTCTTTTTTTGATTCCTCCAACGCCGCCACAGGCGCAATAAGGAAAAGAAACATAAATAGATATGCTGTGACAAAAAAAAAAAAGCAAGGGGAATACAGATATATTATCAACGCAGCCTCGTAATCAGGGGCAGGCCCTTCGGAGGCGCGATTAGACCAAAAGCCAAGTTCAACGCCGCTCTCCGTGGGCATCCGGGTAGTATGCAAAAAATACCATATGCAAAAAAATGACGTCCAGAGAAAACTGTTGTCGAGAAGGCCGAATTGAAACAACAAGCGGGCCTAGCGACAGTCCAGGGTGGTAGATGTAAAGGATATCGTGATCGTTTATGACGAGAGGTTGTGGGTGTTGGTATTGTTGCGGGCGTCCATCATTACTTCGTAGCCAAATGCCAGGCGCTGGTGCGGTCGGCGTGGGGTATAAAACAGTAAGCGCATGCTCCATTTGCCGGCACCCGTTATATTTCCTGAATCCAAACCTAGAAACTCTGTCAGTATGCTTCTAATACATCCAATTTGATGATTCAAGACTCACCTCCATCTTTCCCGTCTCCGTCCTCTGCTTTCTCGCGACTTGTTTGACGCCCATCATGACCATGTCGAGGTCATCCTGGTCACCCATCGTGATCATGTCCTCGGGTGAATCATCATCTCTGACTTTGATCTTAAATCTGCGGCGTAGGCCAAATTTGTCCTGGATCCGCTCAACGAGATCCGGGAATTCGATGGCGGGGCCAACCACGATATAGCGCACGTCGTCGGCGTGCACCTTGACACGGATGGTGCGGAGAGCGTCCCGTCTCGACGAACCCCTCTTCGACCCACCCGACACAACCGAGCCCGGTCCCGGCCGACGGTTCGACACCATTTCAAACTCGCCTTCATCAAACGAAGCGTCGTCGTAGTCGGAGCCGTCCTCGTCCTCTTCCTCAATATATCGTTCTCGAGTCCGGCCGCCGCCGCCCCTTTGCGACCTGCTAGCCCGGGAGCCGCCACCGTCGCCGTACATGTCGTAGACGTCGTCCGGGTAAGCGTCCTCTTCCTCGTCCCTCCTTCGGCGCGGCGGTGGGTCGCGCTGGGAGAAGCCGCGAGATGGCGCAGCCGAAGCAGAGCGTGTCGGCCGTGGCCGCCCATCCTCAGGTGACGTTTTATCGTAGCGCTCGTTGGACCGGACTTTCTCCAGATTTAGTCTGCTCGGGATAGGCTTGGGCCCATTTCGTACCGACTGCCCGCGGCTCATGGGCGCAGGCTTGTCATTCTCGGGAGGTGGCGTTGGGGGGAAGACGTTGCGGCTACCTGGCGGCTCGGATTGTTGTCTCCTGCTCTGGAGACCAGGCTTGACGAGATTGCTCGCAGCAAAGGAGAGGGATTCAGCTGGCCTGTCATCTTTGGCCTCAACGGTAATCTTGCTTAAGGTCAGTAAAGATGAATTGAAAGGGGGCTAGTTCAGCAACTTACCGCTTTGTTTAGCTCAGTGCCAGAAAAGCCCGTGAAGGCATTGTTGCGATCTGAAGCAGCTACCAACCGTGCCTTCCCGAGGTAGTCCTTCTGTTGCAAGTTACGCACCTTGGCCTCGTTTGGCCTGTAGACGACGCCCACGGGGATTGAGAAGACGGTGTAGTCCTAGAGAGAAAAATGTCAGTGGTGGACCCAAGCGCTGCCGCATATTGGGTAACGCATACCTTGGCCTTAGCCCTGATCGCATCATCAATCACGTTGTGGTCCTCCACCACCTTCTCCTTCATCGCATACTCCAAATCCTGCATACCGGCTTCCATCTGCTCCAGGTAGATGTAACACAGACCACGGTTGAACAGGACCTCGCATGAGTAGAGCTTGAAGAGCAGCCCTAGCTGCGAATAGTCGATCAATGAATTGCCACGGAGGTAGAGGAGCGTGTCGTTGAAATTGGCTAATGCTTCTTCGAAATCGCCGATTAGAAAGTTGGAAACTCCTTGTTGGAAGTACGCTACGGCGAGGTACTGATCGAGCTTGAGGGCACGTTGATAGCACTCGACCTGTGCCAGCATTATCAGTATAATTAGGCGCATAGGGGAGCAGGGGCGCGGTTCTTACTGCTTGCTCGTGCTGTCCAAGGGTGGCATTGATGACGCCCATGTTGAACAGAATCTTGGAGGTGTCCGAGACCTTGTCAAACGACGCGAGCGCCTCGTCGAACTCATTGTTGTCGTAGAATTTCAGGGCCTCGACCCATGTCTCGATTTCCTGTTACGGGTAAGTGTAAGTCAGTCATTGTGTCTTGGTTAGGTTGTTTGCCAGTGTGCCGATCGAAGTGGAGTCTGCAGAGGTTCTTCTCACCTGTTTTAGCGACATGCTTTCTCAAGTGCTGCAGTTGCAAAGGCTGTCGAAGCCAGGCAGTTTTGCGGCCCTTGGAAGAGCAAAAGGTCACGAGGGGATTCCCGTTCGGCCACCAGCTGCAAATTCTCTGGGCGGTTTAGGTAGGTGTGTGTCGGATAGCTGGACGTGCGTTGAGGGGTCGGGTGGCTTTAAGTGTGTTAAGGGGAATTTGGGCCGGCAAAGCGGCGTGGCAGGGGTCTGTCTGCGCTAATGTCGTCTGGGCGGGCGGCAACAAGGGGGCTGGCTCTTCGAGTCAGCGATGGTGGTGGGCTGCTGGGTGCGTATGGGAAACGGCTCGAATTTCCCCGCTCTTTTTAGATGCCCAATTGCAGTCGACTTCTTGCTCTCCGTCGACGAAAATACAATGGGCCAAGGCTCGGTCGGTTAATGGATAAGTCGATAGCAAGTTCGCGAACGCTCGTCGTGTAATTAGTGCCAGCTTGGCAGACGGTGTCGGCCGCGATAGTTTCGGTTGCGTCTGTCCGTCCGAGATATCCGTACTGTCCTGCAGCGGGCGTTCCCGACAGTGCTGCTTCCTTTCTCTTGTCCCTTTGTGTCCCTGACGATCCTCTCAATTAAAGTCGGTAGTCGGCGCAGCTCTGCTGGGCCCTCTGCAGCCAACAGCACCTCTTGCAGCGTATGGGAGCCGAGTCAGACTCCTCGGTATTATTAGCGTCCGGTGATTGCCGGGCGATGGTTACTTTGATGTCCTAGTTCTCCCAGACTGGCGGAAAAGAATGGCCGGAGGTCGGTTCGGAAGGAAAGAAAAAAAAAAAAAGTTGGGTATATGGAGAAAGCCGTTACGGCGGGAGCAAGGAGGAGAAGAGTGTCACGAAGATTAGGTATGCGAGATGGAACACCGAGAGACATGGAAGAAACGGGATGGGCCTCTCTCAAGTGGCCGAGCCCAGCATACCGAAGCGAGGATTACAGCTCAGGGCCCGTTTGGAGACGGCCGGACTGGGGGAGATGATCATGCAGGGCACACCGGGGACACTGGGCCTGCCACGCCCAGGTGGATTCGCCAGGCCTGGAAGAAGGGCCATCACTGCGAAAGCGTTGTTCAAAAGCCTTCTGTTACAGCCGACAGGGGGCATTCCTTGCCAGAATGGGAGCATTGGGCTGGTACGGGCGGGGCAGAAAAAAAAAACCCGAAACCCTTAAAAAGCGGGGCTTGAGAGGAAAGTCTGCGCGCCCTGTCGCCCTTTGCGACTACTTCACTCGATGAGACTTCTTCATGGCTAACGACAAGAAAAGGTGATGGCAATGGGCTAACTAAGTACGATCGGATGTTCGTGGTTGAGATCGAACCATTTTTCTTACCACCAAGCTTTGTTCTGGAAGGGAGTTCGGCACGGACATGGAGGCATGGCGCAAAGATCGAACGGTCCCATGTCAACCGCTGCCGGATCGACGCGAGACGGAACTGCGCCTTTCTTCGGCCATGTGCTGGACGCCATGCGTGCCGGTCATGGCAGCTGCACCTAAGGATTGCATCACAGCATGCATGGTAGACCCGCCGAGGTAGGTTCGTTTGAAGAAGAAAAGGTATTTTTGTACAGAAGTACAGGTTAGTTGATCCGAATGTGGGCTTCACAGAAATCTGCCAGTAGCTGCCCGTTGTCTTCCCACATTCTCTCAAAGAACGAACTGAGCCGGTCGTCCCGCATGATCTCCTGCCTGCCACAAGAAGCTCTTGGCCCACCGCAGGTAGGGTCTTGGCTCCGCGAGAGGCTGTCAATGAGACTCGGGGGTCAATGCGAACCCATCCACTTGTCACAGGTCTCATGGCACCCTTGCGAATCAGAGGCCTGCGCTCCTCATGCACCAAGCGTTTCCAAGACAGCTGGGTGGCCCCTCATTGGACCAGGGGGCCCGGCCGCTTTAGCCCCTGCGTTGCAGGGCGGCTACGAATCTCAACGTCGACCACCAGTCAACCGCCTTCATCAACCGCGAACTACGAAGTACGGAGCACGAAGATGTCGCGGTTTACGAATATGGTGCGGCTGGCCGCCACCGAGTTTCGATTCCGATCTGATGATCTTCACCATTTCCTATCCCCCGGCTCTACGTCTCCCGGCAACACCACAGCGAGCAACCAACACCAACGGGTGCATTCCGGTGGATTAGGAGGCTGGGGCTTCTGAGGTATTCTTTGGGGCCGTCAGTTGCTGGCAACACAAATAACCGGCGCTAATTTGACAGAAGCTCGGCCGCTCTATCATGAGTCGAGCGAAGGAGCCTCGCCGCCAATGTAACGGCACCGGTCTGTGATAGTGATGCAGTTGATTGATTGCCTGCACTCTGTGTCACGTCATCACACTTCTATTCCTGGAGTCGAATGCTCGGGTCCTGATTGAACTAAAAAGAGGAGATTCATCAATAGCACTACCGAATCCATATCCGTCCCAAGCCCTTGGTTTCCACGCCATGTGGGATGGCGTTGCAGTCCGCCGCGCTAGCGAGCAGGCGCTAACGGAAAACGGCCGCTGTCCAAACCGAGATCTTGATCGATCCATCAGGCCTGTTTCGGACTTCAGTTGACTTCACCAGATGGTTTGTTGGGCCATGAACAAAAGAGTTCACGACTCCCCAGTCATCGAAAGTATTTCCCAGTTCCCCGCTCAAAAGGTCTAGGCCCTTCTTCTGGTTGCACCTGGTGGGTCTTAGCCGGATGCCCAGAATCTGACGAAACTCGCTTCATCAACCCAGCCTCCTTTCGATTCTCAGAGCTTCGATGGATTCAATATTCAATCTTTTACCATGTGAAGAGCTTACCAAACTTGCTACCACGAAACCCTTAGATGCAACCAAAACCCCCAAGGTAGATTGAAAGTTGCGTTTCGGCCGCCGCATTGGGTATGGCGAACAAAATTGCTTCTCTCAAACCTATCCTTGGTTTGAACTTGATACACAATTGCTCCCAACACAATGTGTGGGGACGGAACTCTTCTTTTCCGTCCCATCTCGCACCCTGGCTTTAGCTCGAGACGCTCCCGTTGTGCTTCGCGAAAGCACAGAGTGGGGGCGTTCCCAGCATTCGACAGCATGTTTCCCCCCCTGCATATTTTTTTGTTCGAGAGGCCAACCGAACGCCACTTGGTTTTGACCGCCTCCGGGGTATTGCCCGACGGGTCTAGCTTGGATGGAAAGGGGAAGAGAAGAAAAAGGTGGGTGCTCATCAACCGGTTGGTATTGGTGAGTGTCTTTGACTATCTCTCGGTTGCCTAGACTGTGTACCTTCGAAACAAGCACGTCGGCGCTATCCCGTGATCATCTCGAGCGGCATGCCCAAGTCTGGGTGATCCTGCTGCACCACCCCAAACCTTTACGACTGCCGCAATACGACCGTAGCCCAGACGATCTAACCTGGGAAACCCCCACGGGCTAGACTGCGCTTCGATGAAGTCGCCCAAGTACTTGAAACAACTCATCACAACATACCCTTGGACACCTCATCCTTCCTCTCCTGCCATAGCGTCTTTCCCGTGCAGGAGCACACGGTTTTGTCGTTGTCCCAAACCCCGGCGCTCCGGGCGATGACGCCTACCACAGTGTCTTCCTCGTTCGAAAGCGGGGCTCCGTCGCTCTCGTCGTGACGTGAGACCACCAGCGCATGGCCGATAACCTCCCACACCTGGAAGGGGTGATTGATAAACGTATTCCCGTACCCATTCGGCCCAATCTCCACGGTCCCCAGGACTCCGCGGGGAGGGCCACCCTCCTTGCTCTGCGCTGACCAGACGGGCCCTGCTGACGACGCGCCATCCTTGAGGTTTCCGTACTCCCGGATGGTAGCGCGATACGTCCCCGGTGGCACTCCGCGGACAGTCAGGTCGACCAGGGTCTCGGTTGGGCTGACCTGCACCATCCTCACCAAGCCCCTGACTAACCTCTCGTTCACCCAGCTCTCGCCGGGGACTCCGGCAGGCGTCACCTCCGCGTCTGGCTTGTGATGGTATGTCTCGAGAATGCTGACCGCGGCGCCTGTGTGGTAGGAAACAGGAAACAGAACGAATCAGCAAATGTTCTAGGAAGATTTGAGGATCGGCCTTGGCTGTATTATCCAAGGGTGCGGCCACACCAAAACATATGAAAAAGGGGCCAGGCTGGTATAGCACTGCACTTACTGTTTGAAGTACCTGACCCTCGTAAGATGGCGTCTTTCCCAGTGGCCTGAATGGCATCAACGATGGCGGAAGGTGCCGCTATAGAGATGCTAGGTCAGCCACACCATACGATGAAGTTGAACAATGGTGGCACGATCATACGAACCTGTCCCCTCGATTGATACCAACTGATCCTTGACATTCGCTTCCACTTTGGTGATGCCTGGCAGTTTGTGCAGGGCGCTCGAGATGTCCTTGGCGCAGCCCTCACAGGTCATGGGCACGGCGAAGAGGGTCTGGTTCGGGTTTCATCAGTCCATGTTTGGTAACCTTTTGCTGGGTCGTGCCAAGGGAAAGGGAAGGCATCAAAAGGGGGTATGAAACAGCAAAGGGGGTTTGTCAGGAAGAGTATGAAAGAAAAGACATATTCCCCAATGAGAACCAAGTTGGGGTTTGACTCACCTGAAAAGGGGTAATGACAGCCATCTTGCCGGTATTGTTGTTATTAAGGAGTAATTGGAGTCGGCGTTGTTCCTGAGTTCCTTGTCGCCCCCACGAGTATGCGCCAACAGATGCGACGAAGATCAATCCGGATATTGCGAGGATGGGACGAATATGAATGGGACCACGATACATAAGGGTCCAATACCCGAAAGGGCCGAGTTCGGATCTCAAGAGAGCTCGTGAGAGACCGGAGAGCTACGGTGCAAGGCTGTGAGGGCAGGGGAGTCTAGTGGGCAGATATACAGGGCTCTAGTATTGTAGTATGAAAAGAGACCCCATCCATAGTATTTGTATCCCCCATTTAGTCAAAACTCCGACATTCAAGAAACTTGCAAGTTTGCGACTGCTTTGAAATCCGGCTCACCGCGGGGCAGGCGGCAGGCAGCGGGCCTGGGTTTTGCCAAGCTAAGGGTTGGTGGGTCCCTTGCAGATGCGGCGCGGTCGGGAGCCATGTGGCGCGTGCGTGAGGCGCCCCCGCCGATTTTTCCAAACTCCCGGGCTTGGCTCTATCAAGCCATCGCGACATCGACCGCCAGCTCGCTCCGCCAATTGCCCGCCGTAAATGATCCGCTGCCGCATTCGCTGCACCTAATTCGAGCATTAGATTGCGGCGACTGCGTCTTGTCGATGAGGGACTAGTTCCCAGGGGCTTTGCTCGTCTTCTTCACCCTCCAACTTCCCCTTCACCACCACCAACATGTCACAAACCGTCGGAGCTGTAAGCAAGCCCCTCCCCCACAACCCCCCGGCCGAACCCCTTGCCCTTCCCTAGGTATCTACCCTTCCTTTCTCTAATCACTAACCGTTAATTTCCCTTTCTCCAGACCAGACTCGCCTACTCAAGGGTATGGCACCACATCTCGGCGTCAACACCGCACCCGACGCTGAGCACGATCAAGGCGCCGGCCGAGGCCGTGACCCCGCCCTCGCTGGGCCGGCTGGCGTCGCGGATCGCGACGATCCTCATGGGCAAGCACAAGCCGATCTGGGATCCGTCGACCGACTGCGGCGACTACGTGGTGGTGACCAACTGCGCGGCGCTGTACACGACGGGCCAGAAGAAGTACCGCAAGACCTACTACCGCCACAACACCCGCCCGGGATCGCTCCGCACCGTCACCATGGACGTCTTGATGGACAAATTTGGCGGCTCCGAGGTGCTGCGCAAGGCCGTCAGTGGCATGCTGCCCAAGAACAGGCTGCGGGACAAGCGGCTGGCGCGGTTGAAAGCGTTCGAGGGCGATGCCCACCCGTACAAGGAGAACTTGGTACGGTTTGGTGGGAAGGTTGTGGGGACTTCGGGGTGGGAGGATGTGGTTAAGGCTGTGAGGGCGGCGGATGCTGCGAGGTTATAGGGTTACTGGGAATGGCGGCGGGATGGGCGTGTGTACGAGGCCATTTTGACTCGACCATCGAGTCTTATGTGTATTAACAATACATTGATGTATACCATGGAATCCTTGTTATTGAAGAGCCATTTTTTGGTTTGATATGCAACTCAATGTCAATTCGCTACGCTCGTGCTAGCCGCACTATACAGCACGAAGATGCTAATCGAGAGCACGCCAGTGTCTCTCGTGCCGAAGATGGCAAGTAAATATCGCCCTGTTCCAGTGCTATGCTCCCTCTTCACCTGTGTGCTAGGGTCGCAACATCACGGAATACCTCGCACTTGATCAAGCCGTTGGGCCCAGACTGGGGTGCGTACACCTCGGCGTCCTTGCCCGTATTCTTTATGCCCTTGTGCCAGCTCAGGTCTGCGTCGAGGTAGATCAGTTTAGAGTCATTAAAGCACGCGAGGTTAGGAGAGGTACTGACCAATCTCAAAGTAGTGCTTGTTCGGCAGCGCGAAGCCGGCCTTGTCAACCTCGGGCACGGCCTCCAAAATCTGCTCGCACATCTTGTACATAGTATTCTGCACCGAAGCGCTCTCGTCAATAGCAAATGTCTTCATTATGATGCCCCGCGCGCTCTCCCACGCCTTGTCGAAGCGCTCCGCCCCCTGCTGCACGGCCGCGGCGTTCGGGAAGCGCTTCCACGCCCAGCTGCAGTCGATGTCGGTCGACAGGATGCGGTCCCACGTCTCGGGCAGGGTGGTGAACTCGTCCCGCACGAACCCGTGGAAGCCCGACCCCGTGCTCTTGAGCACCGACAAGCCCGCGATGCTGCTATTGAGGTCGATCCCCGCCCCGCGCGCCACCGTAGCCTTGACGTTCCGGGTCTCCTGCCCGTCGCGGAAGAAGCTGTGCGGGTGGGGTGCGCCGTCTATCGCCATCCGCGTCCACCGGTGCACCACGACGTCGACGTGCGCGACGGTGATGTGGGGGTATGTGTCAAGGAAGTGCTGCCCCAGATGGCTGGCGTAGACCTCTGGCGGGTTGACGGGGTGTTCCTTGGCCTTGATGTAGATTGTGTTCTTGATGGAGTCGGTGGCGACTACAACGCTATTGTCTGCCTCCGTGTATCTAAGAAGTAGTTAGTTAGATGTGCTGTATTTTGTGGCTCGGGTATCGGGAGCGCTCAGCTTACGATGTCTCGATCTTGCCCTCGAGAAGGCAGCATACTGTCATCTCCGTTACGGTGTGGACGCCGGTCTGCTCATCTCTTTGGACTTTGCAAACGCGGACATTGTCCTTTCCGTAACGGGCAGACGCAAGACCGGGCATGGCGACGGTATCCGTGGATAAGTAAACCTAGAATGTTATTTTTTTTTTAAAAAAAAAAAAAAAGAAAAAAGGTGTGTTATGATTCGAATAGCGTTTGCCGTGTTTGCTCAGGAATTAGGAGGCGAGGGAGTAGAGGCACGGGTCAGCATGAAACAGATATCAATGTTTGTTCCTTGGGGCAGGCAGTTGGCCATTTATATTCCGACCCAACGTCCGATCTCTGAAGCAGGAGGAACCCCGGACATCCAATGAGTTCACGTCCGGACGGCACCTGGCGGCTCGCCCATGGCGCGGCTTCCGGCGGAGGGGCAACGAGCCGGGATGGCAAGAAGGGGTGGAGGTGGATCACCGGAATCCGCCGACCGCCTTGTGCCAGGCCCCTCTCTATCTTCGGATCTTTCCAGCATCTACGACTTCCCGCCGCCCACGGAAATGAAATCCACTTCCTTTGAGAATCCCACTTGAAACTTGCTGCTGACTAGCAATCAAAGAGCTCTGGTCAGACGAAATCCTGCAACCGGATGAATCCATGGAGGGTCAGGGCAGTCTTGCCCATCCAATCTTCCAGATCGGTGACGTTGATAAGAGCCGGGGCAGGCAAATCCCCGAGTGCCCCACCACTATGTTGCAGGGGCACCGCCGGGCTGGGCCGAAATACTGGAAGCACAATTCTCAATAGTGTCCACCGCTCTGAGGCAGTTGTATGGAAGCATCGTACGACAGAGAGCAACCTATTTGTGACCATGTAACATTTGACAGGGACGCGATGTGAGACATGGCAAGTCCCAGGCCCTTCCCAAAGTGCCTACCACTTCCCGACCTAATTAGTTGGTAGTGTTCGTAGCAATCGTCAAATTTTGAAGAAAGAGGAGATGATAGTAATGTCGGGTAGTTAACCAATACCAATACCGACCTAGTTTAACTTAACTTGAGTTGGGTCTGTGGTGAATTTATACATTTTGTCTAGCTCAACTTATAGCCAACACGGCAGTGCTCATAATGTCACGGTTCTTTAGGTATCCCAACTCTGAACCATCTTATCCGGTGTCACCAGGGACGAGGCGGGAATGCTTGAATCAGTTGGTGGGGCGGCCGTTGCCAGGCGTTGCGCACAGGCCACCAACAGGACGGTCGCTGTCGCGATGCGATGCACCTGAGCGGTGGACCTCGAAGACAGCGCCAACCCCCACCCCACATCGATCGTCAGCACCGAACGTATACGGTACGAGATTGAGCGCGCACGCGACTCGACGGTGACCACACAATTGCGCAATGCCGGCAGAAGGGCCTCGAAATCATTGAAGAACTCGAACATTCATGCGTCAAACAAGGAGCCCGCCGGCGAATCGAATGCGAAAACCGGGAGCGCTGCGAGCGTCGAGAGGGTCAAGCGTGGAGGGCAAATGGCCGGGCCGTCCACCATGTTGAGCGCCTCGGCGACACCCACTCAGAGGTCATACACTCCCCAACCACCACAGCAGCAGCAGCAACCGCAGCAGCAGCAATCACAGCAGCCGCAGCAGCAAAACCAGCAGCCCGGGAACCCCCGACCGAGTCTGGAACGCGATGGCCTGCAGCCCCCCGTTCCTAATGGCGGTCGCAACCTCTCGGCCTCCGCCGTGAGCTTTGCATCCCGTGCCCCGTCGCTCAACCCATCGCCCATGCCCGGCAGCTTCAGCTCTGAACTCCGTAGCCAGACAAACATCTCTCGTGCCGGTTCGCGACTCGACATGTTCCCTGCGCTGGAAAAGTTGGACGAGGACGACGATGACCCGGGCCAGGAAAAGACCATCACCCACCTGCGCGAGGCCCTCGGCCGCGAGATGAAGATCAAGGAGGGGAGCGAGAACATGTTGGAAGCGCTGAACTCTAAGAAAGCGAAGCAAACCAAAGAGCAACGGCAAAGAGTCGAGGCCGAGCTGAACTCGTCCAACCTACGGATCAAGGAGTTGCGCCAGAAGATCACAGACGCACAGCGGGTAAAGGCCGCGCCCACCACACCCACGCGGACGAGGACAGAGGCCTTGTTCCCCGGCCCCAATGGCTTGCGCTCTCCCCCTAGCGCTTCTCGGAGCGGCGTCGGGTCCGATATCGACGAGCCAACCGAATCACCAACCTTTGCGCTTACCGAGATCCTGCAGGCCCTGGAAGTGGAGGGCATGACCCCAGACTACTACGTCTCCAGGGCGAACAGCTTGGTTGACCTTTTCAAGCGGCACCCCACACTCAAGTATGACTTGGTGTGGTCCGTGTTCGGCCTCCGAATGCAAGCCATGCTCCTGAGCGAGAGCCGTGAGGTGGTCGCCGCAGGGTATAGGATGATACGATATGCCATTTCGGACATCAGCTCCATCAGAAACATACGTGCTCTCAATACTGACTATCTTGTTACGTGGTAAGTGCCCCAGGCTGGCTCTCACCCTCACGAACTAATTCGAGGCAGGTCTTTGATCAAGGATCGCAAAGCCGACGTCGAACGTGAGCAGGCCCTCAAGTTTGTGCGTGCCTTCCTTGATGTCAAAGATGGTGTGCGTGAGATTTCAAGGGCTGTCGTCAGGTCGATAGCTGCGGCGGCAGAAGAGCCTGAAGAGAGGTTACGGCCAATCTGCATCGAGACCCTGGCCGAGATCCTCGTCCGTGATCCTCGCCTGCTGATTGCTTCCGGAGGGATGGCCCCTTTGCATGAAGCGTTGGCCGACGGTTCATACAAGGCATCCGAGAGCTTGACGGCAGCATTCCTCTACCTTTTGGACGCGCCGCATCGACGGCAATACCTACGTCCTGGGAACGAGCTTGAGATACTCTTCACTGCCTTCACTGACGAGTTGTCTTCCAACGAGCGGTTCCTAAAGCAGAGCGTCAAGGCCGTGACCTCGGCTCTGAGAACGTGGTCCGGGCTTATGAGTTTGTCCATGTACAATTTTCGTGCCATCAAGTCCATGATCACCAGTATGGTCGTGCAAGCCGGACCTATCCGCGAGACCATCATGGATCTCATCTTTTCCCTTCTCCGCATCAAACCCCCGGCATGGGCCACGTCATTTTTAGCCGGCCGGCGGCTCACCACATATGGTCGAGTCACGAATCTCAAGTCGGCTACTAAGGGCTCCCAAACCGAATACGAAGACGACGGGGGAGAACAAAATTTCCTGGAGCACTACACGACCCTCTTGCTTGCCGTATTTGTCAAATCCGGAGTCGTTCCGGCTCTTCTCGAACTCACCCAAACAAACGAAAGCGCGACCCTTCGGCGAAAATCGACGCTGTTGATAGGAGAGGTGTTGAAGTTGGCCAGCCGCCTGCTCCCACCCTCCTGGAGTAGTGACTTACAACTACTTCCCGATTTGTTCATCTCGGCCGCCAAACTCAAAGACGAAAGTCATTTTGCGGCCACCGGGGTCATTTACCAGATAAGCAGTGTCAGCAGAACACTGTACCGGTCGTCCCCATCGTCCTACCTCCCATCCGCGCACCACAGCATGGACCTCAACGCGCTCGACGAGCACCCGAAGGCCAACACATCAACAAACTTTGATGATGGGACGTTCAGGCAGCTTCTCCTCGAGTCAAATGTTCTCAGCAGTTCCAATTACACGAAATGGAATTGGGAGGTCATGATCAGGCTCATTGAAGGGCCCCTGACAAGTGGCAAGCGGCTTGAGGAGGCCATCAAGGCGTCCAAGTTCATAAAACGCATCATGAGCTTTTACCGGCCGTTCAAGTACAAGTTTTCGGAAATCAAGAGCTCAAGGAGCACACAAAAGTACGTCCGGACCGGGTGCGCCTTGATGCACGCCCTGCTTCAGAGCCCCGAAGGTGTCAAATACCTGTCCGACAACAAGCTGCTTCGCCAAGTTGCCGAATGCTTAGCCCAGTGCGATCCCACCAGCGGATTGACCGCACAAGACCCTATGTTCTCCAAGGACCGTCTCGCCGACACCCTTTGCGGTGGTTACTTCCCCATGCTCGGCGTCCTGACCGCAGATGTCAAGGGGTTACAGATGATGGACCGGTGGCGCATCTTCAATATGATGTACCGCATTCTCGACCTGAAGCAGCGGCCGGACCTCATCAAGTTGATGCTCTCCAATTTTGACTATTCCCTCCAGGGCCACCCACGAGTGCTTCTGTCCAAGGCTCTGACAGCCGGGACGAAAGATATTCGGATTTACGCGACAAACGCATTGAGGAGGTTTGCTACACACCCGCGGATGGGACCGCATGGCCCGGAACCCGGTGATTCAAAGTGGGCGATCCAGCTTCTTGTGACGCAGCTGTACGACCCGGAAGTTGAAGTGTGCGCCACTGCGGTCAAGATTCTTGAAAAGGCTTGCAACACAAAGAATCATCTCGAGTATATTGTCGAATGCCGGCCAGCGCTGGACCACCTAGGCGAGATAGGAGCTCCTCTTCTTCTACGCTTCCTCTCGACATCGATCGGATACCATTACCTGGATGGGCTAGACTACATTAGCAACGAGATGGACGACTGGTTCCTGGGCCGAAACGACTCGTACGTTGGTGTTATCGAAGCAAGCCTCGCGCGGTCTTTCATGGACCACCAGGACGATCACACGAACCGAATCAGCGTGTTTGACGAGCAGCAAGAGATGGAGGCCGACAACCACGTACCACCACACTTCTACCGCGAACTAACCCGGACACAAGAGGGTTGTAAACTGCTTAGCGATAAGGGCCACTTTGCCGAATTTGCCGCCACGATCCGCGAGTACGGCATGCAGTCCGACGACCACGAAATGATGGTCAAGGTGAAGGGCTGCCTCTGGGCCGTAGGCAATGTCGGCTCGATGGAGCTCGGCGCGCCCTTCCTCGAATCCTGCGACGTGGTGGAGCAGATCATCGAGATCGCCCAGAACCACGAGGTCATGAGCCTGCGCGGGACCGCCTTCTTCGTTCTCGGGCTCGTCTCCCGCTCCATCCACGGCCTCGAGATCCTCTCGGAAAACGGCTGGGACGCAAACACCAACATCCTCGGCCACTCCTTCGGCCTCTGCATCCCCACGGACCTCTCCCAGTTCTTCTCCCTCAAGCCCTGGCACCACACCCCCGTTACCGCCCTCGAGCTCCCCGATAGCCAAAAGACCGAAACCGCCAAGCTCCCCGCCGTACCATCCCGCCCGCGCTCCGAGTCGCTCATCAAAGCGCTGCAGGAGGCGGAGCAAGAAGCCGCTGTGGGCGTCGCGGCAGGACTGGCACTGTCGGACGCGCTGCCGCCGCGCGTGGAGCTCGACCCGGACCCGACCAGCCACCGCATCCTGGAGCTGGTCATCGACATGTCCAACATGGTGCTCTACCGCCGCGCGCGCAACGAGCTGATGCAAATCAAGACGCAGGGGCGCGCCGCGGGCTTCGCGCAGCCCCGCCTGTTTCGCAAAGTCATGTCGCTGCTGGAGTGTCATCACTATCGTTTGGTGGATCGGAATATGATTGTCGGGTTGTTTGAGAAGAGCGTGCTGCGGGCGGTGGTGTATGGCGAGGATGAGAGTGGTGTGAGTGGGAGTGGGGAGGGGGAGAGCAGTGATGATGGGGATGATAGTGATGATGACGAGGATGAGGACGACGATGAGGAGGAGGATGAGAGGCGGGTGGAGACGAACGTGGCGGCTAGGGGTGGGAGGGAAAGTGGGAGTGAGAGTGAAGGGGAGGAAGATGGGGAGGAGGAGGAGCAGGATGGAGAGGAAGAGGAAGAGGAAGAGGAAGAAGAGGGAGAAGGGGGCGGGGACAGTTCGGGCGATGAACAGCGTACCGAGCGGCAGAGGAGTGTGAGCGACCCGGCAGACATCAAGAGACGGGGGATGACGATGGGGCTCGGCCGGTAGCGGGTCACGGCGTCGTGATATACTTTCTATTTCTGCTATAAACGAAGGCGGAGCGGGAGATGAGTTGCGGAGCGAGACACAGAACGGCGTCGGTTGAATTTCTGCAAAAGTAGGGGGGCGTGGCGGTCATGGATGGTTATGGCGGACTTGCATCAAGAGGGTTGGCGGTCAGGTCTAGGTGCTGAGGGATAGGAAAGGGGTTGGCGTTCTAAACAACTTCTTTTGTTAGGGATTTTGGGACCATTTGCAATGTATAGTATCCGGCCCGTGGTAAACCGGGAGCTGCAATTGGAAGCATTGAGAACTCGAAGGGTCCATTCCACATGTTCTGTTACTAAAGGTTATTCTGCAACCCCACTGTGCCCCCGCTTCGAAGCAATCTTCTGGTTCTCTTCCAATTGCCGACTTCGTACCAAGAAGCATCTCCATTGATTGCATGGCAGTGTATTTTTATAACCTCGCCCTTAAATGATACCCGATCTACGGCCATAGGCAGCCTAGAGATCAAGATGGCTCCTGGGAGAGTTTTAGTAATTGCGGGCTCTGATAGCTCCGGTGGAGCGTATGTTTTATTTTATTTCTCATGCTTGCAATCTCGATGCCGGTATCGCTCAAACCTGTCGATGGGTGGTTCGGCTTACACAAGGTTCTCACTCACAGCGGTCTTGAAGCAGACCAGAAGGTCATCGCCGCCCATGACTGCTACGCCATGACGGCCACGACGGCCCTCACGGCACAAAACACAAAGGGCGTCTATGACATTCACTACATCCCGCCCGAGTTTCTCAGGAAACAAATCGACGCCGTCATTGAGGATGTTGGAGTTGATGTTGTCAAGACGGGTGAGCCCCTATTACCCCTCACTCAGCCTACTTCTTTGACACTGACCACCAAATCAAGGCATGCTCGGGTCCGCAGAGACGATCAAAACCATCGCCGACGCTCTCACTCTTCACAACGTCCCGACCGTCGTTATTGACCCGGTACGACACCTCCCCCTTCCCCTTCCCCTCTATTCAACCCCTCGCCCCCACCCTAACCACCGGCACGCATGCCGCATACCACACACAGGTAATGATCGCAACAACCGGCGCCAAGCTCCTACCTTCCGACGCCCTAAACGCCCTGCACGCCCGCCTGCTACCCCTCGCCACCATCGTCACGCCCAACGTGCCCGAGGCGCTCCTCCTGCTGCGCGACGCCGACACCGGGGTGGACGCTGTGCGCACAATCAGCGACCTGGAGACTGTCGGCCGCGCGATACGCAAGCTGGGTCCCAAGTGGGCGCTCGTCAAGGGCGGGCACTGCCCCTTCAAGAAGGACGGCACGGCGGCGGAGACGGATGCCGAGAGGGAGCTGGTGGTGGATGTGCTGGTGGGAGAGGATGTGGAGACCGGGGAGGAGGTGGTGCTGCGGTTGGAGACGGGGTATTGCGATTCAAAGCATACGCATGGGACGGGGTGTTCTTTGGCTTGTGAGTGACTCCGCCGCTTGATTGTGTTGGGTGTTGTGTGATGCTGACTGGGGTGTGTGTTGTTGTTGGCTTGCAGCGGCGATTGCGTCGAACCTGGCCAAGGGGATGGCTATGCCAGCTGCGGTGAGGGCTGGTTGCAGATACGTCCAGGCCGGTATCAGGAGCGCGCCGGGGTTGGGTGGGGGGAATGGGCCGTTGAATCACTTCCACTCGGTCTACACCCTGCCCTTTTCTCCGTGAGAAACAATATATGCTCGTTTGTGTGGGAACTCTGGCTTACTGGGCTTAGGGGTTACTTCATCGACTATTTGCTGGAACGACCTGACGTCGCGCCAATATGGGACAAGTTCGTTAACCACCCCTTTGTCTTGGCCATGGGAGACGGAACACTGCCTGTCGAGTCATTCAAGGGCTACCTGGTGCAAGACTACCTCTATCTCGTGAGTTGATTTTGCCCGTGGTGAGCAAGCGACCAATTGCTAACATAGAGAGATACACTTTGCCCGAGCGAACGCCCTAGGGTCGTATAAGGCTAGCAACATGAAGGATATCGCTGCGGTAAGTTCCTCATACTCAATGGCTCAAGCATAAGTGACCTAATTATGGCTGGGTGTCAGTCCGCCGCCATTGTTACCCACATCTTCAAAGAAATGGAGCTCCACGTCGGGTACTGTCAGGGCTTCGGTATCTCTAGGGAAGAGATGGAGAAGACGGAAGAGAAAGCGGGTGAGCAACATCTCCGTCAACACTTGGCCAACAGTAGAGACAACTGACCGCCACCCCATAGCCTGCACGGCATACACTAGGTATGTCCTTGACATCGGCCAGTCCCAGGACTGGTTGGGTCTCCAGGTCGCCATTGCACCATGTCTACTCGGGTACGGCGTGATCGCCAAGCAGCTGCACGCCGACAAGCGATCCAAGAGAGAGGGCAACTTGTACTGGACCTGGATTCAAAATTACGTAGCCAATGATTATGTCACGGCTGTGAAGACCGGTACCGGTAAGTGGGAAGCCAAGTCAAAGAGAGGAAGGGTAGACGATCGCTAACTCGGGACAAAGAACTGTTGGAGCGGCACGCATTGCTTCAAAGCCCGTCGCGCATTGAAGAGCTGGTCAAGATCTTCATCCACGCTACAAAGGTCGGCCTGCCAATCCTACCAAATCGCAGACAGAGGAACGCTGACAAAAAGAGTAGATGGAGATCGAATTTTGGGAAATGTATAGCTCAAGTTGAGGAAAGAGGCCCGGGTTGCAAGATAGATTTGATAGAAAAGAAGGAATAATCAACAAAGCTCATCTAAAACTGAAAATTTGAAGTGGGAGACAAAGGCTTCCTGGAACTAACCATTCACTTTCCTTGTGCGGTGGCTCAGGGTGGGAAAGTTGGAAAGTGGGAAAGCAGCTTTGGCGGCCAAACGTTGCTGCCTCAGGTATCAAATTAGTTATCGCTGCCAAGTCCTTATCCAACTTATCGCCCCCTTCTTGGAAGACTGCAGGGCGCCTGCCTGCAAAAATATTTTCTGGCCCAGGCCGCCTAACAAATTCTCCTGGGGCAACTTCCCGATCCTTTCTTCTACAAAAGATTTTCGCCTCGTCGACGAAAACCTACATCCTCCATCTCCCTCCATCTCCCTCCCTCCCCCTGTTAAGTTTGCTGGGCATTTCGAGGTACAATCCGCTCATTTATTTCGAGCGCGGTGTTAGACACTAAATCAACGAGCCTCGTATTCCTCCCTTTCGCGAGTCGCTTCAAAACCTCACTTCTTCGGACCCTCCATCATTTCAACGCGCCATAATCTGGTTTTATTGAACCAAGCCAACAGCGCGTTCTCCATCTTCGATATTCTATCGCGAAACAGCAGTTTTCGCGTTTCTAACATTTTCGGCACGAACCCAATACCCGCGTCACTCTAAGTACAACATGTCTTCTTACGGCGGCGGCGGCTACAGCTCTCGTGGTGGAGGCGGCGGATACTCTGGCGGCTACGACCGTAACGGCGGCGGCGGTGGTGGTTATTCGTAAGTTGGGCACTCTCAATCCTAGATTTCTCATTTCCCCATCTCCGAGCGGTGAGCGACGCTTCACGCGTTCGACTCTCGATGTTTGCCCCATTTTTTTAATTATCGATTACTGACTTGGGCTCCGATCATAGCGGCTCCAATGGCTATTCTGGCGGCGGCGGCGGCTACGGCGGTGGAGGCTACGGTGGTGGCGGTGGTGGATATGGCGGTGGAGGTGGTGGATATGGCGGCGGCTACGGCGGTGGCGGTGGTGATCGCATGTCCAACCTCGGTGCTGGCCTGCAAAAGCAGAACTGGGACTTGGACACGCTTCCGAAGTTCGAGAAATCGTTCTACCAGGAGCACCCCAACGTTGCCGCCCGGTCGCAGGCTGAAGTCGACAAGTTCCGTCGCGACCACGCTATGACCGTCGCTGGCAACAATGTCCCAAGCCCCGTCGAGACGTTCGATGAGGCTGGTTTCCCCCGCTATGTCATGGACGAGGTCAAGGCCCAGGGTTTCCCCGCGCCGACCGCCATTCAGTCCCAGGGATGGCCTATGGCGCTCTCCGGACGCGACGTCGTTGGTATCGCCGAGACCGGTTCTGGCAAGACCCTGACTTACTGCCTTCCGGCCATCGTTCACATCAACGCCCAGCCTCTCCTCGCCCCTGGTGACGGCCCTATCGTTTTGGTCCTTGCCCCTACCCGTGAACTGGCTGTCCAGATTCAGCAAGAAATCACCAAGTTTGGCAAGTCCTCGAGAATTCGCAACACCTGCGTCTACGGCGGCGTCCCGAAGGGCCCTCAAACCCGGGACCTTTCTCGCGGTGTTGAGGTGTGCATTGCCACGCCGGGCCGTCTGATTGATATGCTGGAGTCGGGCAGGACTAACCTCCGTCGTGTCACTTACCTCGTTCTCGATGAGGCCGACCGCATGCTTGACATGGGTTTTGAGCCCCAAATTCGCAAGATCATTGGACAGATTCGGCCCGACCGTCAAACCTGCATGTGGTCCGCTACTTGGCCTAAGGAAGTCCGCGCTTTGGCCAGCGACTTCCTGACTGATTTCATTCAGGTTAACATTGGCTCCATGGACCTGGCTGCCAACCACCGCATCACCCAAGTTGTGGAGGTTGTGAATGAGAGCGAGAAGCGCGACAAGATGATCAAGCACCTTGAGAAGATCATGGAGGACAAGGAGAGCCAGAACAAGATCCTCATCTTCACAGGTACCAAGCGTGTGGCTGATGAGATCACCCGCTTCCTTCGCCAGGACGGCTGGCCGGCACTTTGTAAGTTGTTCCCAGTTGCCTACGATTCCCTTCCTTGCCTTCTATGCTAACACGCCTCTCAGCAATCCACGGAGACAAGCAACAAAACGAGCGCGATTGGGTCTTGGATCAGTTCAAAACTGGAAAGAGCCCCATCATGGTTGCCACCGACGTTGCGTCTCGCGGTATCGGTATGTCCCCCTTCCACCCCCACAAACCCGTGCCCTCTTTTGGGCAACCTTCCAGCATCGAAATGTGCTGTGCTTTACTCTTGTGTCTAGGGGCTCTCTTGATTGCGCGAACTTGCCTGACCTCGTGTCTGTATGGTCTTCCTGAACGGAGTCTTGGATTCGTGACGTAGCAGGGACGCTGTTCTTGATGCTACGCCGTAATTCTTCTTCTCTTGTACCGTTTCTATTTGCCGTGGTACAAGCGTAGAGTAGACATGCCTTGACTTTGATCAAGCTTTGTCTCCAAGATTCCCAAAGGCCCGTGGACCCGGAGCTTGGGATCGCCCACCGGCATATTCATCGCAATGGACAGCCCACCTGCCAAGGAGAGAAGTACAGCCATCATGGATCACGAAACATGCTTAGCTACCCGTGTCATTCGACATCCGTTCGTGCTGGAACGTTGCTTGCACTCAAGCCGCTCGCTGTTGCTAACCATTTCCTTGTTTTTAAAGATGTGCGCAACATTACCCATGTGCTCAACTATGACTACCCCAACAACTCGGAGGATTACATCCATCGTATTGGTAGAACTGGCCGTGCCGGCGCTAAAGGCACAGCCATTACGTTCTTCACCACTGACAGTATGTCTTCCCTCCCCCGTACACCATCCTTACTTAGCATTGAGTGGTTTACTTACACACACACAGATTCAAAGCAGGCTCGCGACCTCGTGGGTGTTCTCCAAGAGGCCAAGCAGCATATTGATCCTCGTCTCGCCGAAATGGTTCGGTACGGCGGTGGTGGTGGCAACAGCCGGTATGGCGGTTATCGTGGCCGCGGCGGTGGTGGATTCCGTGGCGGTAAGTGTGTACCTGTCGACCCCCAAGACGCCTGAAATTCTTGTGCTAATCACTTTCATGATAGGACGTTCTCAAGGCGCTAATGGGCCTAACGCCATGCCCATGGGCAACCGTCGGTGGTAGACGACCACACGCTTGAAAGGCGCCACAAGCGTTAAGCGTCATCCAGATCTTTTGTGACTGGCTTTTCGACCAGTGCACCCCGCATTCGGGCATCACGGCGTTTCGCGTAGAGGGTTCGGCTTAGAGGTCGGTTTCGTGGCATATTTGCCACTGGTTATGTTGTTTTTGTCGTCACCCCGGGCTGAGGCTTGGCTCGTTTCTCGATGCATTGTTATTTTATTTTCGAGGGGCGAGAGGAAGTCCTTCTGAAAACCTGCGGTTGCACAGCTTCCGCATAACGCGAGGGCTCGTCAGGCCGCTGAGGTGAGACCTCGATCGGTCACCACAGACCATGACCAGTGTGGACACATTGCATTGTTTTGAGGGCATTTAACCTACTTTCAGCCATGGTCTTTCTTACTTCTATAGTTGGTTTTGACCCTTCTTTTACGGTCGCAGGCCCCGGCTGCGGATTCGAGGAAAGGGAGGCTCTCGCGGGCCCTGACCAAGATGGACGGGGCAGTCACAACAAGTTCATGCCCGCTCTTGTCGTAACTGGCGACGACAGATAAATGCTTATGTACTTAATTTTGGGGAAAAGCGAATACGATTCTATAAGTAATATTACCGCCATGTGAACTTGATGCGTGGTGTTTTTTCTACCGTTTTGAACTGTCGCCTCGTTTCGCCCATGGACCTTGTAGGCATACTTGATTTGACTTCAGTTTCTTTCGCCATGCACCTAGTATGCCAGGGTAAGATGTCAACAGAAGGCACTTGTTCAGCCAGGAGCAAATATGCAGGCCGATCTAGAAATGATAATCTCATGGCCATAGCCCGCTGCCAACGTGCTTGGTCGCAAAGTCATGACTCGGGAACCCTCTTTCTCACAGCCAAGCAATGAGCAATGTCGTTTAGTGCCCTATTAGAACCTCGGGGAAGCAAGCAGGCTACTTTGGTCTCCCGCGGGCCCATCAAGGAGTGACCTTGAAGGCAAAATACGGGTATTATCAGGCGGGTGGGTTCTCCGACGTGGGAACCCCTAAATACAATGCCGCAGGGGAACCCGGTTACTCTTCGGTATGGGGTTTGTTTTGCTGGGAGGTCGGATCTTTGCCCTCGGCCCGGTGAGTCTTGGGGGCTGGTGGATCTTACGGGTAAGGAAGGGGGGGGGATAAGTGAGGCCGAGGGACAGGGTGGATTCCTTTGTCCGGGAACAAAGGGACAGTGTGATCCTAGGGTGCAACGCCGTCTGAGGGGATGGCGGGTCTGGGTTTAGGAGGAGCCACACTGTATTTGGGTGTCGCGGGGAAGGTTGCGGCTCTCGTGTGATTTGGGGGGGAGGTTCGGGTCAGCGCGGCTTCTTGTAGCTTGTCAGATTAGTTGGCCCATCGGCGAGTGACTTATGCCGTGCTCTGGTAGATGGCAACATCATTCGCAACGACATCTGCTCTACCGTAAGCCGGGAGCCGAGCGCCGAGGCGTGCAATCGTCATTGCAAAGCCCGACGTGTGTTGTTGACATCAACAGCGCTTTTATAGCCACTGTTTTCGGCCACTGACATGACAATCCATAGGAAGTGATGCAGTGTTTCTTACAAGTATAGGCCACACAGGCTTCATGGCGTTTACACGTTTTAGCATTTACTGATCCTCTTGTCGTATCCTGTTGGCGTTGGGATCGACAACTATTTCTCCGACCAACCAACTGTCACGTTCTATCTTGGGGATGGGCGGATGGATAATGATGGTGGGGAGAGTGATGGTGGGGATGATGAGCGCCGTGGGCACTGTCTAGCGCTGGCCATCTCCCGGATGGCGGAACGGCGAATCCGATCGTGGCTCGATAACGACGACTGCTCGATACTTGGATCGACGGGCTGATCTCCACTGTTGGTCTCTCGGTGCCATTTAGGATGGAAAGGGGATTATCGGTCATCAAAAGCACATGTTGGAGATCACACGCCCTGAACAGATGGGTGGCTGTCCCAGCACAAAGGGGGGGTGCGCCGTTAGCGTCCGGCCCTAACTACCTACCTAGTAATCTTGCCGAAGGGGGCAATGTCGTTGAATTGATAGTTTACTCCCTTCTCCTCCGTCTGGGGAGCCTGGACTCCCCCCTCCCAATCCACCCACGATTCTTGGGCCTTTGAAAGACTTCAAGTGTCCGAGTATTGGCTCGAACCACTGCGTAGTGGAGTTTGAACGTCCATCTTATTACCCGGAAATTACAAATTACTTCAAAGCTAACATAGAGGGCGGTCTGCGTGGCGGGGAAGGAGCGTGACCCCCAGTGTTTGGCCTTCCGTAGTAGTCCCCGCGGGTTCGCCGAATACTTTCCCACGATTCCATGGTCAAGCAAACAGGATGGGCCAAGCGTGTTGGTACTGTTGAAGCTGTTCACACCAACCAGTGGGCTGGGCCCGGTATGCTCCGTCTAGAAAGGGGGGGGGGGGGGGGGGGGGGAGACGGCGCTCTCACGACAGTCGAGCGATGTGACACCTCGAGTCCGGAATATTTCGAGAAGGACAGGTTCAGCGCTAGAAAGCAGCCCCCTGGATTCGTCTCATGCATCTCCAAAGCCCATCTCCCTTTCTGTCAATTCTTGACTAATGGCTCTTCCCGCATCTAACGGGGTAAAATCTAAATTCGCACTAGCCTCCCCGGTTATCTCTTCATCGACCTTCAAATTACGGTGAGGAACAAAAACAAAGCCCGCGTCGCCAAGGATAGTTCTGCTGGCGCTTTTGATCGCCTGTCTCGGACGACGGTGCGATGGGCGTCTTTGGATGCCTCGTCTGGGGAAGGGGACGCGTCGGGTAGGGTCACGATGCTCGACCCCTCAGGGAAACCCGTGCCTCGATAGCCTTGCAAATGATTTAGCTAGTGAGGAACTGCACTCGTCAGCCTGTCGGTTTGGGATCACAAGGAAACCCGCTGGTGGCCGTGATGAAGACGGTGACTGCCACAGTACTCATGCAAGCCTAAGGACTGGCGTTTAGCAAGTGCGCCGTTTCGTTCAAAATCATCGAGCAGCTGGTTCGACACTAAGATCTCACACTACTACAACGGCACGTGTAAAGGCTGGATAGATCGCAGGATGCTAGGCCGGATATCGAGCCGCATAATCTAGAAATCTGCGATAATTCGCCTCACTCAGGGCAAATGCAAGTGGGTTGAGGGGGGCGCGATCGGGAGCCCAACCTGATGTTGCCTCTCCCTTCAAGTGAAAATGACAGCGAAATCTCAAGGGTCTCGCTCGCCCTCGGGCCCGATAGCTGAGCTGCAGGTGCCGGGGGCAAATTCGTGCCAGCCTCACTAACCATCGACTCTCGCCCCATTGAAGGCTCGGTGACGACTGATGATGATGATGAACAATCAACAACCACGCCGGCCCCTGTGCAGTGTCTCACAAAAGCCAAATCATCGTATCTCTTCGTTGCGATCAGCACAACTGCGGTGTCGCCGGGTGCCGAGGTGGCCGCGTTCAGCTGCCATGACGGGTTCCACTCCCTCTGTCGATATTTGCGGATGTTGTCTTGAATCCAGAGCAGCGGGAAATGGTCAGATGTCCCAAAACCGTCCAAGTTAGCGAGGGGCGGTGGGCCCGATGTGGCCCGTGATGGCGTCCCTTCGCTCGTCATGTCGAATCAAGCGCCGTGCCGCAGTGCTGCAGTCCCAGGGGCCAGGATATCCCCAGTTGAGGCTGGCCAAGCTCCCCAAAGCTGAATTTCCCGCCCACATCCCTTTGGCTCTTCCCCCTCCCTCGGGCTACCATCCAAATTCCAAAAGGAGAGACTGCTGCGTCAATGCATGACGGGTCTCCCAAAGATAGCAACGGCGCTGCCTCCGATACATACGAATACGCGAAAAAGCAGCCCTGTCATTTGCCGACGAAGCCGACAGCCCACCACCCGTGGACCGAAGGGGTCATGCGTCTTGCGTCCTGGGTCAAAAAATGGGTGTCGCCTTGCTGACGAAATATGGAAGAAGCGATGGAAGAAGGTGTATTTTGCCTGCCAGAGAGAAAGAACTAAATGCGCCTACCTATCACGTGCGTTTCCGTCGCTGCACCTGGGAAGTTGCACTGTTCTGAATTATAGTTTTGGCTAGGCTAAGGTCTGGCACAAAACATCGTCACCCCTCTCTCGGCAGCTTAGCCTTCCTACCGTTGCACTGTGTGTTGGTTTCTGCCAACACTGTAAGGGCGATTTTGGAAAAATACCGTAACCCTGTGTGCCTGCCGACCTTACTCTCTCCACAGGACGGTGAGGTTCCGCATCACGCGTGTTGTGTGTTCCGACGAGTTGTCAAGGCATTCATTCACACATTGTCTCTGCCTGGCTTGCCGGCTTCCCGTTATCGGGTAGCCGATCCCACTCGCGCGCTGTGGAGACAGGCCCTTCGCGGTGCAGGACCATCCGTCCCGACGGGGCAGCTTGACCTCCGCGTTTCCAATCGTTGGGTGATGATGCAAGGAGGTATTTGCAGCATGCCTCGACCAGACATACTCTGTTGTCTCTGGGCCCCTCGGCTGCAGCGGCAAGAACCTCGCCCGAAAGGCCGCTCACCGCAACATGCCCTGTCATGTGGGCAAAATTCGCAGTTGTCCAGACTCGGTCGATTGCCGCCTCACAGAGTCGCGGTCCTATCAAAACCGTCCGTCACGCTGCAGCCACAAGGGGCAACGGAGGCATCTTCTGCCGTGTCCTGCATGGGCAGCTCGCCGTCCCTGGTCAGTCGACGGCGATGCTCAGAAAAAGAAAAAGGATCCTTTCGGTTTCGCCTGTGGCATACGTCAGAATGAGCCCGGGGCAAAGTCGGGAATGTTCCATCCATCGTCAGACTCGAAAAGTACGTACTTGTGGCTTGACAAGCGCCCGCGTTAGTCAGGCACATCAAGAGAGGAGAGACACGACCCGTCACCGACAGATCGAGAATTACAAAGTCCAGTATGCACATCAACCCAGGGTGTGACACCAGCAGCCGCCAATCAGCAACTCTACCGAGCCCTAGGCCCGCCCCTTTCCTTCTGTTTTGGTGGCAGAGAAATTCCACCCGTCACCCGGACACGGCGATATATCGATAGCTTCCTGGCGAATCGGACCCATGGCCAGTAGTGGGCATCAGATACAGATGCAAAGTCTCGGCTCGACGGCGTTTTTGTCTCGACACTCTCTCTCCTTTTTACCGAGCACAACCTTGCCAGTTTCCTGGAATAAGACGTCGCACAAGAAGCCGAGGAAGCCCAGTCCCTAACCCATGCGGGAGCCCGCTAGTGCTGCCCAACACGTGGCGGGCTCACTGCAACGTTGATCGGTGAGACAAGGGACTGGGAACTCACCCAACGGCAATGTTTCCAACTCGAGCGGGCAGAAGACTGGCCTTTGCTTGGTTCACACACCCTTCTGTGCGCTCCCTCCCCGGGGGCATGCTCCCCTTCGGATGCGGACCTCGAGGGCTCTCCTTTGCGCTTCTTCCGCCACGACATGTGCCTTAGCTGTCCCTCCTAGTCGTGGTTGCACACTGTGCCCCTCCTAGACATGTCGCGCGATTTTAGTGCATCCGAATCTTCGGGTCACCGAGAAGGAGCACAGGGCATGGAGCGGCTCAGGCGATAACTAACCGTATCCGCTAGACGATGAAGCGGTCGCCCCGACTAACAGGTCGAACACGGGAGACCCAGAGGCGCATGCTGGCTTGTCCTTTCCAGACCTCCCACCCTTCCTCTCTTTTTTTTATTGCTGTTTGCCGATGCCTGTGGTAAGCTGCCCCCTTTCTGCGGGCGAGGTAACCCTATGCGGAAATGAAAATGCGTTGTCTATGTTACCGCTACATTTCCCCGAAAAAGAAAAGAAGAAAACAACCGGATACCTGGTACAGAATGTAAAACTTGCGTTCCCACATACCTTGGAATTCGCTAGTTTTTTTTTTCTCGTTTCCAGTGGTTGACCAGGTCCAGCCCGCCGCCGCAGACGGGACGGGAGCTAACGAACTGACGAAATTAGACCCTGACTGCTGATCATCGACACTAGACTCCCTGCTGGACCGGAGGGCCGTTTAAGCTCGCGACGGCGCCAAACGAAGTGGTTTCGCGAAGAACGCCATCAGTTTCATCCGGCTCCAGTTCGGCCCAACTCCCCAGATTTTCTCGGATCCAAGCCCCAACCTCAAGCGCCAGCGCTGATTTTAGTCTCGCCGCATTCGCTGACGTCTAAACTTTAAATCAACCGTACTTCTTCACTTGCTCTCTCTGCTTCGTCAACGCGCCATGCAAAGGTTGAAGTAACTAACCGTAATTGAGCGACGAGGAACTTTGTTCCTAAACTAGACGTACCACTCCAACTTGTCGATCTGCTGTCGTTGCCCCGATCAAGATCCGACCAGTCACTTGCTCCGGCCCCCCGCGGAGCTTTCACGCTCGCTTTCGTTTTGTCTGTCACCTCACCCTTCCGCGCACGGAGGATAAGCACTCGAGCTGCTGAACGAGCTGCAAGTGATGGGCAAATGGCGGTGGACTTGTCTGTCACTGCCTGTGCATCGTTGGCCCTGCCTTTTCCGCTCTGGCTGGGGGTGCCCCTGATCCGAGTTACGTTGGTAATTACCACATGGAAACAAGGGTGTGTCGAAAGTTCAAAGAAGGGCTTGAACTACCCCCACCCCTCTATCGAGTGTAATCCCAACCCAAGCTTGGCGTTGTTGACGCCCGCATCCTCGCATCTGTAGTAACCTGGTCGGTTGTGTGCAGGTCAGCGGTGGGTGACCGAGCCAGCCGCACCAGGGTCCCCAAGACGGCGGACCACGCGAGGAAAGGCACTGCGCAGATCCTCGCACTGTGCCCTGGATGGCGTACAGTACAACACTAGCTGTACTGGCTGTATTGTGGGAAAATGCACTGGGATCCCATCCATACCTCTGAGTGTCTCGAGTCTTCAAGCACAACAATTAATAACAATTACCTAGAAGCGGCGGACTTTTCTTTTGGTCGGAGAATCTCCGCGGATACACTAACTACCTCGCCACCATTCCAGCCACCACCGCTCACCGAAAACTTTGCTTCTTCCTCTTGTAACGAGAGATCGGTGTTTTACAGGGTGTGTCACCCCCTGTTGATAATTCCCATCACTGAGGTCCCAGTTGGCCAAGTCCAAGCCGACCCGGTCAAAGGATCCACAGAGCCTGAGTGCAACATCCGTTTCCATTGCGCGCGCCAGCCAGTCAATCTCCCTGCCCCTCGCCACTCCATCCGCCCGCCCCAGCTCCTGCGAGCCGCCACTCCTGGACTTTTTTGCCCTTCGAGAGTAGGGGGCTTTCTCGATGCGGGGATCAGACGCACGGCCCGGGCGCAAGGTGACAGTCCTTTCCTGAGAGAGAACGACGTGCTTTTACCCCAAGGCGAGAACAACAACAAACCCGGTTCCGCGAGAACAGGCTTGTACTTGGGCTACTTACACAGGGTCTGAACTGATAAGTCGCATAAATGCTGGGGACCCTAACGGAAGACCGGGCCATTCTATTTTTCTCTCCACTTATCGTCGATACTTGCAGTATGGATGGACACAGTATCAAGTACATAGATGCCCGATACATGGCCAGCTCCGCATTAGGTCATCAACTGCGCGAGGTTCGCGCGCGAGTCAGAGTGGAGCGTCAATGGAGATATGGGGATTTTGGAGGTCCTTCTGGGCAGGCAGTTCCGCCTGGGTGGCGTTGCAGCAGCGACATCCCCGCTGAGATTGTACCATGCAGATCCATTGGTCTAACCACTTGTGGGTTATCCACATTTCCTCAAGCAGCAGCCCACCTCGTTGCAAGATGGCAGGTGTGGTGTGTGGGAAGATGGGTGCGCCACAACTGACAAAAGGAAAAGGGAAAAAGTAAAGCACATAGGATGTTTGCCGAGCGCTGGCGAACACAGAAATCTACATGACAGATAATGCGCCGCGCATTTGCTTGTGGGAGAGCAGAGTGAAGAAATGGAGGAGGAAACCCAAGGAAACTTCCGGATGAGTTGGAGACTGGAACCAGCGGGATGGGAACGATCGGCTGTGGGGTTGCCAGAATGCGTTAGGATTTCGCAACTCGTTAGGCGACGCGTGAGGGGGGGTTTGCGCCATTGGGTAATCAGCAAATCCCAACCGCATGGACGGGTGCAGGCATTCTTCTCTGAGAAGACAGTCATGCTTAATCGACATGGCCGTTTGTGCACCAAAACCTCAAGACAATGAGGAATGCACTACGTATTTGATGAGGGCATCACCGGGGTTATATCTGATCTAGACCTGCTATATTGGCTTTGATGACGGCAGAGACGTCATGAATTGAAGAGTCACCTAGTCGAGACGGAGAATTCAATGTGCCCGATTTGCACAGTCCACCAGCACATCACTGGGGTGGGAGGTTACTTAGTCTCCGGGTCTCGAAACCCGGCAACAATTCTCCTCTTCCCGCCGAGTTATTCCTGGTCTCAACCATCACTCTCTCTTCTCCTTTCAAAACAGCGCTGGCTATCACAGCACCCTCCCCATTCGTTGGACCTCGAACCTTGCAAAAGGCAGCAGGCTCCACTCGTGAAATCAGCCCCTCCTCAGCAGCGCGGGCAAGCGTGACGGTCAGTGGGGCACTTGAATTCACAAACCCTGGGCCTGGAGGCCGAAACGACCTCCCTGCTCACTGCGACAGAGTGTCGACCCCATCCCAATTTCCCTCCACCCTTTCCCACCCCCACTCCGATTATAAAATCACCCCTTGGTCCCGCACTAAACTCAATTTTCCCTCCCCGGGCCTAACCCTCACGAATTCTTTTCTAAGATCAAGCATCCATTTACACGGCACGTCAACGGCTGGATCTAATTTCTGCCAGGGCTACTGTCACGAAGAAGCAGCGGGCTTGGTGCGATCTCTACGTCTCCAACCATTTTGTCGGGTCCCGGGAGCTAAACTTTACATCGCTGCGGCTCTGGTGCTTGACTAGCCCATTAGCGTGCACGCTAAATCGCTTCGAGGACTTCTGCAGCGTGTGCTTCTCGACCCCAACAAGCCACAAGCCAGCAGCAAGACCCGGCCCATTCTTGTTCAGGCCTACGCACTAAATTAGTGCTGGTCGCTCCACTTCCAGCCTTCACACACGCCCCCCCCTCCACCCACAACAATCATCTGCGGTTGCGCCGCCGTGGACTCCAAATAATAAACCCAAGGTCCCGCCTCAACAGACGTTCCACATTCTTCCGACCAAACTACACGATCGTTGTGTATTATTGCCAAGGAAACATTGGTAGCGCTTCACTCTCTTCTCTCTCACATCCTTCATCCGTCATCACGACCTTAGCCTGCGCACTTCATTGACGCGCCGCTCAACGGGCTTTGAGTACCAATCCATCCATCCCCCCTTATCACCCAACTGGCATCCGAGCCAGCCTCTCGACTTTTGGAATTCCCCCGTTCGAATTTCCCGGCGACCTCTTCGACTCTTCTATGGAGCGCGCCGCCCCCGAGTATTCGCAGTCAGGTTTGCCTTCGCCCCATCCTAGTGTCGTCGGCGACACGCAGTCTAAGGCGGAACCTGTAGATACGGCGTCTGCTGCTGCTCAATACGCGACACAGCAAGAGGCGCGGTCGGCCAGCTACTCCAACTCGGCCACTCCCACCTCGGATTACAACGTGTACCCGACCACTTCACGGTCTGCCACTTTCACAGAGATGCAGCGCTCCTACCACCCCGCTAGCAATCCCAATGGGAGCGGCGGAGGGATGCCTCAAACACCAACAAGTCCGTCCATGCCTCTGCCAGATGGGCGCAGCCATCAGAATCCCCAGCCGGAGCAGGCCAAGTCTGACAGCACTCTGCCTATAGATCCATCCATTGCAGGTGCCAGCCCGACTTACGCGACACACAACCAATACCCTCCCTATGCCGCCCCGCCCCAAGACATGTCTCAAGGGTACCAGCACCCGGGTACACCAGGCTTGTACACTCAGCCTCGCCCCGACTGGGGCGGTTACGGCCAGCAACCCGGCCCATATTACCGGCACCCACATCTTCCACCAGGCGCCCGCGGCCGCCGCTGCCCCTGGCCGCCAACATCAAGTAGGTGTATATGCACGCGTGCTCTGTTTTTTCCGCTGCCCATTTCCCACAGGCCCACTAAGCCTAGCCTCGCTTTCTTTCAAGTTTGGCTAGACATGGTGCTAACCGTGCCCCAGGTCTACAGCTTCGTCCCTATTCCGGGCGCACAGCAGCACAAGCGTCCCAGGAGGCGATTCGAGGAAATTGAACGCATGTACAAGTGCGGCCATAACGGGTGTGAGAAGGCTTATGGCACACTAAACCATCTCAATGCACATGTGACAATGCAGGCTCATGGTGTCAAGCGAACACCTGAACGTACGTCGATCGCCCAAGCCCAAGACAGCGGGCAACCGCTATTCGAAGTGCGAATTGGCTAATGCGGTTGATTTTATCCAGTGTTCAAGGATATTCGCCGAGAGTGGAAGGCCAAGAAGAAGGAAGAGGAGGCGCGCAAGGCGGCTGCCGCTGAAGAAGACCGGCAGCGACAGGCGGCTGCTGCAGCGGCTGCCGCTGCCGCCCAAAATGGAGGCGCCGACCCGCAAGCTGGCGTGGATGCTGCTCAGCCCCCAACATCTTATCCTGGCTCAGGAACCGTCCAATTGCCTCCCATCGGCTATCAGACCGCCCGATATGCGGGACCGCCCCCAGCCGGCATGCAGCAGCAGATGCCCGAGTATAGTTACCCCGGTTACTCGCCAGCATCACCATACGGCCAGTCGGGCCAGCAGATGTACAACCCACGTAAGTGAGAGACATTGCTGCTACCATAAAAATCCGTGTTGCTAACCCTCCGCAGACAATGGCGGCCAACCCCCGAGCCATTAATTGGCCTTGGTGCAGTGTGAACTGCAAAGATGCCGGCCGCATGCCTCACCAACCTATAAAATGACGGCTTCTGCTTCTTTGGCTCAAATATTCCGTGCGAACAATACACCACCACATACGACACGAGGGTAACAAAAAATGTAATTGTGCCCACCAAATTCAGCGGCCATGTGTCGCATCACAGCAACATGTTTGGTTACACTTTTTTTTTTTTTTTTTTTTTTTTTTTTTCCTGTTTTCTTTTTTTTCTCCTTCGTTTATTCCTCTTTATTCCTCACATTCTAGCATCTCGATTCCCGACATTTTATCATCGACATTGCATGGAGTCGGCATGGAAAGGCGTGCATATCGCTCAACGTGGGAGCATGGGTTGAGTTGTCTTTCACCATGGGTTCAGGGCAGTCGGATATACCCCAAAAGAGAGAACACGGAGTTGTAATGCATGGCATTAGGAGGGGGTGGTTTGGGGCAGGGGCTGGGGGATCTTACGAAGCTAGGAGAGGAACACACAAAAGGACAGAGCCATCACTTTTGCCCTTCAGGCCCTTGCAAACAGCGGGTTGGGTGTTGTGTTCTTCCCTTTTTGTGATACGAGGCGATGAAGCAAGGAGAGGCGTTGGGTGTGTGGTTTTGGTGTCAGCGCATAGCTTGTAACTAATTGCATTGCCTTTGCCCGACAAGGACAGGGCTGAGGGAGGGATGTTAATATAGTTAGCACAGCGCTCACCCCCTTCAAATACAAGGGCTGCGGCCATGCTAAAATGAACTCTCATCTCATGACAATACTCCACCGGCCGTTGCGAAACTTGAAAGAGGATTTTCCCGCCCATCAGGGTGACTGACGTGCATGCAAGTTCACCCTTGCATCGGAACTATTCTGCTGAAAGACAATGAATGTGACCTTGCAGGGATGGGTTGAGACTGAACCCTTATGTGATACCGACGACGGTGAAACAAGGATGCTATCGGGGGTTGTGACACGTTCCCAGCGCCTCAGTTATCGAAGAAAAGGCATGGATGGGGGGGAGGGATGAGACGGCGTGTGTGGAGGGAAGTGGTGGGGAGGGTTGTGTGTGTGTGTGTGTTACAATAGACGTTGCTTCGCTCGCATGCGGCTTAAGGTTTTTTTTTTACTCAATCAGGCAATTAACAAAGATCTTGGCCTCCGCTCTCCCACGGCCATGGCACTGGGATCCTGTTAGTTCGGCGCATGTACCCCATGTGCGGCCCAGCAAAAGGACCCGGCGGTTTGGTAAACTAGGCTGAAGCTAACGACTTCGATCCCGCCCTGCACAGAGTGGTGCGTTGGTTCTTGCTTTGATGGCTGTGCCGACAAAACCACCCACCACGTGGGGTACATACCAGGGGGGGGGGAGGTTGAGGAGAGAGGGGGAGGTGGTTTCCCGCACCACGCAAAGTCTCATGCTAATGCCGCCTTTGTATTCAGGCAGGTTACCCGGATGGCGGGGTTCCTTTTGTGTGTTGGTTTTCTGCAGGCGCACCACCGCGCGGCTGTACGAGGATGCGCATCATTCTGTTTGGTGCCTGCTGCTGCAGCTCGGGAAAAAAGGCTTGTTTGCCAACGGGCGTTGGTCTAAAACCCCCCTGTTTGCCTTAGCTTTGTGTAACCACACACTTTCGGGATGGAGAGAGACGGGGCCCGTGAACCGCGCGCAAAACGGCAAGGGGCAGCGAGCAACCCCCCGGGAGAAGAAGAAGCAGGAGAGGGACGGCTTGGCTTGCGGTTCTCTCGTGTCACACTGCTGGTTGTGTCACAGACAGCCCTGTCGTGTCATGAGAAGCGCAGAAGCTTGGCGGGACTCGGGCGGCGAAGTGCAGGCCTGGTAACACCGACGGGGGAGTCGAGATCCTGTCAAGGGGGTCGGAGGTGGATGTGTAACGCGGAGGTCGGGTTTCATCTTGTTCGGGCCGTGGGGAGCTGCCGAGACTCGGGTCGATCCTGGGCATATGCGATGTCGCCAAACTCAAGCGAGGGTGCGAAACGGGGGGTTGCAAGGATGAAGTCGCTGTCCCTGGGATATGATCCAGGCGGTTGGAGGTAAGCCATTGAATCGCAAAACAGTTTGACCATTAAACTCCCCCACTTGCCTAGAAGTATTTAACCCGTCGGGTTCGGGAGGAACATGCCAGGAGGTCAGCTTCTACCATCCCGTACCCTGCCATGTGCGTCGTCTGATCCCGAAGTGCATATGCAGCACGTCCGTGGAATCCTAAATAGATGAAGCGAGGACGCTAACTCGTGCACATCATGTGCGTCGTGAGTTGTGGTACAGTGACTACACTGCCAAGATGCACTGTGGAAGACGTACATACAGGGCCCTCAAGCCTCAGGCAAAGACACGGAATGTCCCGTTCTCGGTTGCCTCGCCTCGAGACTTTCCGATAATACTGTAACACAAACACTAACCGAGTCCCGAGACTCTATTTCTGTGGGTTGTCATGGATTATTCTCCCACATATTCGATCGGACAGGGCACACTCCAAAAGTACCGGGATTGTTGTGACGTAGGATGTATAGGTCCTGATACGCACTGTGCTTTCCTGGGGTTTGACGGGATTGACGGTGGTATCCCGGGCCGTGCCGGCTAACTTTCAACCTCCTCCTTCCAGCGCAGTGGCTATACTCTGCTAACTGTACTGAGTAAAGGTTTGTCATGATTTTGGGGGCTAATGAGGTAGAGGGATTTGTCTTCCTGCACGAGGTCTTCACTCGGCAGTAACCTGTCCTTTGATTTGTAACGACGTTTTATTTTCTACTTCTGCAGGAACTAAAGGCCGTAAGTGGGGCACCACAGTTCCCCGCCAACGATCAATCACAGACACCGATAGGTACCTGCGCTTTCTCGATCACCCGTCTAGGCGGTCTGAGTGACGGCTTCAGAGTGCCAGAACTAGTTTCCGTTCGCCAATATCAAAATAACTCGGACAACGTGGCCACCGGATCTCGTGCTTCGACGGGAAGCAAGCCCGCCGCATAGAGCATACAGCACAGGAAACCAGGGCTGTCCTCAAGAGGCGTCCACTGTATATAGCGAGGAGGTCCCTCGGCCGATGCAGTGTATAAGGGATTTCCAATCATGCTAGAATTGGAATATGAGGGCGATGAGGAGACGGTCGATGTCCAGCCACGGCCGGGTTATCTCGACAAGGGAGATGTCTTTAGGACCTTGGGACTACCGAATGACTTTGTCATTGGGCTCGATACTATGGCAATGACCACCAGCAAGAGCCTCCAGGGGTTCCGTGACATTCCATCGGGTGTCCATTTTCTCTGGGTTCAGCACCCCGGCAGCTTCTCTCGGTGTGGCTATTGGTTCATCACCAAAGACCAAGGGCAAATACGCACCAAGGAGTGGAATAGACAGGGCGAGACAATGGGAGAGCCCAGGGGCCAGCCAGGACCATTCAATGAGAGGAGCCGAATGGACTCTATCTACCCAACGCTACAGCCATATACGCTCCATGGCCAAGGACACCAAGCACCAGGGCCCAAAGACGGCGCACTCCCCGACTGGGCGCGATCTCCTAGCCGCCTCTGGGGCATCTTGACCAGCGCCATATCAATCCACTCTCTCAGCAGGATCACCGGCAAACAAAACATCCAGGAGTATCTCACCGATTCCATGGACTCTACCAAAGGCACCTCCCCCAACACCAACAACGAGCTGAACTTCCTCTTCGCCCAAGACTTCCGCGACCTCCAAGTCCTCGACCAGGGCTCCGCCAAAGCCCGCGTCGCCGACACCTCCTCCCGCATCCAAGCCTTCCTAACCCGCAACACCAACACCAACACCAACCCCAACACCGACCCCAACCTAACCACCCCCGAACAAGCCCTCCTCGCCGAGCTGCAGTTCACCTTCCTCACCGGCACGCACCTCAGCAACCCGGCCTGCCTCGAGCAGTGGTGGAGCCTAGTCCTCAAGTTCGTCCTGCGCGCCTACGCCCTCGCCCTGTCCCACCCGCGCCTCGCCAGCCGCCTCCTGCGCACCCTCCACGCCCAGCTCTTCTACACCGAGCACTACTTCGCTCCTGTTACCGCTGCCACCGCCGCCGGTTCTGAGGTGAATGGGGCGGATGGCGGAGATGGTCCTAGTTGTGAGAGGCCGATTTTTCAGTACAAGCCGCTGTACTGGGGGAAACTCCGTCTGGTGCTGGCGGAGTACAAGGCGCGGTTGGATGGGCTGCTTGCGGGGTTGGGCGGTCGCGTCACGCCTGAGCAGGAGGCGGTTGGGGGCGTGTTTGGGGAGCTGGAGGCGTGGTTGGGAAGGAAGGGGTGGGAGTTGAGGAGGCGGGATGAGCCGGAGGGGGAGGGCGGTGGTGGCGGTGGGGACGTGGTGGATAGTGAGGAGGAGGAGGATGAGCAGCCGGTTGTGGTGGAATTGGATGAGGAGGGGAGGGAGGTGGGGTTGGTTTCGTTTAGGGATTAGGGGTGTGGTAGACGGGGGGGAAGAGGGTGTGAAT